GTGGTGCTATGAGTACGTGGTGCTAAGAGTGCGCAGTGCTATGAGTACGTGCTGCTATGAGTACGTGGTGCTATGAGTACGTGGTGCTATGAGTACGTGGTGCTATGAGTACGTGGTGCTATGAGTACGTGTTGCTATGAGTACGTGGTGCTATGATTACGTGGTGCTATGAGTACGTGTTGCTATGAGTACGTGGTGCTATGATTACGTGGTGCTAAGAGTACGTGGTGCTATGAGTACGTGGTGCTATGAGTACGTGGTGCTATGAGTACGTGGTGCTATGAGTACGTGGTGCTATGAGTACGTGGTGCTATGAGTACGTGGTGCTATGAGTACGTGGTGCTATGATTACGTGGTGCTATGATTACGTGGTGCTATGAGTACGTGGTGCTATGAGTACGTGGTGCTATGAGTACGTGGTGCTATGAGTACGTGGTGCTATGATTACGTGGTGCTATGAGTACGTGGTGCTATGAGTACGTGGTGCTATGAGTACGTGGTGCTATGAGTACGTGGTGCTATGAGTACGTGGTGCTATGATTACGTGGTGCTAAGAGTGTGCAGTGCTATGAGTACGTGGTGCTATGATTACGTGGTGCTATGAGTACGTGGTGCTATGAGTACGTGGTGCTATGAGTACGTGGTGCTATGAGTACGTGGTGCTATGAGTACGTGATGCTATGAGTACGTGATGCTATGAGTGCGCAGTGCTATGAGTACGTGGTGCTATGAGTACGTGGTGCTATGAGTGTGTTGTGCTATGAGTACGTGGTGCTACGAGTATGTGGTGTTAAGAGTGTGCAGTACTATGAGTACGTGGTCCTATGAAACTGGACAAATGCATTAAACTTTCAACATTTTTTGACAATTTGATTCTCAGCTGATAAATGATGAACCACGTTGATGCCAGCACTGATCTATCTCACTTTTAGCGCATTTCGAAATCCATTTGTAGACAGATTTCATGATGAACTGTGTACCTCCAAATGTTCTTTGCTTCTGTTCAAAATGCAAATATATCGGATCAGTTAGACGCTCGACAATGAAAATAATAGATACTTAGATAAGTCGCATTTTGCCAAGAAGAGCGCAACCTCTTGTAACTACAGATTTACTGTCGATCCACTGTCTAACCTCTTGGGTTTCATACTCTACCAAACCTTTTTGTGGGCTGTCTTCCTATTACTTATTTATTTCTATCATCAGATCTTGATTTCTGTTTATTTCAACTAGCTGTTACAATTTCACAATTTTCTGTCATCAGTTATATGAGACCGCGTCGAAACGCCTGGCGATTCAAAACTGGAATTTTCAAGCGAAGCGTAGAGCCAACATGGAATGCAGAGTTTGCGTTTGAAAGTGTTAGCCTGGAAGAACTGGATGCTAAATGTCTGGATATCATAATTTACAATGATGATAATGAGGGCATTGGAATGGCTCGCCTTGGTCCGGGTATTATGCAGCAAGAGTGGGATGACAGTAAAGAACGGGAAGTTGAACTTTGGGTTGCCATGATCGAAAATCCTGACTCCTGGAATTTTCTAATGATTCCACTGAGAATGCAAATTGACGAAGCCAGGTATTTTGCTAATACAATTATCATTTTATATGTCTTGATCTGTCTCTATGTTATCAGGTTTTAACAAAAATCTTTAGATTATGAGCTTGAATTTATTGCCTTCTTTGCATATGAACAAATGAAACCTCAATGTATTCTGAGCACTCACCTTCTGTTTGATAATCAGTGAATGAAATATTTCTTCGTAACCCGCAGCTCTTTAACTGATAACGAGGTGGAAAGTGTCGTGGAGAAAATTCAATCAAATGAAGTCGTTCCTAAAGTCCCCGAACCTAGTAAAGAGAAGAAGATGTCAGCGAAGGAGCTTGCTCTTCAGTCAATGGGTACTCACGCTACGAAAGTCATTGATTTGATGGAGAATGACACACAGGAAACTAAAAAGGCCACTCCGAAGGCGCCAAGCCGATCACAAGATGCTCTGCCAAGGACTTTGAGTCTTATTAGGGAAGAGGAAGATGGGGACGAGCAACGTGTTAAATTTGCTGATTCAAAAGCACCAGCCTCTGCCAGAAAGAAGACTGCGCCCGTGATTCCAAAGGTTGTTATCTCAGAAGTAAGTGCGATTTCATGTCCCTTTCTTTTTACTTTTTCTTGGTAGTTATTTTTGTATATGCATTAATGGTTTTAAGGGAGAGCAGTCCTATACTAAATGAAACAGACCTAGATTTGGGGCTGTTGTGGTACGAGGCAAAATCTTGAGGAAGTCTAAAAGTGAAGTTTTGAATGTAAATATATAAAAAGATTGCTTTTTTGATATAATGTTAGATAATTTTGATGTGTTTGAGAGGATTGCTCTGTGGCTAGTTTTGGGGACTACAGATGCAAGGACCTGGGGTTCGAGTCCCTGACATGACCAACTTTCTGCTTAGAGTATAAGGGTTCACTAGCTCTCTGCAATCCCAGCCCGAGGAATCACGAAGTGTGGTCAAATCAAGAGGAAGGGCCAGGACACTGCTCGATAAGCACAGCTTTATAGTGTCCTAAAAACTACCTTAGTAAGGCAGGTTGTGACAATTCAACAATAAATGATGAAGCGATTGAAAAAGAATACAAATTTAAATGCAAATACAAATATTGCGTTAATACTAATACTAATACTAATACAAATCCAGGTTCAGAATTGATGCGATTTATGAAGGGTGTAAATGTCAAACCTCCCTTGAAACAAGGCCAGATGTTTTTAGATGCTGTTTGATTTTCTTTTTCAGGAAGATGAAAATACCGAAGCCTTAAGAGAAATTCCAGATGCCCAAGTTGATATTGATGCAGAAGATAACGAAATGCCAAGCAATTTGCAAAAAATGAAGAGATTCGTAAGTTTTTTGTTTTGAAGGGAATCCTTGCTAAGCTAGGATATCATTCTTATATATATCATTTAGTACCCGTGTAGGAATTTTAATTATCTTGAAATCTCGAAATATTGACTCGATGGGCTAGTCGAAGTTGCCTTTGTGGTTTCATCCTAATTTATGGTTTTGCAGGGAAGTCGCGATAGCATTGCCAGCATGACAAGTATATACAGCACAATGTCGAATTCAGTCACAGGGATGGTCCCAGTCCGAGGCCAGATTCAGTTCTGCACGAAGTACATTCGGGCTTCCAGCATGTTTGAGGTCCACATTTTCAAAGCAAAAGATATTGCTGCTGTTGATGCCAAAAAGGAAATCTCAGATCCGTAAGTTTTGCTTTTTTCCATGGAAACTAAATCAGAACGTAAAGCCTTGTTGGTGGTGTTTAAGTGACACGTGACATTAAAAAAAGCTGAGGGATTTTCCGTTAAATGGTTGTCATTTGAATTCATCCTTATATGTGAAGGAGGAAAAACCAGCGTGAAAAGTAGAAAGGCTATCTATTTTTGTTGATAATGATGTAATTCTGTCGATGTACAGTGCAGGCTGTTCTTTTTCGATTAGCCCGTAAGAAGCTTATAAACCGTTTTAGCCTGAGAAATTTTAAGGTTGCTTTGTAGAAGTATGTCTTGTATATCTAAGTGAATATCATTTGTTTTTAATTTCAATTTAATCATTAAAACAGGTATGTGAAGGTATACCTATTACCTGACAAGTCGAAAGCGAGCAAGAGGAAAACCAAAGTGAAGCAGAAGACTCTAAACCCGCAATGGAACGAAATAATCAGCGTAAGAATGCTTTAAAAACTCACCCCCAAAGAGAACAGCCACCTCGGTCTTGCAGATCTAAAAGGACAATTAAAACCTGCGATTCTGCTATCGGGCAGCATTTACTGGAAAACCCAGATTGTGCAAAAAACTATAATAGCAACATGTTTCGGATTATTGATAAAGCCCGATCATTGTTCCATCTAGCAGTTTTGGAATCTAACTACATAAGCACCAAAACCCGCTATTGTGTAGACAAAAGGAGTTCTTATTAACCTTTGGTCTTCATGGGTGAAATTTTCTTTAGGCAAGCGGCACTTCTTGGCCTTTTCCGGTCATTATCCGGGTCTTTATTTTTTTTATTAGTTTCGACAAAAGGAGTTCGTTTTCACCTTAGGACTCCATTGATAACATTCTAAATAGGCAAGCGGCACTGATTGGTAAACCTTAACAGTCATGTGCTCGCGTTTCTGATTGGCCTATTTCGATCCACAACTGGGTATATTTTTTTCCTAGCATAGAGTTTTCGATCTACGTTCTGACGTTTAAAACTCTGAAGAGTGTCAGACGAAAAGCTTTAGTATACTCAAATGTTTGCTTTTTTCAAAGCCATTTTTAAATTTTGTACCACCAAAAGATTGTAAGAATGTTTTATTTTATTTAACAAACGGATTGATGCTTGCAATACATTTCATCTTTATAGTATTTTTCTTGCATTTACTCAAAAACAGCACAGTTAACTTATCATGCAGATATTTTTGATAAAGTCAAGTTTCTTCTTTCAAAGACGAAGAGAAAGAGTTAAAGAGATACAGAAACAAAGCAAAATTCTTATACATAAGCCATCGAACCATTCGTTTGTATATGAAAAATGCATAATTTTCCCTGGCCCATTTTTGGCTAATGCCTCTGGGGGTGTTATTAAGGATGGGAGACCTAGCAGTTCATAGGAGTGTTTGGTCTCTTGATGCAAGACCTCTAATTGATTATCAAAACCCATTGTAGATCTCACTACGTTTTTCGTCGCACGACCATTTCAGTTCTTCGCGTTACATTTTTTCTAATTTCACAATTCGTCTCTTGTTCTCTAATTGTTCATTTTCTTGGTATCCAGGATTCTAAGATAATTGTATTCATTTCAGTATAAGATATCCTTGGTAGATCTTCGATTGAGAACACTCATGGTGTCTATTTGGAATTTTGATCGGTTAGGAAGAAACATTTTTCTTGGCGAGGTTTTGATACCAATGGATGAGAAAACTGACAAAGGATTGCTTAACGAATCTTTCGCCGAATGGTATGACCTACAGGACCAGGTAAGCATCAAATTTTATCCCTCTTCAACACATCACCATTAATCAACAGTCACCTTCATTATCATCAGGTATCAATCAATCCGTCAGTCATACCATACCAACCAATCAATTATCAATCAATCAATCAATCAATCATCATCAATCAATCAATCAATCAATCATCATCAATCAATCAATCAATCATCATCAATCAACCATCATCATATCTCAGTCAATCAATCTTCTCCAGCATCAATCAACAGTCACCATCATTATCATCAGATATCAATCAATTAGTCATAATCAATCAATTATCAATCAATCAATCATCATCAATCAACCATCATCATATCCCAGTCAATCAATCTTCTCCAGCATCAATCATCATCATAATTGTCATCGCAATAATCATCATTATAATCTTCATTCACCATCAACTTAATAATCGGAACTAACGTTATCGTCATCAATCATCGCTCAGAGTTTTATTCTTCTTATCATCAGCATCATAATCATCAATCATTCGCATTTATTACCCACCATCAATTTTTCGTATTCAAAATTATATGATGTATTGATTGGTTATCCTAGAAAAATGAAAGTTTATGTTTGTTTAAACAGAAAACTGTAAAATCGCCGGTCATCTTCAAAGGCAAGTTGACAGTTAGTTTGATGTTTGAAACGAACATGTATTCAAAAAAAGACCAAGCTAAGAAAGAAAAAGAGAAAAAGAAAGGAAAAGAGAAGGAGAAAAAGAAGAAACAAGGAAAAGGCAGAATATTGATTCATGTTATTAGAGGGGAGGATTTACCTGCAGCGGATGCAGATGGATTGTCTGACCCATACTGCAAATTGTGAGTTCACTGGTCTTCAAAAACAGAGATTTTATATAATACTATCAATGTTACGATGCTATTTCAATAATTTTTTATTGTAATCGATAGCTATCTTGCTGAAAATAAGAATTTGAGACAGCAAACTCATAAATACCAAAATTCTTCTCCGCTACCTACTTGCTATAATCCTGCACTGACATCTTCACTTCGCTTTCTCCTTAAGTTTTAAAATAAAGCGGCTGTCGTGAATTTCTCGATATTCGCGTGCTTTTTTCCTGACGTTAATGCTATAAATTTTCTTTGCTTGTTTTTGCAAAATCTTTATGGTTCATGGTGAGGGGCAAAAAAACCTTATTGGCAACGTTTCATCGTTGATAAGTTGACCATTCTCGTATTGTGTCTCGTATTTTCGAATTGAACCTGTTTGAATTTGAAATACAAATCTTTCTAGCCTGGTTCCCATAAAATCGTAAGAGTCGGGAACGTGTCGCCGATCCCTTCTTCCATCTTCCATAACCATCAAAGATAAAGTGTTCCTATGACAACAAAACAACAGCAAGCAAAAACGCGCCAAATCATTTTCCTTTGATTGGTTAATTACATCTAAATGATCGGCGACGTCGGCGAATCGTGTTCCCATTAAAATTTTCTTTGATCGTAAGAGTCGTAAATGTCGGGAAAGTTGAGCTCACATCAAGTCTCCCGACCCTTGCAATTCACGGTCGGCGCAGTCGTAACGATCGGAAGAAAATGTTCCCATAAAATTGGAGACCAAGCAGACTGTTGCAGACCGTTACCGACCCTCTTACGATTTAATGGGAACCAGGCTTCTACTTTCCAATTGCAAATAATAATAATAATAATAATGATTATACTAATAACGGATGTTAACAGCTCCACATAACATGGCTATTCTCTGTTGAATAATAAGTCCTTATTTTAAGAAATATTGTCCTGAAAAGATGTTAAAAAAAGTGTCTATTAAGTACGTTAAAATAAAGGGAAAAAAGCAATTTCCTAAACTAACTTAATATATGGTTTATTTAATTTATTAAAAACATTGCGATAAAATGGAAATAAATTTAAACTACACTAATTCGAATAACAAAATGATAACAAAATTGTTCGTAACTGGAAAGTAGTTCTTAATGCTGTCAAACTAGAATGCATTTTGTCACCATGGCCTTGTCAAATGTCTTTGCTCAGTCTTGGGTAAGAGGAAACAACTTTGACCTAATACCGATGTTTTTCTAAATTTCTAAATAGTAAAATTTCTAAATTTCTAAATAGTAAAATTTCTAAATTTCTAAATATATCATTACAGCTACCTGCTGCCAGGGAAGGCATCAAAAACGAAACGGAAGACGCCAGTCATTAGGAAAACACGCTCTGCATTCTGGGACTACCACACGGAGTATGATGTTGAGTACGATGATTTGCCTGAAATGGGTATTGAGTTCACGGTAAGTGGTGGTGCTAATACTTTCCACCGTTTTTTTATTAAGACCTGAAAATTCCTGAAATGTGCGCACTAAAGCTTGTAGGCAAATGTGAAATTGTCAAATATCCCTGAACAAGTTTTCCTTTACTGAAAAATTGGACATTAAAACAAACCATCTTTGCTTTTGTGTCATAACTTTGTTCGCTTACCACCCCCTTGCTTTTACTCACTTGGATACAACCAGGGGCGGACACTTGATCAAGCCTATTGTTTTAATAAGATGACGTCACATTTCCCATTGTTTTAGAACAGAAGATCATTGTCCTCTAAAGTATTGGGGGGCGGTCGCCTCCCCTTCGCCCCCCCAAGTGTCCACCACTGGATACAACTTGATATTTCTCAAGCTACAAGTCAAATCTGGCTCTGTTTCGTGGTGACACCCCGTTTTCCTCTTTTTATTTATTAGCTTATATCGCAATTTTTGGTATTGTTGAATTGTACATCTAACCTGATTTACGTTGTGGCTCAAGCTTTGCTTGACAGGATAATGTAACAGTCTATTATACATGTGTTAGTGCAATTTTTAGGTTTATGACTACGACCAAAGCTCCAGGAATGATTTCTTGGGTTGCGCAAGACTGAATCTTGGAGGACGGACTACAAATGGGATGATGCGGTGGGTGTAGAGCGAGATGCCTGGAGGAGCCTAATCGAAGATCCAGATGTTTGGCATGAGCACGTGTTTCCGTTGAGGTCCAGTAGTGACCCCATGCCCGAAGAGAATCTTTTAGATTAGCGCCTAAAGGTTAGCTTAACGGGCATTCTCTCGGATCTTGTTATTAAGATATAAGGTATTTTTGTATTAGTTTGTAGGCAAACGAATTAATAGCTATGTATTAAATATTGCTTTATTACAATTTATAAAATGCATTGAAGAGAATGTTGACTTGATGAAGGAAATGGATAGATAGGGAGTTTAACTAAAAAAACTGAAACGTTTATGAATATAAAAACAGAATTGCAAACAGCTGAAAATGACGAGAAGAGAAACAACAACTTGTAAGCGTGCAAGTTGAAAGGGTTTCTTCAATGATGACGTCATGCTCATGCACATGCATTTTCGGATATGCAAACGAGATTCAGGTCAATTTCTGGTATTTTTGAATGTTTTTCGTGTAGATGTGAGTGCTGCAAAGCTCAATTTTATGTAATGCTCAAACTTTGAACAGAAATATATTTTTGAAATGGTAGATTGTATAATGGGGACAATTCTCTTACTTTGAATAAATATGTTTGTCATCCTGACGCAATTCGGGATCTTTACTGAATTCAAGTTCTTTCTAAGCGACGTATAGCAAAGTCTGCATAAGTATGGTGTAGACAATGTAGCAAATATTTATCATTTTTGTCGTTTATGCCTTTAAATCAAGACCTGTACCAAACAAGCTGCCATAGTTCCAACTGTTTAGATATGCTAAATCAACTCACCGTTTTAGATTCCCTGAGATGTCCAACTGAGAGCATGTTTCCCATCCGATGGGATTTTGACCACGGTTTTCCTAGGCTTTTTAGTTGCTAACAAACAAAACAGCAAAAAATGTTGCAATAAATTGAACTTAAAGAAACGCGAACTTTTGTTGGCCTAATTTCCCCTTGTTTTGGAGGAAAGCCACCACTTAAGACTTAAGATCCTATTAAGACCGGCTAATCATTATCGGCTTGTGGCCGCTTTTCATTTTTGTTTAACATAGAATCGCGATAACATTATCAGTTGTTGATAAAATGAAAGGCAGTAAGATAGATTTTTATTGATACAACCCCCCCCCCCAACCTCTGTGATATTATTGATATCCTGCTCCCAATAAAAGCTCGCCAAATCCTTATAAATAGAGGATGGTATTTGGTAGCAGATCCAAAATGTCGATCATTCCATTGTTACCATAGAGCTTTTAAAGGTTGTTGCTCCCTATACATCCAGTGTGATAATTTCCGAGGAATCCAGTTTACGATTTCTGGCCCTAACATAATTTCCGAGGAATCCAGTTTACGATTTCTGGCCCTAACATACTTTCCGAGGAATCCAGTTTACGATTTCTGGCCCTAACATAATTTCCGAAGAATCCAGTTTACGATTTCTGACCCTAACCCATCTTGCGATCTTAGTGAGTGAAAATCGTGCCCAGTATAACTCTTGTAGCACATTCTCGCTGTCTTGAAAAGACGAAACAATATTTTGCTGTCGTTTCTGTGTTTGTTTCATTATTATATGAATTTTGATAAAAAAAACGTGAAATGAATCGAACGTCCTCTTTGTTTTGATATGAGCTTTTTCAATGCTTTACAATTGGTATCACATCCCGTGTGGTTTAGCCCTTCGTGGGCACGCCTTGCCAAAAATGTCACCAAGGAGGATGCAAATATTGTGATATGCTCTGTAGTACATGCGACACAGTGAAAACTTCATGTAACTTGACCCAGCAATAGAATGTCCTCCATTCACAAAACATTATATGATATTGCACAAGGACAGCAACATCAAGGAAGGCAACAGTATCCTGTGGGTATCGCTTTAGCATTTGTATGTTAAAAACAAATTCTTAATAACAGTGCGTTGAACGCCCGTGCTACAATTTATTATCGTTAAGCGTCCAGATTTAGCAAATCGTCAACATTGTACACACCACACTCGCCACAGCCATCGTAAACTGCAACGGAACTCGCTTTCTCTATAAACAAATCTTTTTTCGTAATTCCAATAGTTTTTATCGGCGACCCGTCGAGGTATTCCCAGTGTCTCATAGACTCTCCATCTTTCCTTCGCAACTCCACAACGCGAATTCCGAAGTCTGAAGAGAAGAAGCATAGGCCGTTGTCGCTCTCTGCCTCAGACGGACTGAAAGAAAAGACATGTGGCATTGCATTACATAGATTGGCATTGGTATCTGGAGGATGCAGTACAATAGCTTCGCCCACCCTCTCGATAATAAAAATCCCCCCCCCCCCCCCCCCCCCAATCAATATAAATTCCTCTTTACTGTTGTAACAAATGCTTCCTGGTGCATTTTACCAATGAACTATGCATTGCTTCTCACAGTATTTTACCATTATTGCCAAGAGTAGCTTTATTGTTTACCTTTGTTAGGGAGAGCCCGTAATATGAAAAAAACCACATTCATTATAATCCAGTAGGATTATGAGCAAGAGAATCTTGCTCACCCGAAGTGAAAATAAAAATGTCGAAACAAATGATTTGATCAACTTACAAGACGACAAGCCCAGAAGAACCATAAATCTATTCGATGGGTGCGCAGTTTAAAAGCCCTTCTCTCACCTTTCCCTTATTGCTCCCAAACTTAGAACATTATTTTCATTAGCAGTGCCAAATATTCCGTCACAAGATTGCCCGTCATCAAAACATAACCGGTAAAGACTCCCACCATGGCCACCAAACCAAACAGAGCTTTTATGCGACGAATGAAACCTGATCGCGTCGACCCAGTCTCCAGCCCTTACGTCGAAAGAGACAAGTGCTTCCTCCTCACTTGTAATCAAGAACTCGTGGGTCTTCCCTTCACTTTCCGCATTTCCAAACCACTTTGAATTAACGAGAGTAGATTCATCTGAAAGGAATTTCAAAAAGAAAAATCATTATAAATTTCTGACTGCAGTAAAGACAAATGGTTGATGTACCCACATAATATTATATTAGTAAATTTTGATGCATATAACACATACGTACTCGTTGGTGAGAAATAAACAACTATTTGTTTAATACCTAGTAGAGGTGAACTCTGCATTGTGAAATCTAATCGAATAAAATTGATCGCATACAAGTCGATTAAAATTGCATTGTATTCGACACATGTAAAATGCGAGGTTTGATCCAGGCCTAAATTTTGAAATTATCTCGTTCTGAAGACACATCTTGTGGCACCGATCTGGAAAACGTCCAGTCAAGAGAAAGATAAGAAAGCAGACTCAAATGTACCTTGATCATTTGAATAATTTTTGCTTCCAATAATCTGAATAGCGTCAATATATTTGCTCGCCCGTAATCGAAAGCCCCTCAAGACAAGATTATCGCTTTTCAACCAACTAAAAGAATTGAAGAGTGTCCTTTTTAAAGCAGGAGTTTCATCTGTGTTTCCTCCAACTGGCCCGCGTTTATTTGCCGACATGAAAACGATTGGCACAGGCAACTCGACTGGTGTTTCATCTTCAGAACGATCTCCTATCCACCTAAAAAGTGTCACATATCAAGGTTTCATAGACAAGATATCAAATGTAATAAACTTTTACTCTGAAGTGTGGTGATATTTTAACTTAGATGTCCTATGCAGAAACTCACAACGCCATTATTCTATATGTGTTTATGGATTGGCTAATTGGCTGATCGTTCTTCAATCTTTTTTATTCAATATTTTATCATGTGAACTCGTTACTGAAGACTTTTTACGCTGTAGTATTTAAAAGATATGAAGCTCCAGGCTTTTGATTTGCTGATACTTCGTATTTAAGGTCAACGGATATGTACTTTGCGCAACCCACACCTAGGCCCTATTTATCTGCCATTAAACTGCCACCCGCGTAATACATTGGCAAACCAAAGTGAAATCAGTCACAGCTTTAATTATGCTTATACAAATTTTAGAGGCTGTTCAAAGTAGCAGGAGGTTTTTGAAGAAATACTAGTTTCGCTCAAACCTTGAACAAGAAAGAATTGCAGCAGAAGAGCGATGCCAGTGAGCGCCGCCATCTTTGTATGGTTCCGTGGACAACGAAGTGGCTGTACTTTTACTCTGAATATCATTACCTACAAAAGAACACAGTTAGGGCCATGTTTATAATAAAGATAATATCTGATGTTTTGACGATAGCGAAATATTCGGCTGAGAGCTACCTTTTACCCGGTGCTACAGGTTTAATTCTCAGTACATTGTTATGTTTCTGCAAGCTATCAGGTTTAAATCAAATTTCAAGAATGCGAAGTCTATTCACGGCGCCAAGGCATGCAGATTCTTGGTGTCGTGTCATAATATTTTCATTCTTAAAATAACAACATTTCGTCTTTCTAGCTATTTGAAAAGGGAAATAAAAGTGACATGACTAGCTCTACCAAGATATGAAGTCTGTTAAAATGTTTAACAATTGAGTTTAAATGTTAAGCTTAATTGATGCAAAGTTGCTATTTATTTTCTTATTTGATATAAATTATGAACGATATGATGAAACTATGTCACGCATTCATTACCCTATTTACTGTTTTTGTTTTTCATTCCACAGATTACAATGTTCCTAATATTTATGTCTAGTAGCCTTAGTCTTTTCCGATAAATTTCAAAGAATTGAAATAACTTTTTTACCTTGGTGACTCAAGAAAAACTGATACATGTCATCAAATCCTCTTCCCATAATTCCAGATGGAGTATGTGGAAGATTAAAGGTGTGGCCCAACTCATGCATAGCTGCCCCAAGCGTTGTAGAGTAATTTGCCCAGTAGTAGCCTCTGCAAAAGGGATTCAAATTAGAACAGATTCTATGCTATGACAGAATCAATAAGTGGCAGATCATATATATCAGTAACCTTATCCATGAATCGAAGTTGGTAATTTTGTGGTTTTTTATTTAGGTACAAATGGGGAAGAAATAATTTCTGAGGGCACCACTCATAAACCTCTCACTTTGCAGCAAGGTCTTATCTGGAAATTTTCAGTTAAGGATTGAACACCAATTCTATTCACAAGCAACATGGAAAATGTTATTGACTTTAGAGATGGAAGGCAGTCTTTGTAATATGTGGTGTGCAAATCATCGCACACGCAAAACAAAGAATTTACCACAAACAATTCTTAAAATTGATTATGTTTCGAAGATTTTTAAAGCGGCGGTAAATTGAATTTTCCCAAATTCAAAGCCAGTTCCCATAAGGTGTCCCTTTTATTTCGCAACTGGTCTCATGCCATCTGAATTTTTACTGTAACATAGGATAGGACATAAAACTGACTAATACCTGCGAAAACTGTCGTCAAAAAGACACTTTCTGTCGACTTTTTGGCAATCTGTAAATCTGCTGATAAGTTCTTCTAAGCTTTTGGCCCAGTTGTGCAATCCACCTGTGCCAAAGAGTGCCATATTTCCACCTCCAAGTGCAGTATGCCCTTTCACATAGCGTGGAATGCTGGCGTAACTATCATCAAACTCTTCATCTGGTGGTTTGTATCGAGTGCAAGACATAAAGACCCACAATTTGCAAAGTGGATCATAGAGGCTGGATTCTTTAAGCTCTATCATAAAAGAATATTTCAAAATTATCCAACATAAGTGAAGTTTTTGTTGCACTCTTATACTCACAAGCATATGAAAAGCACTTTGAGAAATGAGCATATAAAAATCAATTTTCAATAAAAAAACATTCAACTAACATTCAGCCAGACATCAATTTTTATCTCTATATCTTAGAAAGTATCAGAGAGATAAGTGGTGAAAAATACATTCAAAACATTTGTCTAGCCATAATCATAAAAGATTACTGAGTTTCTATGGCATACTTGATTCATTGCATTGTCAAATTTTGCGAGAAAAATGGTTTCTTGTTGTGTAGGATTTCCTAGATCCAGATACATACCTTCGTGAAAATAACTATACAACTCTGGTCCTGTCATTGAAAGTGCTTTTTCCAGCTTGAGTTTGCTTTCAAACAAATTCACTTTCACATTTCCATCTTCATCTTCTTCCATTCTAAAGGTTCTTCTGCCAAATCCATGACAATTCAAGTTCTCTGCTGTGAATGTTTGCAAAATTCTTGCATTAAAAGATATTCTCTGTTTTGCGCTCTCTACTGAATTGTCTTCTCCGATGGGGGCATCAAAGCTGCCATCTGAGTCAGTGCAAATCACATACACAGGTCTTACAAATCTAAAATATTGTTTGTAAAAGGTGAGATGGGATGACTGGGGATAGTTGTCAATCTGTAGATTGATTATCCTCACAAGAATATCAAGCTTAAAAAATTATTTGCAAAAATATAAATTGAATCCATGCATTTGAAAAGCAGATCGTTTCATTTAAAATTAAATTAAGTTTGAAATAAAGTCAGTTTTTAGGCTTCTATTATTATCTGATCATCTGCTGTCCTAAAGAAACAAAGTTTCGTGAATTCCATTTTGAAATTCATAAACTTTCTAAAAAAACTGTCTTTTCAATCAAAATTATGATGCTATACAACAATTTCTGTATGCAGGAAACTTTCGTATAAGTTATACTGAAATGAACAGGCAATGTTATATAACATATTCATTATTTGGTTTGCGTACATCATGCATTGAATTGTACCTTTTATTTTTCATTGGCTCGTAGGTAACAACCAAATCAGCTTGACTGTCATTGGTTTCTTCTTTTCTAACAGTTATAAGATTTTTACCCTCCTTTAATGGCACAAACATTTTTGTAACTCCGCTTTCCAAAACAGGCCAACTGAGAGAGTGACAAGATGGCTTGCTGTTGCAGGTAACTATATGAGGTGTACACTTTACTTTCATTTGCACCTCACAGCCTGAATCAGAACTATCGTTTGGTCTTTTAACCAAACCCTTGGCACTATTCATTGCTGGACTCTCTATCTCTGAACCCTGTTGTATCTTAGGATCTTCACTTGAAAAATCAACTTTTTCGCCTGTTTCATCTTTGAACTGCTGCCCACTTTGTACTTCAGATAGGCTTTCCATATTGTCCTCGAAATCTGATCCTTGGGAGTCTTTCTCTATTTCAACATATTCCTTTTTTATATTTCCAATTCTTGCTACAGTCCTATCAGTGCTGTTAGAAGTTCTATTTCCTCCGTTAAACTTAAGAGTTCCGCATAGAAGCATCAAAGGATAATTAACTATTTCATCATGTCCTTTGAGTAGGCCATGTAATTTAGTCGATACTTCTAAACGTGACTCCGACGGCACTTCCAATTTTCCAACAAAATTCGACATATTTTTCTGGGACTTCACATTAGCTACAGTATAGAGAATACTTCTTCGATAAAACACAACTCTATTTTGAAAAGTTGTCGAGTCTGAACGGCCTATATGCTTAAAACGTCCTGCCTTCTCTCGCCCATTAATCGTTTATCTTTCTTCCTTTGTTCGATACGTTTTCTGATTTGTTAAGTTCAAACCAGCAATACATGTGTTTAATCGCTTTTATTTGACAATAACAGATTCTTCCGCCATACTTCAAACATCATAGCAACATCGAATATCGTGGTTGCTGTTGTCTGTTGTCTTTGATTGGTTGGACACTCGTGAAAAAGAGATTCTTCCTGGAAATGGAAACACGGAAGCAAATATCTAGGTTTCGAACTGAATGATATCAGCTTAGAATTAAGACAGTCCAATGAATTCCTCCAAAACAACTGTTTATTTCTATTTAGTAAAAGTCTTGTTTTTGATAAACTCAGGATTACACATCTCTATGGGAATTCTGTCAGCTCGTGTCTTTTCAACATTCGATGAAAGCTTCCCCATTAACCACTTCTCAAGGCGGGAAATTTCAACATTAAAACAGGATGACATTTCCCGATTTTAGACGAAGAGAATGAAATTACCATTTTCGCGTCGAACTTTGTCACTACTCTCGACTGCGTGATGAAAGTTTATTATCATTACAACAAAGCTCATGTAGCGCAAGGAAACGTGTCGAGATTCGAAAGAGATAATGAAAACTTTAAATAAGAACTTAAAATTGTTATTAAATTGTTATCCCAAAAATTAAATTTTTTTACCTTAGGAAACCAGGGTAGAAAAACAATTTCTTCGACCATCTTATTCAGAAGAATTTGATTGTCAACTGTGCAAAGGCAATTTTATATCAATAAAATTTATGGCAGGATAACATCCTTTGTCAATACTAACGCGCCAATTTTTTGTACAGTTTAACTGGACATCAGCAAGTGCTTGTTTGAATCTCGATCGCAAAGCTGATCATAAATGAGTGGCCTTTTTGAGCAAAACTACGGGTAGGATAGATATAAGACTGCTATTCCTTTTTATGAAGATTCTTAACCATTAGCAGATTTTAAAACCTACATATGTGTCGAGAAAATATGATTTAAAATGGTTCTTTGAATGAAATGGTTCTTGCTACTGTAGAAAACAGATTGTTTTTTAATCTTATTTATTTGTTGTTGTTTTTCAGTAGAACTATTTTGGACTTTTGACCCTGCTATTATTAGAAACTTTTAGCATTGTTTAGGCATGTCCTCAGGGAAACGTGCCTTTTTTCTCGTTATAAGCGTGTCTTCGAGGATTTGCATTATAGCCCTATATAAGCTTTGGGCGTGTTTTACCCAGTAAGAAGAGAGAACAACATCGATATTAGTACGTGCGAGTTACCGTTGCAAGCAATTGAAGATACCGTTTTCGGCCTAGTATTTAGCCTGTTGCTTAGATAATGCTACGAGGTCAAATAAATAGTAAGTTGAAATTAATTTCGGTTAACCTGTTATTGTTTATGTTGCTTTTTTCTTCAAGTTGTTATTTTCACTAAGTTGCATTACATCTAGAACTCGTTAATTAATTATGTATAATTTTATCAACTATTTTATTTAGCGAACAATTATCAAGATAGAAAGAACGCCAGCGTTGTTTTTGCTTAGTGGAAACTGGGTTAATTTCTGATTAGTTCGTGCCCTCCTCAGTAGCAGATTTGCTTTGAAGCTACACTACACTACCAAAAGCCAAAGGAAATATTCATTTTCTTTAAAATCGGTGATCTTAAACCTACAAAATTTACCCTCTACTCATTTTTGATCTTATATTCTTTAGACAGTAGGGGAGTGTGTTGCTGCGCTATGTAGTTAATAAAGTTAGTTGTTTTCCATCTCTCTTTCAAAAACAGTTGGCCGATCAAACACCTGTGGTGCTACTACAGACATTTTCGTCTAAGCGTTTTGAGAAAGAGGCTAACGATTGGGTTCATGAAATTTTTCCTAAGCTATAAATGGTCCCTTGGAAACCGTCCTTTGTTTCCGAAGTGCCTTTTTGAAGATCAAAAGTATTGAAAAACGTGCATCCTTTTATCAGTTCTTCGATCAAGCCAGAGGGATGGAGTACCTGCAGAACAAAGAGTTAAGAAAACTGCTTATTTTCACCGTGTTGCTCGGTTTCGTATTCGGATGTTTTTACATTTTCACTCTTGAGAACTATTTCACAAACAAATCCAGTATCAATTTGGAAATCCTACAAAACTTCGAGATATTTAAAGATTTCATTAGGTACAACAGCACAGACCTATTGAATAACGAAAAGGTGAAAGAGTCTTCAGCAATAATTAACATTAACCAAGATCAAGAGACAATTATACAAAACTTTACTTTAGATGTAAAGACAGAAGAAGTGCGTCGAGAAGAGAGAAACAAGCAACCAACTCAAAGCAGCAAACTGAGCAAAGCTCTTTATCCAAAAACAGATGCTCAAAGAGAGAATGTCACGAAAAGCCGATCTAAACATGCCTTATGTCGTGTTGATAAATCTACACTTGGTGAGTATACTATCCTTTTACTTTCGTTCTCTTTATGAACAAAATAGTGATTAATCATTTGAATCACATTGTTGAGCTACATTACATTTATATTTAGTAATCAGCTGCAATCAATAAAGCAGAAACATGAAGAGACTTGTCAAGTTGAAGAACAATCTCTCAAGTTTCATAGGAAGCTCTATGTCCGTGGTTCTCATTTTGATATTAAGGGTTCACTATTTTGATAACACAGTTGTTGATAAATGCTTGAAGAGATTTTTTATTTAAACTTTGAGCGAAGCGTTAAAAGTTACGGACATTGTTTCCTCAAATGCCTGGACTAAACTTGATTCCCCGTTAAATGCTTAATAGAGAACTTCTTTTTCAGCATCTACCCTTGCTATTAGATTGCTCTTGCTCAAAGGTGTACTGGAATATCAAACCATTTTTGGCAAACCAGTCATTAGGTCATTCAGCTATTAAGACATGTAATTCTTATAATAAGACAATTATTCAGCCATTACGAGATCAAGCCACTACGCTAATTCAGACATTACAAAATTTAAACCATCACGACATTTCAGCCATCACGACATTTCAGCCATTACGACCTTCTTTTAGGCCCTATCTATGTCGATGACCATCCCGTTGATATCTTGACACTAAGTGAGGGCGAATTACATTTTGTCAAGCAAGGAGGTCAGTGGGAACCCGCAGATTGTAAGCCGAGAGCAGAGGTTTGCTTGATTTTGATTTTATTTCACCCATGCATCAAACTTTTGATATTTGTAAACATATTGTTTCTTTTTTTACATCTTTGAGTATTTTTTTACCATTCCACGATGCTATTTACCCTATTGCAACCGGAATATGAGAGCAAACAACAACAAAACTGCAATTTGATAAATATATTGAAAGATACTTCTTAGATGAGAAAACATTAAAATCCTTCCAAGGTTTTCATTGTTGGCAGTGCCTTAATTTGAATTTTCGGCCAGCTTACAGATTTGTTGCAATGCAATGATGCCCATCATATTATCGCTAAAACCATTTTCTAGCTTGCTGTGGTAATTCCATTTCGAAAAAGAGATGCTCACCTTGCAATGTTTTCACGCCATATGCACAAGTTTTTGAGGAAACAGAAGATCAAGTACCGAATATTTGTCATTGAACAGGTGAATAGTCGATATTTTGATTAAATGACTCTTAAATTGAAGAATATTTTTATTGTTTTTCTGTTATAAAGTAAATTCTTCTCTTTCATCATGAAGGTCAGAGCAATATATCAAAATGCATATTTAATGCCAAAAAGGTTTATTATTTGAGCGGCTTATTCTTGCTTATCAGAAGTTTCTGAAAATCTCTCGTTGAATTAAACGTTTTCCCTATCTGGTATGAAGTTTAGGTTTTCATCAAAAGAGCTGTAGAAATCCCCTCACGTGTAATGAGGAAATAAATAGGGTAGGAAATAAATAGGAAAGAAATAAGTAGCACATAATATGTACAAGTTCACAAGTCAGCCTTATGTCATAGGGAGGGGTCCTTATGCCTTGTAAGGTAGTAACGTAAACGCAAAGGGCGTAATGAATCTGCTAGCAGAAATCGTAGTTCATTTGCTTAGGGAGCTCCAGAAGAAAGGTCGTAGTGTAGAAACTTCTTGGCGTGAGCCTCAGATCAGTGCAGTGGCGGGAAGCAACTCACGCAGAATAGTAGTGTTATGAAGTAACTGGATAGGCAAGACAGGCGAGAAAGGCAAAACGTCATCGAAATGTCTTCCATGTTTTGCCCTTATCCAGGAAACTAAGTACCATCCTGAATTCCAAACCCCTGAGTTCCATACCCTTGGTATTGGCTTCAATCTAGGATTTCTTCTGTTTACAATTTGAACTTCAACTTCTTCCAAACTCCATCTTGATGCGTTTAACCAATTGGCAAGAGCTTTCTAGCAATTTAGTTATTAGTACAGACAAAATACAAAAAGAAAACTCTGTTCTATCAGAGAACTTACTTTTCTTTATCCGACATTATCTTGGAACAGCTTATCCCTTTCTAGTTTTCTGAAAGTTTCATAGTTCATAACAGGGCTAAATTTCCTATCTGTTATGCAATGTTATTTCTGACATCAAACGAACTATTAGAGATATCGAATTTCAAGTATAAATTTTTGATACTTTATTGCCCTACATAGACTTGTGCCAGAACAGTCTTTCGATTTTGATTTACAGCAGAAGCAACTGCCATCCTCTCTGAATAATATATAAAACTTTACTAAAAGTAGTACACCTATAGTGGTAACGAGGTTTTTCAGCAAACTTCTAATGGAGATATGTGATTCTAACATTATTGCATCTCTTGATTTCAGGATGATGAATATGAGTTTAATCGCGGCAAATTATTGAACATTGGCTTCAAAGAGGCTCTTTCTCGGCACCCATTCACCTGCTTCGCGTTCCACGATATCGATCTACTTCCCGAGGATACCCGCAACGATTACGCGTGTCCTAGCTCGCCAAGACACGTGTCTGTTGCTATTGACAAATTTGGTTATGAGTACGTAAATGTTTTGTGTATTGATATTGGCAGATTTAGGAAAATCGGTGATCTGGGGGAATGGTTAGGGTCAAGAAATGTTCATCAAAACAGCACTACTTTTTTAAATGATCGGAAATGTACAGTCAAGCTAAAATACGGTATTGAATACTTGAAAAGTGACGAGTAACGAGTGAAACATATCGAAAGCTTAGAAAAATATGGAATTTCTCAAAACATGCCACTACATAAAGAAGCTAAAAATGTCTTTTTAACTCTGTTTTAATATACGTCGTATCGATATACAGCCAATTATTTAGCAACATTTTCACTCGCAAAAATCTTTTAGTCAATTTTTTCAAAAATTCGTGCAAAGCCTTCAGAAAATTTGGGTTAAACCAGATATGTTTGCTTACACATTACATAATTTTGTCCAATCCTTTGCTAAACGCTTGCAATCTTCTTCTGCAGATTGATATATCCCGAGTTGTTTGGTGGAATCGAAATGTTTCGTACCGAAGACTTCAAGATGGTCAATGGTTTCTCGAACTCATTTTGGGGCTGGGGTGCGGAGGATGATAATCTTTATTTTAGGTAAGTACACCCCAATAACAACATAGGTTTTATCTAAAACATTGGATCTGGAATCTGTGACAAGTTGTCACCCCTAACGGAGCATCTGGCAATTCGTCCGTATCGACTGCACCAGAAACGATGATAGATAACTAACTACCAGTAACGCCAGTAACGATTGATGGTACGCAATAGCTTGTTTATTCGGACTGTGTTTTCTGATATCATTATAACAAATACTTTATCATTTATCATTTCAGAATCATGACTCACAACTTACAGTTGACAAGACCTTCCATGACTGTTGGCCGGTACAAAATGCTGAAGCATCTAGATATGGAAGTGTGGGGTGCACCAAACAGGTACAGCCTTTTGTATTCATCAAATTAAACGTTTATCTTATTCTAGTGAATCTTGATTTAATGCAACAGAAGTCGTGCTTCTGTCTATTCTACAGTCGATTTCACGCTGCAATAAAATTATCAATAGCTCAAAAGTGAGGTGAAATACAAAACACACCATTTTGGTATCTGATTGTTTCTCTGGGAATTACATTACTGTTGAATAGAAGATCTGGATACACCTGGCATCAATTGTCTCATTTTTTAAGAATTTAATTTTGTTCAATTGTTATTTCTATCCTGTAAATGGTGCCAAACGTAATTTAGAAACATATTCATAATTTACGTCAGACCTGACGCACTCGGCCTAGACCTCCAGGCAGCGCTCTGATCCATTTGCTTTCCTTCCAGAAGAGACATTTTGAAAAAGTCGAAAAACATCAAATACATTGGAACTGATGGACTAAGCTCGCTGCAGTATAAAGTAAACAGAGTACTTGAGCTGCCCCTTTTTACAGTAGTGAAAGTCAATCTTCAGATGCACAAGGACAGGCTGCTTGGTGTTCATGACTACTTTTAAAGGACTGGTTGCATGCAGTCAAAAAAAGAAACTTGGTTAGCAAAAGCTAAGATTACTTAGTACCTTGTCTATAATACACAGTACCTTGGAAAAATCCTGTATGATAATTTGAGCTGCTTTAGATTTTTATATTTTGTTATAATTACGTTAGTATGATATGTTAGTCTCGTCTTCATCTCGTCTCACTTTCATTTGATTTTCAGAAATCTTTCTCGCATTTGGAAAATTACAACAAATTATTACCTCAAACATTATCACCACGCTACCATGTCCTAAGTAACACCGCATGGGCTCCGACGCAAGCTGGAAAGTGGAGGGGCCAAGAGAAAATATAACAATCATAACAAAAGGCTTAAAAAAAGTTATATTGTTTTGCAAAAAAAGTTAAGGGGCCATGGCCACCCCGGCCCCCCTTCGTCGGAGGCCCTGTACCGCTGTTACTTATTAATTTTGAAAAGGTGGCGAAACAAAGGACTCTTTTTAAAGAAAGTGAAGAAAAAGATAAAGGAAAAAACCCTTTTATTCACTACGACCAAAGGGTTATTCGCAAATTAGGAAATATCTTCAGCCTTGCAATGCCCTCAAATGTTGATTTTGTGGATTATAAACCCCTTGCTTTACTTCTTTGTTTGTGAAAATTGTTTCTTGAATTTCCACTTATCCTACTATGCCATTACAAGCAATGTTGTCATTTCATTCAAGTCAATCTTCTCTTCTTTTTCAAACGAATTTCTATGTATATAAGATCAATATATTTTTCATATTTCTTTGTAAGGTACAGAGATACTAATTTTACATTTGTGCTCTAGTGCCATATCAAACTGTTATTAACATGGCTTTCTGGAAATCAGAGAAAGAACCCAGTGTTTATGAGCTCAAAGTATCAAGTTGCTATGCATTAAGTTATCGACTATTTCTACTGCATTGAAATAAAAACGTGCAAATTTTTTTATCAAAATATTTAAGGTACAGGTACAGGCCATATTTAAGGTACTTCAAATTTATATACGATAACTATAGACCAGAATTTTCCTTGTGGTTTTATACTCTTGGGTACCTTGCTTAACAACATACCTTTTTTATGCTTATGGGTAAAAATAACACATAACAATATCAAAACAGGAATAAAACAAAAAAATCATTATCATAGGATACAGCCCAAATAACTATGACTAGTGGTCTGTTATGTGCACAACAACAAAAATTTGAATTTTGATATTTCTGGGATTTATCGACACTTTTTAGTTGATAACTGTGGGCCTGTGAAATTTTTTTTGGATACTTTTAGGTGAATTTTGATAACTGCGGATGGATGGCCCTCCCCGTAGACAAAAAGTTTAAGTGACTCCCCTGGGGGTATAGGGGGTTTAAGTCGTAATAAATTGAATTGTTAAATAAACTAATTAATATATCACAAGAAAGAGACGCTAAATAGGTCATCTACCGGAACAACATTAAAAAATAATAAATTGTAGGCGGGAGCATCTGATGAGAAACAATCAAATGAAAGATGATTTTCAAACCGAAATATCTCAATAAAGTAGCTAATATTTCACCCCGGTTTGCGGAGTTTTATTAGGGTAAATGGATTGCCCAGCGCACGAGCTAGTTTAGCAGAAACAATCTTAATTAGTATTAAAAATAAGCAAATCGCTATCAAAATAAAGTATGTTGCGACAAGTCTCTAGAAAATAGCCATAAAGCAACTTAACAATTTTTGAAATTACGAAAACGTATGATTATTCTGAAATAACTTACGGGATAAGAATTAGAAGGAGCTTACGCTTGAATAAGGAATGTCATCTCAATAATATACCCTGGGTACCAGAGCCACATAAATTCGAGAGCGGAAACAGAAGATAGAAGTGGAGAAGCGGAGGAGCATTCTGTTAACGTGCTCGAAATTTTGTGGCTCTGGTATCCAGGGTACGGATAATGAGCATGATATACATTATGACACACGTGTCTTTCTTATGGTTTTCTAGATTATCCAACAATTTAACGCCATTACAAGACAGTTTGAAGAGCGAAAATCCACTTCTAAGTAAATTAATCATCGGAGCACATTATATTTTGGATAGATAGAACTTGATGAGTTTAATAACTGGTTGTAACTATAATTATGGTTAGGCTGCCAACCAAACAAAAACGGTATTTGATATGACTGCAGTTATTAAAATTTGACGCTACTGAAATTCCTGGGTGGAAGCTGAAGTGGGTTGCATTCCCGGCAGTTGCATAGATAGAAAATACAATAACTAAGTTGAGCTAATCTTACAAGTTAATCTTACGATGGAATGGAATGAAAATTACTGTTTTGTGGGGGTGAGCCAAGGGCAACTTAAAGACACATAAAATATTTGGCAACAAGCTCTGTTGTTCTATGGAGAATGTGGGTTTGGGGTAGGAGGTATGGGGTACAAGGATAATAACATTTTTAACATGCGAAGTCAGATTCACCAAGCATTCAAATTATTGAATTTATTCAGTTTAAATAAAAAATGATCGAACATTTTAAAAAATTGAACGAAGATCTTTATGCAAAACAAGCGTGTTTCAGAAATGACAAAAACAGGCATGTTTCACAAAAACAAAGCCTTGCGTCTGTATCTATTCCAATTATAAACTCCCAGTGGTGCAATTTGTCAGTTTGCTTACAATTGGTGAAGTATTGTTATCACAGTTAGTCAGGTACTAAAGCGAAGTATGCGTTAGCAAGTGGGGAATACCTTTCTAATAATAATAATAATAATAATAAATAATTTGTTTAAAGTTGGCGTACTAAATGAACGGTTGATAGCTATAAAGAAGCTAATTAAGGCCAACTATCTAATAAGAGTTAGTATGAAATAAAAATATATGATACAATATTAAAAAGGTTTAAGGTATAATGTTCTAAATAAAACCTAACCCAGCAATAAATTTTTTACACAATCTACAGTCGCATTCTATAGGGTGTGCTCTTATTTCTTTTTTAAATGTTGCCAATGATTGGGACTCTCTTATACTGTGAGGTAGTGTTTGCCACAGTTTTTGACCTAAATATCTCACAGTTTCTATACCATAAGAAGTTGTCCTGGCTTTTGGGATGCAAAGATTATTTTTAGTTCGCAAATCATAATGTACATTTCTTGTTTCAAAAATCTCACTCATGAAACTAGGGTTCAGGTTATGTTTGGTTTTGTATATTTCTATCATCAAGTACTGTAGATTGCGTTGGTGAATTGATACTGCATTATCCAAAGTCAGCAATGCTTTGTAGTCAGCATGACTGTCTTTATAAACAATTCTGAGTGCTCTTTCGTGGATTTTATTTACTTTAGCATTCAGACATCTGTCATGGAACATCCAAATTAGGGGGCAGTAACTAAACTGAGCTTTTATGAAGCTGTTCATTAGGAGACGCAGTTTATTAGAACCCATAAATGGCGAAACTCTAGCAAGAGCATGCAGTTTTTGGCTGGCTCTTTTGCATAAATTTGAGACGTGACTTTTGAAATTAAGATTTTTATCTATTATCACCCCTAGCAGTTTTTCTTCAGAGCTTTCTTCAACAATGGCCTCACCGATTTTGATCTTAAAGTCATCTTGATTTGTTCCAAAAGTAAGAAGATGACATTTCCCTGCATTCAATTTCATAAAGTTTTCTGGAAACCATTTTGATAAAATAAGAGCATCAGTTTCTAGCCTTTCTAAAACTTTATCTAATTGACAGTCAGCTGCAAAAATCGTAGTATCATCAGCAAAGTTACATACTGCAGTATCAGTTACCATTAAGAATAAATCATTAATATATAAATTAAAGAGAAGAGGCCCAAGGACTGATCCTTGTGGTACACCTGCAAAGGTTTCTCGCCAAGTGCTGAATGAACCATTTAATTTTACCCTTTGTCTTCTACCGGACAGGTAATTATAAATCAATAATTGAGCATCTTTACAAAAACCATAGGCATTTAATTTCGCAATTAATAGCTCGTGGTCTATGCAATCAAACGCTTTTGAGAGATCCATTAGCAAGGCACCAACCACCCCTTTTTTATCTAGGGAATTCTTGCAGATATCCATTAATCTCAACAGCGCATGCTGTGTGTTGAAACCTTTCCGAAAACCACATAAGTAGGGAACTAGGAACGTATCCGCGAAGTCGACCATCTGAGCATATAGAAGCCGTTCAAAGACCTTTGATAATGCGGATAGAACGGTGATAGGTCGATAGTTTCGTTTTTCTGTAGTTTTGTCACTTTTGAAACATGCCTGTTTTCACCGTTGGCGGCGAGCGATGTAAAGGCGGCGAGTATTCACCATTGGACTTTTTTCGATTGTTTAGGAATTCAAAGGAACTCGAATTTATAATAAATCTGTAATAAAGCCCGCGTTAAAAGTGTAAGCCAGTTCTTAAAACATATTTATGCCACGTGATCAAAACAAAATTTGAGCAGATTGGTGAAAGATTTCGTAACTAGGAAGGAGCTTGCAATTGATCTTGGCTTGTCGCTCGATTTTTGATGTGAACCAGTTTAGTATGAATAAATAATTTATAAAGACAGGTTTATTGGAGAGGTGCTGGTCATTTAGTACTTGAGGATAGGACGCTGAAATTTATTTGTAACTTTTTCTTAGGAGGTCAGCTGCTGACAACGATAATTCGCAACTTGGACGATGGCGTCATCTTATGAACAGTTCCAATTCTTGGACGAAGAAGGTCGTCAAGAGATTTACAAATGGAGCAAGCGACGACAGAAGAAATACAAAGGATTTGGGAGATTTTTTTATCTCATGAAAATATATGCCTTCGATAAAAGTGTATGTGCACACGCTTAAATTGCTAATTTCCTCTAATCTTAAAGAGTAAACGAACGAACAGATGTGTTTACAGATGATCAGGTATATGTTTGAAGGGCTTTTCATGGGCACGAGGGCTTTGGAACAAAGTCAAAAGTCTCAACGCAAAGTTGTTAATCTTGGGTGATCACTGGCAAACGGTGGTAGCCTAATACTAAGTAGCTATTTATATGTGGGTTACAAAACAAAGGGCTGGTTTGTTGAACAACACGCAATAGAAATTGCAATTATGATAAATGTAAAACAAAAACAAATTCAAGGGCAATGTTTTTTCCTTGATGCTCTAAACTGTACGCAGTTCTTCAGTTATCAACTTTCTGCTTTGCATGGTATTGGATAATTTTGGATAATCTGTTATCAATTTTCTTCACAGTTGCTAAAGAGTTTCGTTCACAATGTCAATGTAATTGTTTTGGTACAGATGATATTAGCTGGTGAGTATAAGAAGGATTTTATTGTTAACTAGTTTTTATGTTGAGCTGTTGAAGTGATCTAGTTTTCAATTATGTATGGGCTGTGTGGTTTGGGGAAGATAAGCTAAATTAGGCTTTCACCTGGAGTTGAATCTTTTTTTACAAGGAATTAATGAAGGGCAAGGAAACCCTGATATCTGTAGTACTGCTCTGGCTTTTCCTGAGCTGTCTATTCAATGATTAATGTAAATGGGGAACTAACAAAATTTATTGCTATATATCTTGTTGTTTCTTGGTGTCATTCAATTTTAACTTTAACTGGTTTTGAGAAAAGAAGCACATAAGTCTTGCAGCTATTGGGTTTTTTCTTATGCTCAGAGATCCAAGACACTAACTCAATTATGTTGTTAATTCAGAATTTAATATTTTAATCCTATATTCACTGATGATAATCCTTGTTGTATCTTCAGGGATTGTTACCTATCTTTGTAGTTTTGCAGGTATGTTTAAGTTTTTTTAAAGTTATTATGCTTTAGTTCTGAGATTAAAAGCCTTTTGATCTGACTCAACTTAAAGATAAAGTATTTCTATTTCAAAATGATAACATGTCATGTAATAAATTATCTGAAAACTGTCTGCTAATGATTATTTGAAAATCGAATTTTTGTTAGCATGGCAACTGAGCTACACTCTGTAAAGATTAAGCAAGGAGTACTCAATTAAGTTATTTTCAAATATTCCAAGCCACACATTGTATTTTATATTAGTTATCATATATGATTATATAGCCCTTAAGCAATGATAAAATTTTATTGCATGAAATTATGTGATATCATTTACAGAAACTAGCCATAGCATAGTTTTGTTTGACGTTTTCCCAGTGATCTTTTAGAAGGCACAAGGGGAGTCCTTGGTTTTGTTGTGATTTGACCTTCTGTTTGTTTTGCCTTGAACCAGGTTTTGGAAGTTCAGTGAATAAAACTATAGGGGATGGGTCACATTAAATATTTACCACTTTCCAGCCTTGTTCATGCCTAAACTGCCAGTTTGATTTTGTTTGATCAAAATTTTTACCTAGCTGGAGCTTTTTATTGAATTTTTAAATGTCTGCTTCCCATGGTAGCAAGAACATGACTGTTAAGATTGTTGATCTCATTTTGACCTCTGCATTATCTGCATTTTGTCTATCCAGTTATCATGCTATTAGCAGCAGGCACTGCGCACCAGTGTAAAAGTGGGGGGCTGAAAAGGCTGTCATTTTCAGGACACACCCTGAAAAACCCTGGAAAACGCCCCTATTAGAAATTACTTGCTCATTTCCACTGACTTGAAATTACTTGCTCAGATAAACAATCTCATTCAAGAAAGATGTCAGTAACTATAAAAGATCAAATTAGCTTGGGAATAATAAAACACTAATCTAACCAAGTTAGAAAAAACATCATACATTAAATAAGATGAAACACCTAGAAATAGGACAAAATGGGAAAAAAGTAAAAAAAAACTACTACTTAGGGTCAGCTAGAGTAAACTTTCCAAAGTTGGGTTAGAGTAAACTTTCCAAAACATATTATTGCAAAAACGTGGGAGGGGGGGGGGGCTTTAGCTCCTGCTAGCCCAATGGCTGTGCAGTGCCTGATTAACAAAATCAACTTTTAAGCATCCTTTATCATTATATAAAGCTGGAATTGGATGGCAATATGTATAGCAATGTTGCTTTGTTTCCTCTAAATATTGATCAGAAATCTATAAATGAACTTCATTTTTTTCTCTTTTTAGATCTATATTTTGAAGTCCATGTCACACTTTTTGTATCACCACTTGTTTTTCCACTTGCCTTTTCTATAAACAGTAAGCATTTTTCCTATTTCAATTTTTAAAATAATGCAACTAACAATGTTTTTGTATTTTGACACATAAATTAAGTACAAAAAATTTTAAGAAGATAAAATTTCAGACAATAAATTTTGGCAAAGATATTTTTGGATAAATTTTTGAAATTTTGGCCAAAAAAATATTCAGACAAATGTTGGCCAGGCTCTTGGATGTTTAAAGCAAAACCACAGCTGGTTATTGATTCACAAATATAATTTATAAGATTTTTATTGAACACTTGAGAAACTGGAAGAATCTCTGAGCACTGGCAAGATGTTAAAAAAAACTTTCATGAGTACTGAATAAAGTTCTTAGTTTTTTTATAAAAACAAGGCCAGAAGGGGGACTGCTAAAGCCACAAACTGTAACATAGTATATAGACCCACATCTTCAGTATTTTTCTTCATCTTCAGGTGCTTAGCCTCCCCTCCCCCTTCCCTCAGCCCCCTTCTGGCTGAAGTTATGATCGGTCATTTCTCTAAGGCAGAGAAAACACAGTTAGGTCATCTAAGACAGAAAGGAGAGAAAGTGATGGTGACTTTCTGACAGGTGATGAGAAGGATAATGTTATTTGTTTGAAATGGTGCTTCTATTAGCTCAGAAGAATGACTGTTTCCAAAAACTTTGCAGACATTGATGTTCAAAGATTGTAGCCCTTGCTTACAGTCAATATACATTGCAGACAAAAATTTGTCCAAGAAGTTTTTCACGCTGAGAATTTTTGTACTTAAGTAGTCATATTATGCATTTTGTACTTTATGCATTTTTGTTAAGTTTGAAAAAAAGATTATAAAGGAATGTATATTAGTAAAGCAATTTGATCGATGACACAGAGGGTTAAAAGCTGGAAAGAGAATTGACTCAAAGTGTTTCAGGGCAGGGTCATCTTTTTTTAAAAGGGTCTTGAAAATATTCCTTTCATTTCATTTTTCTTGATTTTATATTGCCTTAAACTGCACTGAACTTCTTTATTTCTTTTTCGTGCAGCTGATTTTCAAAGAAGAGAGAAAGTGTTAGAAGATTTAGCTAATTTTAAAGCATCAACAATGGTATGGTTTTTCTGTGTAAGAGACTGGAGAGTTCCAGGTGGTAAGTTATACATTTTATGATATACCTGTTACCTATGTAAGTTTCAAGTATTGATACTTTATTCATCATTATCACAGCCACACACACACTTAGGAAGTGCCCAGATGACTTAAAAAGACTGATAATGATGATAATGACCTTGGAAATAATTGACATATTCACCATCAGTGCTTGTCATTGAACATTTAGTTTAAACTTTATTGAACCCTCTCTGATTTAAAGGAGACTAGTGGTCAACAGGGTAATTATAGTTTAAGTGAAATTGATGATAAGTTCAGAAATTGTAGCATCCTGATTTACGTTAATTGACTTTTTACAGTATTTGATGAAGGCTTCATGAAAGCTGTGTCCAGTAAAACAAAAGGTTTGATGTTTCATCTCAGAGAGTATTTATTAACCGAAAAGGCACACAAAAGGAATTTTATACTGAGAGTAAGTACATGATATTTTTTCCTTTCTAAGAAAACTTTGTTTTTCCAATGATTAAAGGCTATCCACTGACCTTACTAGAATTTTCATTTTAACAAGGCCAGACAAAGTCATTCTATAAGTATCTAATCAAATGGTTTATCTTAAAAGTTGCTTGCAGGGTTTTTTGTCGTTGTTTTGTTGATTTTTATTCAGGCTTAGATGATTAATCTATTCCTCTGAACAAATCTTGAATTTGCACAAAATATCATTGACATTATCAAGTATTTGTATCTCACATTAATGAAGCTCTGTATGCTAGGGCGAAATATTAATATAGTTTGAATTTCATTTATTTTAAAATTCTGTTGCACAAAATTGGATTCTTGTCACCCTTTTGCTTTGGCAGACCGTCCATCCTGTGTTTAATCCTACTTATACATTTTTTATCTCATTTTAGTGAAAGTATGTGGCAAATCATTTGCATTATCAGTCAATAAATGTTTTTTTTTCTTACACATTAGGTTTTATATGAAGATCTTAGTGATGTGGCACAATTCAATGAAAAAATTAGAGTCTCCAAATTAAATGCAACCTCACCACTCCTTTCAAGAGTTATTCACTTGCATTAGTAAGTTGAGCATTGATATCCTAGATTTATATGAGACAATCCTTTCAGCACAGTGCAAAAAGTTTTTCTTAAGTGTTAATGTTTTTTATATCTAATTTGATGTTAAAATTGTTTAAATATTAACATATTCTGTTTGTTTGGATATAAATACACCCTTTTTCCATTGGTTTTTTGTATAAGATCATGGTTTTATGGCATCAGCTTTTTGCAATTGAATTTTTTGATTGCATAGAAATATTTATCTTATATCTTTATTTAATGCGCACTTATCAATTCTGTTTTTGAAAAACTTCCCTCCAGAGGTTTTTATGACCCTATGTTTGTTGACTTTATATTGACAATTCTTAAAACGATAAAATATTTTATTAAAAACCTGCTGTTGTTTATTCAAAACTGCCTTACATCAGGCTTGTGAAACACCATTGATGGCTCCATTGATGGTAAAATAAGCACTGTTTATTTTGACCTACCAATAATTACCTTTGAAGAAAATTTTTTGGCCTGCAATTTATTTGAAAGATATTCATAAAATACCCCTCTCCAATTTTTTATGGACACTATCGTATTGTCAACTTCACGTCTAGAATCTTTGTATACCCTCTATAATTTATTTAAATGAGGAAAGCAAAGGTTTAGTTCGTTATTCCAAAAACTCTCTTTGGAGAGAGCACTTCTAAATGAAAGCATGTAGTTTGAAGAAATCTAAGCTAAGAATGAGTTCATCACAAAACCATTTTTTGCTTGGGATCAGTTTTAGCCATGTAAACAATTTTATAATAGTTGAATGCCCTTATTTATAGCTTGATGTGCCTGTCATTCGAACGACTGCGTGTCATCAGAGAATACAGATCACCAAGGTCCATCAGATCATTCACAAAAATCTTCATCTTTGCCTTGCCATTGCTGCTGTCGCCATATTATGTGTATCTTGGGCGCCAAGTGAACAATCGATGGAGTCCGTATTTCATTGCAGTTCTTGTGGCTTTTTTATTTGGAGCTCTGCAAGGTGTTCAGGACAAGCTTGACGACCCGTTTGACGGGATGAGTGAAGATGATATCAATCTTGAAACAGTAGGTGTCTGCATATGAGTGTAATTCTGCCTTGAAAGTTTTGATAATAAAGATGTCACTAGAATAAGATGTTTTGACTCGTGGAAAGCGCTCTTACATAAATATTTAACAATTTGCAGCATGACAGCGCCATATCGCTTTTTAAACATTCGTTTGACATTTAGGGTGCCAAACGTATTTACAAATAAGGAGTTCTGTTTGTTCTATTTTAACTTATATATAGAATATACAAGATTAAACATTTAGAATAAGACCCGGTGGTTCAGAGCGGTATAGACAATAATAAATGATATCATATTAAAGTGAATGGGTATCTTGTGAAAGCATAAATTTTTAAAAGGCTGTATTATTGGTGGACTTTGCCGTTCGAAACCTTTTTTATTTAGTCAAGTAATCCATCGGTTCACCTCTTTTAGAGGTATCACTCTCGTTCTCAATTTCTTGTAAATCGTTTGGAAAGGTTCTAAATAATAAAGAAAGGCTCCCTATGATTAGCTGACACCAGGCACCGCTGCGTGGCTACAGCGAATAGATGGCTCAGACACTGCTGCCAAGCAGTAGCGAATAAATGGTTTCTTACTCTCCCCTCTTTTGCCTTTTTCTATTTGAGATACTGTTTGAGAAATTTGCATTTAAGGATATTATTACAATCTTATCTAGCCTTGGACCCAGATTCTGTCTTTTTATATAGAGAGTCTGGTTCTCAGGGTATATTTTATCCAGTAGTGTAGAGCCAAAAAATGTAGGGGGGGGGCATAAAGCTTTCTCTATATTGTATACAGAGTGAACGTTTCAGTTGTTTTCCTTTGCATGGCTTCTCAATATCAATTTCTTTACCTTTCCATTTTGTCTACTGTTAAATCATTTTCCAATGTCTACCTGTTACTTGAGTAGAAAAATCTTAAAAATAGGATTAAAAGTATGCAAATGTCAAAAAGTAATATCGGTTCAGTCAAAGATTGGATCCTGGCCGAAATAAGCTATGATATTTTAGAGTTACCCAGAAAAAAGAGGAAGGGACGCAGCCCCCTGAGCTCCCCTCAGCCCCCCCCCCCTCTTCCACAGCCCTGATCTTATCTAGATAGGATCTGCTTGTAATTGGGCGTTTCAAAAATATATGTGTCCCTTTGTGCTGCATTATTGTGTTTGATATAAGGTGTATTTCGAAATAGTGTTCATAAAAATACATATAAATCTGAGTCTAGTCTTTAGAATTTTTATTTGCAATGAATTTTTAAAAATAATTTTTATACTAACATATGGTAATATCAGTAATAAAAAAGCCACGAGGTAACATTATATTACTCAGTCCATTACTCATCTATGAATTGATAGCATAAGTAGTCGTAAATGGCTGCTGAAAGCCTTTTTGCTCTAATATTCTTTGATCCTCTTTTGCAGCTTGACGAGTGGACAATCCAGTCTTTAGAAGCAACAGCAAACAGGACGGTCAAAGTGGGCCGTTTCACAGTTTCTGTTCAGAAACAAGGCAAAGTTGAATTCACAGCCTCTATGAATCCTCCTCCGGGTGGCGTAAAACGAGAAGAGTCTTTCGGAGTCAACAGGGCGCATGCGAGAAAAAGCCTCGGGTTGCTGCCATGGCAACGGCAGGTAACTGCTTGTCCTTTCTTTTAAATGTATTTTCTGCGAACGTTATAACCTATTTAGCGTGGTTTTTCTTCAATCTACTCTTATTTCCGAACTTTTTAACCAGACCATGAACCACCCTCACATCCATTGTCAAGGCGGTGAGTTCACTCGCCCCGTTTTTAAGATCCGCAACCCCCCCTGATAATCCGTCACCTATGGTTCAAAGACTGCTGCAAAGTGTCTACACTGTTTAGAGACCGAACCTGAATATTTGAAGCAATCAAAAACTATCTTTCAGTTATGGACAGTTTTGTCAGCGTGTCTGTTGCATTAAATCTAGAAACAACACACGGCATAGATTTTTATTTGATTTCTCGTTTATCTGCAGCTTTCACAGTTATACAGCGAAGAAGAAAATTCACCAGATTTTGACGAGATCAATGAGATGCACCCGTACAAAGACATATTGTCGAATCTGCCGGGAAATGCAACTATAGTTCGCGGTGGTCACGTGAAGGAGAGAAGGAATTTTGAAGATATTTTGCAAAATACGTCAACACAAAACACAATAGACCCAAATTTTGAGCAAGGATTCTTCCAAACCCCAAACAGCACAGTGCAGAAAACAATCGACAGCCAGCAATCACTAGGTGAGCTGTCAATTTTGACGCATGCTCTTAATTTACTAGTTTGCTCTAGGCTATATCTAGCCTGTTATGATAATGATACCCTGTATTTCATTTCAAAACATATATAGCTATTTTTGCATCCTGCGGTGCTCCTGAGACAAGATATATGGATGCTTGTCACTATCAACTAAGTACAACATTAGAAAAGTAAGGTTATTTATATATGGGTTCCAGAAAAAGCAAAGCCAAAAGTTAGGAGTTTTGGAATATTTATTCCTGCTGACCTCTTATATTTCTAGCTGCTCACTTTCTTCTTAGTTATCAGTCAAAATTTTTTAGTTTTTACCAATAAAGAAAACAAATTGTTAAATTATGACCAAAAAAGGATGTTTTGTAATTTTCGAATTGCTCATTTGGTACAGTCTAAAAAAACAGCCACATATTTTTGATTTTCACATTTCATGACTTGATGTGACAGAGACGAATAACCCATTTTTATCCAAAGCGGTATAACTGCGATTGGGTTGAACTGTAGTAATTAACACAACATCAAATCTGATCATTTTCTAGGCAAGAAGGTCCAGTTTAATCGAATCTTCTATGAATCAAAAGATTCACCAAGTTCGTCAAGACTTGATCAGTTACCAGTCGACAAAGCTGAAGGTTTGTATTTTTCCATTTTTTTCATTTTTGTATTGTATGAAACATTTCTTAAAAAGTGGTCAATGGACCTTAATGAAGTTGGTCGAGAACAGGGACACAATTATTTAAGAATCGGCTAAATGCGGCTCGTTCCCCAATCCTATTCTAACTTAGCTTGCGCATAAGGCAATGAGTACTCTCAAATATGAAGAAATGTGGCTATAACTAGTCTTGCGGTTATAACTATTTTACTTATGCAATAAAAGGCGGCAACTTGTCACATAAATTAGCATATGGGCAGTACGTAATGACTCACATTTTGCTGCATCCTGGAATCAGCCCTGGGTTGGTTATGGTTCCAATTGCAAATGCTTAAGACATTATGTGTCCACTAAGGTTTGTATCTAGGGGTTGGTATTGGCATAAATAAGAAAGCCTTGCCTTTATAAGGCCCACTAAACGACCTAATTGTTCTGGTTTAGCGAAAATCTGTGCACTGGAAAAACGTTTGCTTGTGTTTCTCACCTCTGTGTAGTAGTTTTGAAAATGGCTTTAAAAAAGCAAATATTTTTCAGCACATTTAAAGCTTTTCGTCTGACACCCTTCAGAGTATAAAACGTCAGAATAAGGTTTCGAAAAAACAAGTTGGAAAATATATACCCAGTTGTGGATCAAAATCAGAAAAATGGGAGCACATGACCGGTAAAGTAATTTTCTTATTTTTGTAGTGATTTTTTTTTATTTTCTCTGCAGGGTATCCGCCTGTAGCCTTCGATGCCCCCAAATCATTTCGGTGCCTTTTCTTGCAAGACCAAGATCACGTGATACAACCAGAGCCCTTGAAGCGACAGTCCTCGTTACCATCCTCATACCTGATCGAGGCTCCAGGTTGGTTATATTGTTTCCGTTATACTAAATATCCATCGTTTTGCAGAATTGACAAGCGAGAATAAACGTTTTTGTGTCTTTCCAGGGATTGCCTTTCATTTTGGTAATAAACTCTGTAAAATGAAAGAATTGCATTTCTTGTGGTTTGTTATCCTGTTTTGGATCATTTTCTTTATTCTCGTTCTCGTTTGGAAGCATGAAGATCGGAATCTCCCAATAAGTTATGTCTACAGTTTCAATTCAATATTGAGTATTAATTGATAATCGCTTTATAGCGTTCAATAACAAAGTATGACGTTAGGTTTTTTTTCAGTTCAACGAAAAAGAAGCATTTCCAAAGGGGGTTCAGAAAGTGCGAACATGATTGCCCACCCTGGTGTTGGTGTTGCTTCCTACATCAACTCGATGAACAAAGAGAAATTACGGAAACTTTCCGCACCAATCTTGCATGCTGGCCATAGCCCCAGTGAGGAGAAGGCCCCTGATATGAATTCATTTTCAAGTGATGAATCAGTTGGCATTGTCATGGAGAAAAGGTCATTGCAAGAGTCAGGGCAGTCAAATCAAGGGTCACTCTTCTACGTCCAAAAGGCAAAGCCTGTCAGCCTGTCCACTATATCGCCTGATTTCAAAGATGAAGCTACACCCACGCTCAACGGTGATTCTGCAGTTGATTGGAGGAATTCAAGAAATGGTAAGCAGTCAGGTATTGGCGACGAAGGAGTGAAGTTAGAATCGGTGCGACCAAATAATGACGATAGACAGGTTGTCATAGAGATAAGGAAGGCCAACTCAAAGACGAAACTACTTGGAGAAAATGATGGAATTGACAATGAGGTTGTTGACAAACTTCATGGAACAAAGAAAACCTCGCCTGGAGGGACACCTAAAGAGCAAAGGAAAGCTCCCAAGAAAAAGTTCGCAGTGACAAAAGGTAACCTCGATATCAAGCTAGCAACCCCTGCGGGGAGCAGCAGTGACAGTCTGTCAAAAGTTGTAGGTAAACTGAAAGACGAAGAGGTTTTCCTGTAATTCCAGGCAAGCGTGAATGATCTCTGCGTATGTTTCACTGGCGTTAAGCAACACTTGCTCTGGAACTTGGAGTTCACTTGCCGCCGCTTGGTATTGGCCAATTGGTATTGGCTCCCTTACTTGATATGAATGGATCAAGTTTCTCTTGCTTGTCTTTCATCGTCATTATTTTTTAGTTGGTATGACTTAAAGGTTTTGAATCGTGACGACACATTTTTAGAACGTTGTAATTCAATTGGCCATCAAAACCAATGAAATTTTGCATTAAATTTTCAGAACCAAAGCCAGGTATTATACTGTCTAAAAACAAACGAAACCCTACAAAATCAATTTTAAGGCTAACAACCCTTGGATTTAACTACCTCCCAACTTTTCCTGTATATCTCCCCATACAATATTAATGACGTTCATTGCCAGTCAGATTTCTAATCATAGAAAGTTGATATAAAGCAATATTGTAATGAAGTTAGGAAAACAACTTTTTAAAACAATGAAGATTTTTTGATGTTATAACAATTTTGCCTAGAAGTGTAGGAGGGAATTTCTCCCAATGTCACTCTGAAAAGGTTTGATCCTGTTTTTCTGCACTGCAAAATTAATTGTATTTCATACAGATTTTTAAGTAGATGGACTCGAAACTATTATAGGGTTTCTATTGACTTTCCCTAAGTATAAAAACAAGAAACCATGTGCAATCAGTATCCTTAGAATGAAAGATAATGCTTTTCGATCTAAGATAAGCCTTTATAAAGCAAATTGTGATTTTACTCTAAATTTAAATCATTTAATTTGAATTGTCGAGTTTTAAACTGAAATCGAAGCAGCTTGGTGTGAAACTATAGGAAAGTTTTCGAGCGTAGATGGGGTGAATTAGAGTTTTGATACATAGGTTAGTATAAAGCAGGAAAGAAATTTTTATGAATTGTTTTAGGCGAACTGCTTTAGGTAGACATCGAGTTTACTGTTGTATGCAAGTATGATATTATAAATATATCATTTCATTTGCCTCGAAATAAACAACTTTAAGATTTTACTTCGATAGGAATTACAAATTCCGTTTTTCAATCAAAAATTTATAGGACATTCAGTAGGCAGGCAGTAACTTACTTGTTGTTTTGGTTTTTTTATTTTGCATCCTTTGACCTTCTTTTGCATGAAAAGTGACAAAAGGGGAAACTTTGCATGCTCGTTTCATTACTAATTCGAAATGAAGCTTGCGTACTCGTTAGAATGTGGACACCTCAATTGACCAAGCCCCCCCCCCTCCCTCTAGCTCTGTGTTTAAAGATAATCCCAAGAGCTTTAGAGGAACAGACGTGGATATTCCCTTGTCACTGTTAAGTGCCCCAGTGGATTTCTTTGAATGTGTAGTACGAATGGAGCGTGCATTCTTTAAACTAATTATCAGAACGCAAAGATGTTGGTAGACATGGCGTGGCATGTTGAAGTTAATCACAGGTACTGCGAAAATCATTGTTAATTTAAGACGTCAGTACGAAGATGTTTTATTTCAATTTGCCATATCCTTTTATCACTAAAGTAAAGCATATCGTAAGATATTCCTTTGTACCTATAGCAATTTTTGATAAACAGGATCTGCATAACTTTCGCCTTATTGAAACAAAGGAAACATGCCCCTTCTCGTTTTCTGATATTCTACACGCATTTATCAGGCAGCTAAAGGTACATATGAGACTGTTCCCTGACAGAAATGTGTCATCTCCCTAAGTTCACAAGATACTGCAAGGTTCTTTTCGTGCATTCTCTGGCCTCGTGTTTCAAACCTCCTGCTTCCTCCCGTCCTGCCGTGAATCTCGCCTAGTTGAAAACGAACAACGATCCTAGTCTTAAAGCACAAAGCAATCTTCGATGTTAGTAGAACATTGCCGTTTAGAATTTCAATTTATTTAACACAGCATTTGCTGTTTGGATGTTTTGAAAGATTGAAAAGATACATTATTTTATTAATTTGTTTTTTTTCTTGGAAGTTTTCTTAGCAATTGAGGTGAAATATCTTTCTTTTTATAAGAATATGAATAAATAATTTATAATGAATGGTTTGTTTACTGTTGGCAACGATGTCTAGCTATGTATTAAGCAAATTAAAAGCAAATATTAGCAGTAAATATAAAAATAGTTATTATCAAAAGCGTAAATTTACAATAATAGATTTACAGAACCTACAGCTGCATTCGAAGTTTTCTACAGGTTTTATGTCTCGTTTAACATTATATAGTGATTGCCCCCCCCCACCCCCATTTTTCTAATCTAGGTAACATAATTTTTGGCCAATAAAACTAATGGTCTCTGTGGCATAAGTTGTTGTTCTAGCACTTATATATGTTGCTGCTTGTTCGAACTTCGTATTTTAGGTTTCTAATAACAAAAAAATATTTATTGGAAGTTATTGCAAATAAAAACAGGTTATTGAGAGTTTTTTTATCACAATCAAGAGCAGCAATAAATTTCTCTGGTGAATTGACAATGATTTTGTTTTACTCAATAATTTATCAGAATTTGCTGGTGCTTTCTCTGCATATGATTTGAAGTGCACGTTAATGAATCTTGTTTATTTTATTATTTAATTATCTACCATGGAACATCCATGAAAATGGGCAATAACTAAAATGAGACATTATAAATGAGGTCATTATTAGAGCTTGTTGAGGTGCATCCATGAATGTTGATTTGGAGCATGAAGCTTTTGACTGACTTTTTTGCAGAGGTTATCGACATGAGATTGTAAACAAAAGCTTGAAATCGTCTAAAATTGTCTAAAATTACTCCAATAGTGTAACTTCGGTGCTCACTTTTGTTACTGACCCATAGATATATTATTTACAGAGACTTCTTTATCTTTTTCCCTTAAAATCAGTAGATTTTTTCTTCGTTCATTTTCATGTAGCTATTTTCAACCCATTGTGATAAAAGCAAGCGTCCTTTTGAAGTGATTCTAATACTATGTCTAGATCAGATCCACATAGAAAGAAAGTCTCATCATCTGCTTGATTGCATACATCAATATCTTTCACCAGATAAAAATTATGTCGTTAAATTATATAGTAAAATTATGTATTATAGCACTGAGCCTTGTCGCACACCCAAGGCAGTCTTTTTTCAAAGAACTGAATGAGCATTTTACTTTCATTCTACGCCGCCTTTCAGGCAAATAGTTATGTACGAGGTTACCAGCATCTTTACTTAATTCGTATGCTGCGAGTTTTGTTAGCTAAAGGTCATGACTGAGGTAGTCAAAAACCTTGGAAAATACAAATTAGAACTCCTCCAGCTTACCCTTTTATATCTAGTGGTGGTTTACACTTCTTTTATAAGTGCCTGCTTTGTATTGTAGCCTTCTCGAAAAGCACATTGGTGTTTGGGCGAAAAGAGATAAGCGAAAGGCCCAATTTTCTCTTTATCTTACGCTCATAACTTTTGATATTGGACACATAACAGTTATTGGTCGATAGTTTCCCCTTTTCAGTGATCTTGCTTCTTAAAGACAGTCGTTAAGTTACCCTTTAAATTAGAAGGGAATATTTCTTTAATGATACAAAAGTTGAAGAGATTTTGTAATATATCATAGATAAACATGAGAATATTCATTCAGAACCCTGCTAGAGATGTTCTCAATCGGGGATGTCTTTTTTGTTTTAGTAAGTTTTCGCAAGACATAATCGGCTGTGACAAATAAAAACTGAAATTCTGAAGATGGTTATATGTTTTTGGTTACAAGTTTTATTCTAGGACAAGAACTGTATTTTCTGAAGGCAATTTTAACCGGATCTAAAAGTCCATCGTTAGAGACCATATACTCCTTGGATTCATTAATTCCAATGTATCGGTAATGTTAGCAAAATTATCATCAAAGATTGTCATTAATTACCGTATCATTTTCCAACATTGTGATTTTAGGCGAAGTCGGTATTTTTTCGGAGAAGAGCGGCAAACCAACAGTCATCATTAAGGCATTTAATATTTAAGTTTTTATAATAATTGATTTTGGTCTGTCGTAACAACAGCCAGGCTGTTTTAAACGCGTTAAGGTTTTCTTGATTCTAGATATTGTCATAAAGGAACCACCATAAAGGAACCATCATAAAGGGACCATCATAAAGGGACCATCATAAAGGGGCCATCATAAAAGGACCATATATTTTTCTTGATGAATCCATCCATGCTCATGCAGGGAAAAATCAACTTTGTTAGAAGGTACGTTGTGTTAAGATTACGGGAAATCTAGCTGGGATCCAGTTTTAGCAAAATGCAGTTCATTTCATAATCATTTGTAGCTCTCCGGCTTGCATTTCAAGTAGGTTTGGAAATAAGACTGAAATAATTACTGCTTAATTACTGCAGAGGGAGCCTCGTATAGAATCTGTAAATCCTCGTATACTCGTCACACAATTTACGATGATTTCAGAACTAAGCAAAATCAACTTAAAAATCCTCTCTTTATCTTTTAATCAATTAATATATATTTCATATTATTCTACATTAAAAGCTCTCAATAATTACTATCATATAAGGATTTTAAAATCACATAATATAAAATTTCAACATACTTAACTCTTTTTAACGATGTTATATATGATAAAGAAAAAGAAACTTTGATACAAAATAAATACATTCCAAAGAAGTAACGAAATGTCTAAACTGATAACTCAAAAACTAAGTACAATATAACCAAATCTATCAAAGCCAACGTTAAATTATTTGTCACCTTGGAAGGCTGGATCCAAAAGCCTATATGATAAAAAATCCTATACAAAATGATAAAAATCCTAAATGAAGTTAACCGTTTTCAATAAAACTATCAAGTTCGTGAAAGTGAAATGAAAAGCGTTAAAAATTTCAAAATGGAAGTTTTTGCATGGAGGAATTTGGGATATATTCTGCCACAAAACAGTTGAAATTTTGGTTGATTTCTGAGATGAATTGTAACTTTCGTTGAAGAAAAAGTTTTATGTTAGGAAAAGTTTTGGCAATATCATCATCAGAAGATATCGTTGAACAGCCACTTGAATATGTTCCATTGGAAGATCATCTCAAAGCTGACATTGGGCGCCTTGGCGAAAGGTTTCCTATGCTGCCACCAAGTTTTGATTTCATTGCTGTCAAATCTGAAAAAAATACATGAAGGCTCACAGCACTTTCTTTTTAAAAACTAATTGAACAGAAATCTTTTTTATTAAAATCATGGTTAAAAACTGCATGTTTCAACAGATCATACTATTTTCATCCGGGTCATGTATGCTCTATTGTTAAAGTAAAAGGTTAATCGTAAAAACCTAGAGATTTAAAGCTAAGCTATATTTAAAAGCAAAGTAAGGTGAGAGAGAAATAGCTATGAAGATTAATGCAAATAAGAGACAAGCTAAAAGTCAGCAAACAGACGTAACCCTCTAGCCCTTCTTATTGAACCCCATCGACAAAGCTGTAATATGTTCAACTTTAGAAGCAGAACTGAATTCATTGCAAGTGGCTAGAATTATTTCAATGCCCTTTGAAAAATTCCTAATGAACAACTGAGTAACAGCGAATTAGAAAAATGGTCCCTTTTCATCGAACCAGCCAGTGTTATTGTGCCCTCAATTTTATTTCCTTAAATGTAGCGAAAAGTAATTCTACCGTGTTCATCTACATAAAAGAGGGAGACGTAATATTCACAAAAATCAAACAGAAACCTTTGATCAGGGATATGAAATAACAAGTATAAATAATTGATTACTTTTGGGTTCTGCCAAGAAAAATTTTGAATCTCTCTATGCGGGTATTGTGCGAGGATGGCTCAGTTGTTAGACGCGCTAACTACAGACCCAAGAGTCCGTGGTTCGAGTCCCTGGCATGACCAAACTTTCACCCAAAGTGGGGAGAGTCGCCAGCTCTTTGTAATTCCAGGCAAAGAGATCACGAGATGTGGTCACATCGAGAGGAAGGACCAGGACACTGCTCGATAAGCATAAGCTTCTCAGTGCCCTAAAAACTACCTTCGCATGCTAGGTAGCAACAAATACAAATACAAATTGTCCAGCTTCAATGACAGGTCAGCTTGAGAAGGCACACTGCTAATGTTTTCAATATAAGAATCTTGATAGCGGCCCCTCCATCCGACCTGGTCACCCGAATGGTCAGTCCATCTTATGAGTAAAAAGTTGTGAAATTCAGAGGCAAAATCATCTCCCTTTCAGGAATATTAAATGACAGCTACAGACCTCTTAACTAATGCAATTATTCTGGTGTTTCTTTGGTCTGTCCAAATACAAGAGCCGAGTTTGAAAGTGCTATAGTTCAGATGAGAAAGATCACTAATTCTGGTGATTGAGAAAGTACTCGGGTGGGGCTTCTCTTGTGGTAAATTCAGTAATTTTTCCAATTTAGTGACACTATGATGTAGGGGGGCGTCTACCAGGTGTAGGCGTCTAATAAAAGAGGAGAACTGAAATGTGGAGAAAGTTTCCAAACCTGTTGGTCCAAGAGGAGCCGGGGCAGTTGGCCGCCGTTTCTTTGTCTGCCCGCGTGCTACTTGCCGCGCCCTTGATCCAAAGCCAAGGCACTGCAGGGTCTCAGTCAGGTATCGCTTGACTGGCGAGACACACAGCATTACAAGGAGTTTCGCATCGCCACCTTAAACAAAAATGCATTTAAAGACATCTGATAACATAACATAACATAACATAACATAACATAAAATAACATTACATAAAATAAAATAACATAACATAACATAACATAACATAACATAACATAACATAACATAACATAACATAACATAACATAACATAACATAACATAACATAACATAACATAACATAACATAACATAACATAATTTTAGCTATCTATAAAATGGCTAATGACATTGGCCTATCTATAAAATGGTATAAAATGACATTTTCAGCATCATCCAGAAGTTATTACCTTGAGGTATACTTAGAGATATGATTTTTCCAAAGAGGTAATTCTTATGTTGCGAATGTTAGGTAAAATCTTTCGATAAAGAAAATACAAATGATTAGTTCCGGGAAACGAAAGCTTACCGATAGTATCTTGCAATAAATGAGTGAGCTTTGTATTTCTGTAGGGCACGTGGGATCGGTGCTCTGCCAGGGCCTGTAATACATCTGCCAATGCACTCAAACTGTCGAAGAACATAGAGAAAGTGGATTAAGATTTGGCATAGGAGCGAGGGCCTTGCAACGCAAACGAGGCGACCACATCGGGTAAAGGTCCATGTCAATTGCCAGCCACAACGAAATATTAATTGGGTCCCAAGCGATGTTGTTTCTCATTCCAAAAAGGTATTCCTGTGGCGTTGAAAGGCAAATTCTTTGCTTCCTTTTAAATTGCTGAAAAGACTCGGAAATTAGGAAGAGATTGTCAAAGGAAGACATCTGAAGAAACTTTACATGTCTACGTATCAAATATTTCAACCTTGCTTTCAACAAAGTCCAATGGACAAAAATCAATAGGAAACTCTTTATGTCTTGCGAGGGATCTGCAAACGTCCAACAATACGTTAGAAACGCTTACCTTTTGTTTATTTCCGATGTTTCTCTTAGTGCAGCACCTGTTACCCCAGACATACCTAAAACCGAAAAATTACTCAATAATTGGAAGGAAAGGCTGCTCAATGATTTCAAGACGAACGGTCTCCATGATCGTCATTTTGATGATTGGTTCAAACATCACTAGCATTTCAAACATCACAAATCTTCGCTATTGTAAACTATTTTCCTCGTGTGGTTCTGGTTATTTTTTACTTAACGTGGCAGTATCGATTTCACGGGTAGAAACATCCTTCCTTTGCCGACAGACGTACTAAACCATCTACTATAAACCAACCCATAACGAATGAATGGCGATAACCTTAGATGAAATTAGCAATACACGAATAATGACAGATTGGTTTCATACCGACACACTCGCTGCCAGCAAGATCAACAAGCTGCAATTTCGTTTTAACCGTCAAACTAGTCACGCTTGACTTCAGGCTCATGTCGCTAGATGACGTGCTTGACTGGGGAGAGGGTGATCGGGAGCGACTGCCCGTGGAATGCAGCGTTCTGCCCGAAGACCGAGTGGATGCCGGCGATCTACGAATGGAAGACATCGTGAAATTAAAATAACTCTGCAATTGGCTGCAGCGATGTATATTGCTTTGAAATCAATAAAGAAGAGGGAGCCAGTAAATATGGAAAACTGGCAGAAAGTATAGAGAAATGTCCTTGAAGGCTTGATAGAAAAAATAAACTTGAATATCAATCAAGATGATTAATAAAAATTACTGCTTACCAGTCGGTCATAATGTACTCGATACCGTATAGGCAGAGCTCTACTCGCTATTTGATGTACAGAACAGAATATAATTTATACATTCTAATTTTGCAATATGATTTAGACAAATATATCTTACTTTGACCTTCTCCTAGGCCCATCAACAGAGACTTGTGGCAAAAGGCGCCTTGTTTGTGTTGATGTTGGCGTTGGTGGCGGAGAAGGTGGGGGACCTTCTGGTGACGTCACTCGCACCTGGGAAGATTGTTTGGTATGATAGAGATTCAGCTGAACAATAAGGTGAGAACGACTTGAATGCGCGTGAACTTTCGTAGCATCTTCGTGTCTTCTCCTTAGTCCATAGTGCACGTACGTCATAACTTCCTGAAATGACGTCACAGTCCTAAAAGTAGAGAAGTATTTATAGTCTCTGCGCATCAGTTGACAGAGAATGAAAAAATGACTTCACAACTATTAGAAATACGGGAATAACATATGACGAAGTCTGACAACAACCATGATTGCGAGGCAATCTCTTGATAAATAGATGGTTTAAAGCAAAGAGAACAAAAAAAATGAATTCGGACTAAGGATTGGCTCCAAAAGATGAATTTTCTTCTATAAGTTTTTGATATGATTTACATTATGAAAACCATAGAAAAATCGTGCACTTATTTACATGCTTTATATACCTTGAAATCAAACGTAAAATTTTCCAAAACTCAAATTTTGATTCAAATTTAAAATGGTTTCAAGCAGGGCATATACATTTAATGCCAGATCCTGTTTTTCAACTGACTTCGAATAAATTGCATAAAATAAACAAATGCTTGTTAGCATGATTTCGCTTTTTCTGTGAACCCAAACATAATTGGGTAGACTTGAACATAAAGAAAAAAAATAGTTGATGAAAGATATAGTTGTAGCAAGCATCAATATTTAATCATAAGCAGTTAATGTTGTAGCGAACATATGCTCAACCGATTAACAGCGAATGCAAGAATAACACAACGACGCATTTTCATAGCATTTCTGTTTACTGAAGTAATGCAAACTTTGGCAACTTTTAACCTTTCTTAGTTTTCAGCACAAAGCTAAATATTTTTGTTAAATAAAAAAAACACGAAGAGAATTCAAACCTGATTTCAGTTTGCATAACTCACAAAACATATTACTGATGGAGAAAGACTCTGATTTTTCTATTTATACAAAAAAGTAGCTTTCTATCTTTGAATATTCTTTATGAACAGGTGTAAACGTAAGAACACATCATGGGCGCTTTCAATATACAAGAAAGCTTTATAGACGGAATTACAAGACTAAATCCAGACCTTTTAAGTAGAGGCAAGAAATTGCCGTAATAATGGATTCATAGCAAGGATGCACTCTGTGAAAGGGGCTCAAAAGAGCAGAGAACGACCTAGAAAGTTTGGATTATTAGTAACTTAACAAAAAATCCTTACTTGGTCACCAATGACGGTATGTCTTGAGATCCATCGCTCGCCATGAAAACAGTGTGATTGACGTCTCTCTGTAGACGAAAAAAGAGAAAAAAATTAAAAGAAAAAATTTGATCAGCTGAGAAACGTACAAAATCACCAAAAGTTTAAGTTAGAGGCATAATTATGAATACTACAGATAAAGTTGATGCGATAGAGAACTAGAGTCATTTAAACGATAGTACTCAAAAAGTTCCGAGGAAGGCAAATTGATAAACATTCAAGTTGAAATGATAACTGGAGAAATTTATCAGAAGGTATAACAACCTAAGGAAAAACCTAACTAACAAAACAAAATATATTTTTATTGAATTTTTTTGTGGGTGATTGAACTTATTCAGTTAAAAATATTTAACACACGTTTTGCTGAAAGTTCGAAAACAGAGGTCAAATTTACCTTGTCAGGAGGTGCCAGCAAATCCTTTATGTGTCCTAAGTAAATTTCACAAACAGAAATTTCCAGAGAGTACCATTCGTTTGCATTTTCACGCTCTTTAACCAACCTGTTGCAAACAGCAATAAGAAGAATTCTATGCCATACAGCAATTCATAACTGATACTATCGTTTTAGAAATTTTAAGCAAACATACGAGCTTACATGAGAGTAGATTTGATTGCACACAAACAAGGCACACAACCACAAAATATGTCCTCACTGACTCAACAAGATTCAAACGAATGCAAAATAAACAGAAAGTAAAAATTTAAACAAGCAAAACGCCTCTCCCTACAAGCTATAGTTATCTTATCGGGTCATAAATCAATTCTTACAAGTCCCAAAGAACAAGCAATACTACAGCATTTAAATCATAACGAAAGAAAACCAAGCGGGTAAAATATATTCATGTCGGGATATCGAATTATTGTGTAGTTTATTTCATAAATAGCTTTGATGTCTTTTAACGATAAATGGCTCGCTGGTCAAGACATACCTAAAAATTTCTTTTGCTGATCGTGGAATAACTCCTTCCTCCGGTCCACACTGCTCTCCGTCTAGGTCCGAAGTCATTGTGTGACTGCTTAGCATTGTATGGGTTTTTCCGCTTCCGGTTTGCCCATACGCCATTATGCAGACATTATACCTATGAAAACAGGAATCAAGAATAATAAAAAGCGATCTGATTGTTACACTACTTCATGTTAATACATAAAACAGTCTAGAGGCAAACCCAAACATTTAGCAAAATCATCATGAAAGGTATGCTGAACTACTCTTGCTTTGTGAAAGAGACAATTTAAGACGATCTCAAGTTTGTACTAGACGAAAAGTGTCACACAAAAAGCTTAAGTATGACTATTTGTTCAAAATAGCTATTAAACCTCTTTGGTTCGTTAACATTCAAATCCTACATTTAATGGAAGTGGAACTGGACATGAGGCATCACCAATTGAGGGTTGCACTAAAACCTCGTTTGTATGCATCAGCTGTCAATAAAGTGTCGATAAAGCCCTTGAATATGAGACTTTTGCTAATATTTCAACTAGTTTAGCTCTATGTGTATGAACGGCCTCCTTTTCAATTCTAAAAATCTGGAAAATTTCCAATGCTAATGGAAGCAGAAAAATGTATTTCAAAACACAATTGAATGTTCAGGATAATTAGCAGAAAAAGAAAACAAATGTGGTTTATGATTTTACTTTGACAGATATGAAAAAAGCTAGGGAAAACTTTCGAAAATATATGTTAGATAATGCAAAAGTGAGTTAAAAAGTATAATCAAAGTTCTCTAAAAGTTACAAATAGAACCTTCAAGAACAAATACAAAACAATCAAATGTCTCTTCCTAATTCAGCGTTGCAAAATTTTTATGGAAGCTTATAACATAATCACAAATAATTTGAAAAACATAAAAGCAAAGGAAAGACACCATATATTTGCATGCTTTCAAGTTCCTTTAATAAGAAAAACCACCGTGACACAATATCCTTGCTTACATTTTTGTAGTCAGTTATCAATCTTGGAACTCTTGTTACTTAGCGTTAAAAATGACATAATGTTTTGATAATGCAGGAAACCCATTTCCCTTGAAGCAGATCAGATCGAAAAAGAAACAGAAATCCACGCTAATACTTTTTGCTACACAATTTTAGTTTTCTGTTAGTGAAAGGTTATTTTTGACGCATTTGATAAGAAACGTGCCAAGAAAATTGGATGCTTAAAAAACTAACATGATTTCCTTTTACGAAACAATCACGGAGGCTAAAAGCAATAGTCTAAAAGCAATAGTATTTACAGATGAAATAACATCAGCCGAAGCTAAGCATTAACAGTAACAGAACATTTGCATTAGATTTAGTTAAGATAATAAGGTTTCAAATAAACATAAAACAGAACAAAAATTTAGTAGAAATAGACAAAAACAAACCCATCAAGCAATGATGTAAGCAGCGGTGCAACGTCTTCGAAAACCTGATCCTGATTGTCTGCTGGGCTATAAACTCTCTCAAACTCGAATGACTTGGCTTTGGCTGCTGTCACGGAAACATTCTCGTCGTCCTGTGCCATCACTACTTCTTCCGACAATGTGCCAGGCAAACCAAGAAGATCGGGCTCCCCTCCTGAATCTAGGTCGCAAAGCATCGGTCGAACACGACAGTGGACTCTTATGTTTCCTCGGAGCTCCTACGGATAAATTCAAGTAGATTTTGTCAGTGATTATTTAAAGAACAGTTCAGTCCCTACAACTAAGAACATGATAGTACATTATGAAGAGCCTTTTTCATCACAAAAGAGTCACAGCAGAAGTACATATCGATTGAAAGAGCAACAAAACATGCAAAAACAATAAATTAACGAAGATGTTGGCCATTGAATTAGAGCATCGTACTCTTCGGCCCAAGTGCATATCGCTTAAATCTCGTAGACGCCAATCTTCACGCTATGAACATGTTCTGCTTACTATGCATGCATAATTACCATGCATGTGTTATGACTGCTTACCATTAGTGTATTATGCAGTGTCTTCCTTCTGTTTCTTTCGCTGTTGGCCAGTCTCTGTGCCTCATCCAGAGCCAGCTCAGCTTCCATCAGCTTACTTTGAAGCTCTAAAGAAGAATATTTTCAGGATTTTTATGAAAGTCGTTTAAATGTATTATATATTTTAGCTGTGAAGGATATTGCATGGAATGCGGGCGCAAACACTTCTCAACAGTGTCTAAAAATAACCCCAAAAGACTTGCTGAAACAAAGTTCAATACACAACACTCTCTCTAAAAAAACTTCCAATACAAGCAAATAAATCCATGATACATTACACACAGGTCACATCTTTGGTATCTCTGCGTACCTTCAGAGTCCATATGTCTCTTAGAATCCACAGATCGCAAGAATCCAACATGCTGCATTGCCTGTTGTTCAATCATCTTTATTTCCTGTTTGAACTTTTCTTGTATGTCCTCAGCATCAATCTTTATATGAGTTACATCTAACTTCAAGTCCTGGTAACAAAGAAGGTTCAACCATTAAAAAGTGCTAATGTATACCGCATGTTGACAAATAGATTTGATGATGTTCAAATGAAGACACATCGCCATACTTCATCATTCAATTTTGAAGTGGCAAATGCTTTAATAAATTTTGAATTAAAACATAACAAGCAAACAAAACAACTATTAAAAAAACCACTAAAAATACCGTCTGAAAATTAAAGCTACAATTTGCCAAACACCCTAGAATTGAAATGCCTTTGTTTTTCAAGAAATTAACAGTTTCAGTGGAAAAGACCAACAAAGACCAACAATAAAAAAAAGAAATTTACAAATTTTCTTGATTTTGGTTTATTTACCAGATCGCATGACAAAAATTTAGATGGAGAGCAGTGTGGATCTGACAAAAGAGTTATTCCATGATCAGCAAAAGAAATTTTAGGTATTTCTTTACAAGTGAGCCATTTATCAACTTATAAACTTCCATCAGAAAAACAAGCACAAAAAATACTTTGCACAGCAAAGCAGTCCTGGCAGTATGAAATTTGCTAGCATGCTGAAATCCTGAAAGTGTGATGGAATGTCATCCATAAAGTTTGGACCTTAAAATTTTTCAGAAGATCTGATAGACTTTTAAATATAATATTTTTTGTGCGAATGCTTCAGGGGTGCATTGCTGCTTGAAAAAGTATATGCGGTTTTTTACGAACCAAAATTTTTTACAGAACTTTTGAAAAAGTTTTAAAAGGATTTTTTCAGTTATTAAACTCTATCAGCTTTTACCTATAATTTTCCATAATTATATTTATATGTGTAGCATTCGTATATTTGTTAGTCTAGTTGCATGTAATGGCCATAGGGTTTTCATTGTCCTTTGCTTCCCATGGTATTACACCTGTAGTATGGTTGAGTAATTAGAAAGTACAGTATAATCTAGCTTGTATCATAATATTTTACCTGGATATATAAAAAAAGGATTTCACAAAAAGCAAACAAGTTTTTAAAAAAGTAATGATGCCCAAGAAATTAATCGTTTTTGAGGTTAACAAAAACAACTCAACCATTTCTTTGAGAAAATAGAGAAAGAGAAACAAAAGAATAGTCAGTCAAAACATGGCCCAGGAGTTATAGGCATATTCAAAGGCATGTGTGTGCCATAGCACACTTAATAATACAAAAGTAGGGAACGTCCATTGGGCTATGAATTTATCAATTTCAGTCGAACTATTTCAATCTTCATTTATAGTTGAGGACAAGATTAGAAAGCTTGAATGCATGAATTTTACCTGCACTTTTGAGTAACAGCTTTTGATTTCACCACTGACATTGTTTCTGAATTTCTCATTATCATCATACAGCCTGCGAATATGTGTGGTTTCTTTTCTAGTAGAGCGCACATTTCCTTGACACTGTAGACGAAAAACTATATTCATTTTAAACTGCCCATTTTCTTATTTTCTTTCGCAAAAACTATTCTGGTCAGTACAAAATTACTGAGACAGAAACATCTATTAGTAAGAGGTGATTTCTTCCCATTCATATCCAAAAATGATAGCACTTTCTGGATAATATCATGGAGCAAAATCCAAGCCCCAAATAAATTGCACCTAATTTCAGATACAAAACAAGTCTTAACCACTATGCAACAGAACATTTGAAAAAAGAAATTTCTATCATTCCATGAAAAAGTGACACATGGCTATAAAATAACAAGCAAAATTTATATTTGACAAAACAAAAAAGAGAAACCTGAGCAAGCTTCAAGTATAGCATGGCATTTTCTGTTTCAAGGGCTATGATTCTTTCTTCTCTTGCCTAAAAATAGAAAGATATTGTTGAATATATATAATATTTTCTGACCTGCTTTTAAAATTACAGCTATTTCAAACACTTCTTTGAGCAGCTGTTTGAGAAAAATAAACTGGGAAATTAAAAGCTCCATATGCAGTTATGTTTGTGTCTTGCTGATAAAACATAATTTTGATGAAGATAAAAAATTTGAAGAAATCAGCACAGCAAAGTTGACCCCAATTCAGGGACAGGACAACATTAATTTTTTCTCAACTCATATCAGTTATTGTGGAATAGTTTGCAGGTAAAGCTCAAAATCTGTGTGTACACTTGATGTTCACACTAAAGTGCACTTGGGGTCCATCGTTTTTCATATCTGTCTTGATTTCTTGATGCAGAAAAGCATATTTATACATGAGCTTAATAAAAGGTTTGTTTATGATGATTTCTTAGCTGAAAACTGGATTTCTCAGCCTGATTATTTCCTGAGTTGGCTAAGAACACAGCAGCCACAGTGCCAATGTCATCCCTTTGCCATTAAATTGTCTCTCTTTTGCGAACATAATAATGACCTCCCACTCTGGCCTGTCATCCTTTCAGAATCTTCTCTATAGGAGGCAGACAGTAATTGGTAGATGTAGATGAGATGTCATTGTGGCACATTCCACGGAGCCAAGTTATATAAGGTCAATATTGCAACTGTACATACAGAAAAATCGAAGTTTTTGGCATGTAAGGAAATCAAAATTATTTATTACAAGTGGTTGGCTATGACTATATATGTACCCAAACATGTTTACACTAGTGTAATGCCTAGTTAAAGTTACTCGATCGATCCATCGATTGTGTAATAATAACAAGACATCCACACAAAAAGGTTCTCAAAATCAACATCATACCCGAAGAAGTTGCTGAAGCTTTTGGATCTTATCTTTGGCTGCACCATTTTCAGGCATTTCTACAATAATCAGACGAATTTGCTTTAGCTTCAGGATTAGATTGCCTTTGCATTGCATTCAAATTTCTCTGACTTTTGTTTACACTACAACAACAACTGCTCTTTTCGAATCCAAAACAAAAGACCGCATAGAGACGGGAAACTGGGGACGAGTTAGCGGGTAGAAAAGTTTCGGAGAACCTTCATTTAGCCCCAAATTTGTAAGCCCTCTTCCTCTGAAACCCCATCTAGGATCCTAAGCATTAGATTTTCCCCTGGGGTTCAACATCACATCTCCAGCCCCAGTAGCCTCCCATTGTTTAAAACCATATGCTATTGCCTCCCTTTTTATAACATAGGGGCCCAATGGCTATACATACGAAGAAGATGTATAGTAAAGAGCGCTAGCAAGACGGAATGGGCTTTTCTATGAAGATGTTTATAAAAAAACAATATAAGAATATAGGGTCTCGGCGAGAATTTAATCTCATTGACATTGTCATTTACGGTGGAGTACCATCTTTGGATAACACAGCCAATTAAAAACTTCATCAGGAAAAAGAATAGGGCTTACAAGTCTTTCATCAGAAACGGGCAGCCAGAGGATAGGCTGGAGGCCATTACTAATATGATAGCTCATGGATCAAAACTAATTGAGGAAAAAACTCTATTGGTCCTTGATCAATAAAATCTTGAATAAAGCTAAAATACCAATAATCCCTCCCCTTTTAGAAAACGATATTTTTGTGTTGGATTTTACTGAACAGGCAGAAATGTTTAATGATTACTTCATACAACAGCGCACTACAATCGATACTGGTAGCGAACTTCCTCCGCCATCAGTACCCAATACTTCACTGATCACTGGCTTTTCTATTTCTGTGAGAGAAGATCTTGAATATTATCCGATCTTTGAACCCAAAAAAGGCTGATGGCTGGGACGATATCTCAGTACAAATGATACAAATCTGCGATGATGCACTCCTTCTACCCCTTAGATTAATATTTGAGTCCTGCTTGACCCAAGGTGTGCTCCCCTAAGTTTGGAAACAAGCCAACGTAGTTCCCATCCATAAGAAGAACAGTAAGAGTCTTAAGAACAACTATCGTCCTATTTCTCTCCTTCCAATTTTCGGTAAAATTCTAGAGAAACTTATCTTTGACTCGCTTTATCACCACCTAGATACAAACAGTCTTTTAAACCAAAACCAGTCAGGTTTTCGTCCAGGAGACTCGACTGTTAATCAGTTACTATCAATCGTCAATGACATTTTTTCAGCATTTGACTGCAATCCAACTCTTGATGTCCGTTCGGTTTATCTAGATATTTCAAAGGCTTTTGACAGGGTCTGGCACCAGGATCTTATTTATAAACTAAGCCAAATTGGTGTCTCTGGTAAACTAATGATTTTAATACAAAGCTTTCTCAATGATAGAAAACAGCGTACAGTTTTGAATGGTAAGACATCTACATGGGGTACCGTCTCAGCTGGTGCTCCTCAGGGTTCTATCCTGGGTCCTCTTCTGTTTCTCATTTATGTTAATGACTTGACAGATGGTTTAAGGTGTAATGTGAAATTATTTGCCGACGACACATCGATCTTCACAGTTGTTCACGATCCACGTGCAGCTGCCCTCGATATAAACCATGATCTGAATCTTATTGAGCTTTCGGCGCACAATTGGCGAATGTCCTTTAACCCTGACCCCAACAAGCAAGCAGTTGAAGTGACCTTTTCTAAAAAGAGAATTCCAATGAATCACCCACCCATATTTTTTAATGATGTCCCTGTAAAGAACGTCCAGGAACAAAAGCACCTTGAAATCATACTAGACTCTAAATTGTTCTTTATTAGTCACATCAAGTCAATTATTTCTAAATCTAGACAAGGAATAGGGATGTTGAGATTCCTCTCAAAATACCTACCACGACACGCCCTCAACGAAATATACAAACTGTATGTCCGGCCACACTTGGATTATGGTGAAGTTATATATCATATCCCTCATAAAACATGTGAATTTAGTCATAGCTTTAAATTAACTAAACAAGTGGAGAAACTTGAGGCTGTACAATATTCTGCTGCATTAGCAGTAACTGGCGCTTGGAAGGGCACATTGCGTGAAAAAATATATGAAGAGCTTGGCTGGGAGTCTCTCGACCTCCGTCGATGGAGTAGACGTCTTGTCCTCTTTTATAAGATTATGAAAAATTTAACTCCGGATTACACAAGAAATCCTATCCCCAATGCCAAGAGTCAAACTACTGTCTGCGCAGGCAAGCTACAATAGGGCAAATACGTGCGAGAACAGAGAGATTTAAATCAACTTTCTACCCAAACTGCATGTCGGAATGGAAAAAACTTGACCCTGAAATTCGTGAATCCCGCTCAGTGAATGTTTTCAAGAAACAACTTCTAGGACTCATTCGTCCACCCTCTAAATCGGTCTACGGAATTCATGATCCAAAACTTTTATCTGTTTTAACGCAGCTACGCGTTGGACTAAGTAAGCTAAATTATCACAAATTTAATGCTCACATGTAACACTTATCATCAGTAGCGACGTTAAGTCGGGGCAGTGCGTTGAGGCCCGAGCCCTGTAATGTTATGTATTCATTGCACAGATCCTAAGTATAATATAGGTTTTTAACTAGCAGTAAAATAAATAAATAATTAATAAAACAAGAACCTATAAGTAAATATCACCAAATGTAAGTATAGTCCTTATTATATTAAATAAAATTAGGCTAGAAAATATGTACAAGCATAGAGATAAAAATTACATTATATACATATAGTCTGTAAAACTACATTGATTTTAAGTTTTGCTTAAACTGGAAAAACGTTTTTGATTGCTTCACTCTTGATGGTAATTTGTTAGAGTCAGCAGTGGCTTGATACAAGAATGTTCTATGATGGCTCGCCGTTGTCGACATAGGTACGTGGAAGTGCTGTTGTTGTCTTGTATTTTACTCATGAATTAGTGAGTTTGCATGGAACAATTCAGAGAGATATTGGGGGGCTTGGTTGTTTAGACATTTGTACAGTAAACAGAGCCTTTGAGTCTTTCGTTGTTCCTCAAGCCTTTTCCACTGAAGTATGTTAAAAGCTGGTGTCACACGTTGCCCACGCTGTGCCCGTTGCCCTAGTGGTGCGGGGGCTGCAAAGCGCCCTTTTCAAGAAATTGATTTCCGAGCAATACTAATTCATTAACAAAAATATTTTCGTTGATAAGTTCTCTTTCATGATCATGCTGAACAGATTTAGATTGCCACCAACCTTGGCTCGCATATGTTCGATACATAAGTTAAAGCATCTATTATGTCTTAAATTCAAGCAAAGACGTAGGAACCGCGGAGCAGTGGGCTCGTACCCTCCCCCCCTTTATCCAGAATTCAGTTTACCTGCCACTTTGCAGCTCACCGAGTTGCTCTTTCTGCCAACTGCATAACCATAAAGTGCCCTGGAATTGCTATATGAATTGAGCAATTTCTTTTTGATCTGCTTTTAGAAGGACCAAAAATCAAGCTCACAATATGGGTTACCGAAAGGTGGTGGAGATGGAAAATTGGTCATGGGCCTTTAGGGTTAAGGGCGCGGCTTGTGAAAGCAATTAGTAAGACAACAAAATTGTACCACTTTTCAAATCTTTGCAAGAAGGTGACTGCAAAAAATATTCTGAAATGGCTTTTAGGTAATCTAAAGGGCATGGTCGCCAACATTTTTTGATCCCCTAATAATGGACAGCCCACTCAATATGAATTTCGTTCCAATGGCACTGAAAATGAAGACATTGTATTCAGTGGCGAAGCTGGACTCCCATGGATGGTCGTGCCCATTGGCCACTGCGCAACAGAAATGCGCCTCCGCAATATTATAAAAAAAATATTTCAGTGATCTAAGGAGCTCATATAGCAATTACATGGCACTGCATCACTTTTCTGACAAGATAGAAAAAACTAAAATTAAAAGTATAAAAGCTGCTTTTGTGTCTCCCCTGCCTCTGGCTGATACTCAAAATTCATTTTCTTCCCAAAGTGTGATGGAGGTTCCTGGCAACTTTTTTCTATTTTTGTTATTATTTATCCAAATATCAGTTCACAGGATAATAAAGCTTGAACAACAATCTTTTTCTAAAATTTTATCAAATTATTGCAACAATGGGACCAAAATATACACCTTTGGACTCAGATTTCAAATGTATAATAATTGCAAGCGCTATTTGTTTTGCACACATAAAATTTAGAATTTCATTCAGAAAAGAGGCAAAAGTTTGGCTTTGAAGGCAAACTTGACTGTGGAGTGCAAGGCATGTATCAAGAATTAGATGACAAATGAAACAGATTAAACAGAAATATTAGAATATCTGCTGAACACAGTACTGTCATGCAGCATTATTGATCTAGCCACAGTTAAAAAGCACTAAATAGTGAGTGGCAGAATGAAGGCAATCTTTCTTTAAAATCCTTGAGACCTGTTTTTTCATCAGGTTTGTTGCATTAAGATTTGTAGGTAGCCACTTTGTTAAGCTGAACCAAACCACTCACAGAGATTCACCAATCAATTAGATACCTAATTTAAGGTTATGCCTTATGAGATAATGATAAACTACACCATGTATGACAATATTTGAAAGTTGTATAAGATGAAATAACCATTATAAGGTTTAAATAAAATTCCAATTGAAAAGCAGCATTAAATTAATCATTGAAAAACAGATCATGACAATTTATGAATAAACAGGGCAGCATACACAAATGAAGAATGTTCAATAAATTTCTTCAGTTTCCAGCTAGGTGGAAATACTGAGATCAGATGACTGGGGTCAAAAATTTAATACAGAATAATCATGAGCCTGAGAGCTATTGCAGACAACAGTGTTTCTCGAGCAAACAATTAAGGGGGGTATGTGTAACAGCTTAAAGATTATTTCACCCTGCTTATTTAAGACAAACTGACTAATTCATGGAGAAAGTTACCTATATTAAGGAAAATATATGCACACCCAAGGAAACTGCACACAACCAAATTACATAGAAAGCAAGATAAAAAAGCAAGAAAAAATCAGAAAATCACTAGGCTGAGCAACATAAACAAAATCATCAACAGGTTGATCAATGCTATTTCATTTTTCCCTTTCACGTGTTTTAAGGAGGGTAAAACTCTAGTAGAGCTAATTTGCAAAGAGGTTTTCTACTATAAATACTTTCAAAATTCAGAACTTTCTACTGGGAAGATTCTAGTCCAAAAATACATCAAACACCTCATAACTAATGTAAAATGAATAGATATTTATGTACATTTTGCCCCAAATGTTCATAATACTTTCGTCTTGAACACCTAAGTATACTGTTGTCAAAATAAATATTGATTATTTTATTGATTGATTGATTGAGTTTATCCCGTTCGGTGTGCGTCTCTCTGGTACAAATCCGAGCGAAAACTGCCATATTTTCCATTCTGATCACGTTAAAAACATCCAGATGATATTCAAATTATTGTTCATTTTCTAGATAAGATAGCATCTTGCACATTTGAAGATCTTGATTCTGTTTAGGTGAATGAGAACTTGTTCGCCTACCAAAGAGATCCATTGGATTGATTCCGTATAAGCTGAGTCAAAATAACTATGAAACAATCCCTCCACAGTCGTTAACCAGTTTCCTGGTAAATTACAACACCCTGATATCACACCAACATCCACAAACGCCTGCAGTATTGACAAGTAGGCCCCAATGATACAGGGTGCAGATAGTCTTGCCTTCAGAAACGGGCACGACCTCGAGATTGATTTCCTCCAGCTTACCCAATCAAATGCTGGAAATCGTACCTCAACTATTATTATTATTATGACGAGGTCGTGCTCATTTCTGAGGGCACGACTAGCATTGTTTTTCTCTATTGTTGGGCACGACCAAACATAGGCTGTCCAATTGAAGCTTCTATTGTTGGGCACGACCAAATCACAAGGTACCAGATTTTGGGCACGACCAATATGAAACCCTGTGGATTTCTACTCCGCTCCTGAAATAATTCCAGGGGCCCTGGGCGATTCGAATAGAATTCACTTATGTTTGCGGGATAAGCTTGATCGATTTGTCGATTATACGACCAATTTTTGTCTAAATTTGAAAACTTTTCGCGGAGCAAAATAAATTTTTGCCAATATGTGAAAACCTTACTTTTGGAAGTTTATGGTCGTGCCGGGCACGACGGGCACGACCTTTGGCTTCGCCACTGATTGTATTTTATTGATATGTCTGTGAAACTTTCTACCCTGTCCTGCAGCCTCGTTACCGTTCACAAAACTTCTTCATGAGGTGCTTGCAAAGATGGCAGAGGCTGATTTTAGCCGTACTGTAACAGGCAATGAAAGCCTTCTGTTAGGGACAGCAGAGCTCTCGCAAATGTCATGCTATGATTTTAGCGAATTCAAGGTAACAAAATGATTTAAGTAATTTGAAGTTTTTCTTCTGTTATTTGTCTTTTATTTGTATTTCCTGACCTTTGCAACTGTGATCCTCCAGTCTGCAGAGTAAGGCACTTTTCGACGAGATCTCCGGTGTGCACGAGCAAAAAGCCTGGTGTGACGGTGTGCACCACCAAAAATGTATGGTGTGCTGGTGTGCACCGACTATTTTTCCCTGTTGTGGTTTAAAATTTGTGAATTTGCATTTCACCGTAAAAATGCGTGTGAAGTATACTGTTGAAGATAGCGCAAGTTTTTATTTGTATATTTGTCAAGTAAGATTCATGATATCTCAAATTGTTCATACACAACTGTGCTTGTTTTTATCAGCTGACATTTTCTATGGGACCACACTAAGCCACACCCATCTTAGTTGCCACACCCAAAAATACGGGTGTGCAACAGGTTTTGCGCAAAAATATCTCCGGTGTGCACATGCCATACTCTGCAGACTGGGTGATCCTGGACGCAGGATTGCGAGGGGCGCCTACGAGAAATGGACATACCGAATTAAAGACCCGAAATGTCCCTCGTGGGTTTCTGGCTGATGAGTTGCTTTTTTATAATTTTCTGCCCACTTACAAGCTAGTTGCTTAAAACATACAAGGGCACACACAACCACCCCCATCTGAGTTTGAGGCTGTAACCAGGTGGTAGTGACTACTCCTTATCTCCTTATTTCTCATTTTTCTATTTTGGATTTTATACTTTGATTCACATATTGGTTTTTTAGTTTTTACCTTCTATGCCTATAAAAACGTTACCAACGTTGCTCTATTTTTCTAACTCAGAAAAACACCAGTCAATATGGTCTCAGATCAGTACGCTACCATGAAGCAAAGTGCTGGAATGTCATTCCTGTAGATATAAAAAGGTCACCATCTGTGAATGTCTTTAGTCTTAAACTCAAAACCTACTCGGGTCGGTTATTTTCCCGCACTCTCTATTAATTATCTTCGAAATCCTGTTGTCTGTAAAGTTATTAAAAGTGTATTACAGACAGCTCACAATTTACCCATAGTTTCTAAAAATGTTACCTGAAAAGGGGGTGCTCTCCTCTCAATTAGCTTTGCTATTGAGAGAGTTCCTCCTTAAGAATTCTCCTTCATACAAATCCTCTAGTGTCGTGTATCTTTCTTTAATTTTGTGTGTATTGTCTTATGTAGTTAATCAAATTGTAGTAAAGTATGTTTAATTTTAGAGTCTTTCATGTAGGTGAATTTAAAATGAAATGAACTGAAACCGGCTACAGTCACATAAAATTGAGACCCAAATATGCAATACTTTTCAATTTAGCTCCGTTCCAGACTCTGCAGAGTATGACAAGTGTACACCCAAGATATTATTTTCTAAAATGTCCCTTCACACCTGTTAAAGGGTGTGGCATTTTGAGATTTGGATGTGACATGCGTGTGCTCTAGGTATTGCTTAGATATTGCTTAGGTTAGCAATAGGTATTGCTTAGGGCAAATGAAGAACTAATTTTCCTCAAGATCGATATAATTATGCAGTGGTTTGATAATAAAATAAATATCAATCATGTGCATTTTCTCATTTTTGTTTTAAATGTCATTTAAATATCCTTGGACTCTAGCAAAGCTGAGCACACTAATGTGCAATCTTAAAACAAAGTGCACACTTATACCATATTGCACACTTGCGCAATTGAAATTTTGCTCTTGCACACCCAAGATCTTGTTTGCTTACTGTCCCAAATTTTTTGGTATGACTATAACTGGAGTGGAGTGTACTGTATCACACGAATGGTATGATTTGCCTACATTACATAATTTTTTTTGCTTCTAGGAGTCATTAAAAACACTTCGATTAATAGATGACAAAATAATATACAAATTAAACACAAGTGTGCCCACAGATTCCTTCAAGCATGAAGTTGATGCAGAAGGAAGGTGCCGTGAACTTTACTCTCAGGTTAGATTTTAAAGTATCAATTTGTACAAATTTAATCCTTATATATTGATTGAACAGACAACTTGTACAATACATTAGACTCGGCTAATAGTTTTTTTTTCATATTCACATAAAATCTTTACAAAACATACACACATTTACCAGACGATACCACAGGGAGCATGGGAATACATAGCAACCCTGTGGCAATTTACATTCAACATATAAAACTAAATTGACTACAATCTAAAGATTCAAAATGAACAAAAAGAATAAATATATATTAATCAACTACAATTTAAAGATGCAAAATGAAAAGAAGAAATAGAAACTATTTCTAGAAAGAAGAGAGGAGAGGGGAAATATGTTGTTTGTATCATCAATTTACTCAAAACATTTAGAGGCCTGGATAAATTTTAGCATTGCAGCGAGAATTTTCGAATTTGATTCAGGTGGTAATTCTTCATGGCCATAGAGGATGATTTTTAGCAGATCTTCATTTGAAAGATTTTTCAGACCATGAGGCAACAATATCGCATTTACACTGCTGAGGAGATCATCCTAGGCCTTGCCCGGTAAGGCGCTCGATCGAGCGCGCCCACCTAGAGCGCACCCAAAAGAAGCCTTGGAGAGTGATTTATAGAGCCCCTCAAAACGTAAAAACAATATTACCACAGAGCAAAATAATTTCTTGGCCTTGTCTAATAAACTTGATCAAGCATAAAAAATCTTCCCAATAGACCGCAATATTATGATTTGCGTAAGATTTCCCCTTGAGAAAAAAATTCAGCAAATTAAACATTGGGTTTTTGATACCATTTTTAATTTAATAACCCTCTAATACCCACCAAGGACACAGGCCATCAAGCGTATTCTCCGGCAGATTTATTTGATTTTCAAGCAAGCGTTAACCTTCTGTTGAAGTATTATTTTCTGTTTTTTCTTAAATAATTTAAAATCACCTTTGCAAATCAGAGACCACATTTCCGTCCAAATTACCGCATTGCTTTTCAGTTTTCATTTGCTTTCGCGAGTAGTAGATGTTCTAGTGTGTCTTATAGAATGGATAGCATAAAAAGGGAAACAAAGTTAATGTTCGACTTAAAGCCATGCATTTTCCTTTATCTCTATATTTGTATTAACATAGTATTTGCTGCATGTTTTGTTATTTCATATTATGGTGCTTTTTGGTATCACCATTGAATTTCTTATTTAACACTCTTCCAAAGCTTTCAATATGAAGCTCTCGATCTTCCAAAGCTCTTGAAGGATGCTCTCAAGGATATTTTATTTTATAAGGTGTGAAATAGAGCGCCTAGAGTTTCTAAGGGGCTCTTTTTATGAAGCACCTTCATTTTGCTTAGAGCAAGGCCTGCTATCCACATTATAATTATGTTCCATGTCCTCAACACCATCATTTATTGGGCACAAAGGGTTCAAAGTGTCATTAAAATTGTGCTTAAATTTATGGAAATTTATCTTACTGAGTCCAACACGTAACTGCATTATGATGGATAGGCCATTGCTAATAGTTACTCTGCTTAAAGTCACACTACCTGTAACAGTCACATAAAATTTTGACCCAAATATGCAATACTATTCAATCAAGCTCCTCTTACATTCACACTCTGTTTAAAGTCACAAATTTTAAACAGCATTTGGTGTGACTATATCCAGAATCTACTGTACCATTTTTCTTTTAAATAAAGACAGATAACTTTTTGTGGAATTTGCTAGGAATGTCAAATTTTTTTTTTATTTGCTAGCTCAATTGTTCCATCTCTTTTATAGCTCAAGAAAGTTTATCAGACAAGAGATGATGCTATAAAAGGGTGCATTGCGGAAGTTTCTGAGAGAGTAAAGAATTTACGTGAGCAGAAAAATAAGGATCCTGATAACTTTGATATTATGAAGAAATTACGCAAAGAACAAACTTGTGTGAGTTGGCAATATTTTAGCCTTTTAGCTAAACCAATCTTTAGCCTTTTCAAATATTCGAGTATTGTTTACATCGTCAGGTTATTTTTACTTTTGTATGAAACCTGAAATCAAGAATCCTCACAGTTAATTTATAACCATTGATATATTTCAATGTTAACTGCATCAATCAACTCTACCCTCAATGGTAAGGTCAACAGATCTATTATGAGACCATTATTTTCAAAGCTTTTTGTTCCTTTTCTCTTGTGCAAAATTTTTTTCATTGTAGATCTTAGCATGAGCATCGTTCAGGCGTTCCAACTTAAGAATATTTAAAATTGGAAGTTTTTTAATAAATTCCCATGAAATTTTCGAATTTGGCCCATCAAAAAAAGATAACACCCATAAAATTTGCAAAAAAACTCCACAAAATTAAGTTCTTAAAAAGAATAATCCCCTTAAAACTGTGGGTATTTGGTAAAATCATAAATAAATTACAACTTTTCCCCTTACATCCATAGTTATCTATTTTATCTTGCAATATTGAACAAAATATTTCATGGAAAGCCTTTTTAATACCAGTCAACTTTCTATAAAAAGTGAAAACATCAGCTATAATGAAGGTTAAGATTACAAAACCATTTGAAAGGATTAGTTAATGTTTAAATGTCAGAGAGATGGATACGGTAGACGGTGATAAATTTCACATACACTTGTATACTTCATCTTCAGGAACTCAACATCTTTTTCAAAATGGGAGTTAAAAACGAATTTTGTGAAAGTGGGAGATGTGTCACTCCTACCTGTGTCACCTTTTCCACAGGGACAGACAGTATAGAAAGACTTCCTTTAATAGCAAACAAAATATATTGGCTTTTTAGTTAAAAATGGTTTTCACATCTGTTATTGTTTTCACACAACTGAGAAATCTACTATTTCTGTGGTAATATTTTGGAAAAAAAATGATGTAGTACACAAGCAGTGCTTTTTATCTAATAGTATAATTTTTGTTTCAGCTTCGGTTAATGCAGACAGAGCTAAGTGTTGAGGAAGTTGTTAAACAAAGAAGTTTCAAGGTAATCAAGTTTTTGAAATCCGTATTTTCTGCCCTTGTGGAGCATCTTGTGTTCTGAAAAGCACAAGACTATCAAGGTTATAATTGAAAAATATTTGGATCTCTCGATAAGCGGTTATGCTAGCAACAAAAGCTGGGAAGGTTTTCTTGGGACAATACCCTTTTCAGGAACTGTCTCATTTTGTTCTAGGAAAAACCCTCTGTCCATTTCATGCTTAGTATTAAACATTTCAAAGCAGTGTGATTTAGGTAATTGCCACAACAAAAGCGATTCTTATCAGATTGCTACTTAATGGAATTTTCGTAACAAAAAGGGAAACAGTACATCCTTGCTTGGCTGACTCTTCAATGAAATTTGTGTCACTAAAGATGCATCAAAATGGCAGCATGACAAAGTCTGCTTCTGGTGTTAAGGAAATATACCTGCCCTCAACCAATCATATATTTTCTCATTAGTTTTGCTCAATATTTCAGAAATAATCTGGACAGGGATTAGTTCCCCCAACCTCTACCCTATTAGCTCTGCCACTGTTCTTGTCACTTTGAATTGGTTTTGCTTTGTATCACTTGCTTTTTTGTAGGTGTTTGCTGAAAGATGTTGGAAGGCATATAAACCTGATGACTTATGACAGAACTATTTGAAGCCATCTTTTTATTTGAGGCCATGTATTATCTATTTTCTTAACTGGAATGATTTCTGTCATTAATGTGTTTGATATTAGTGTTGAAAACACTTCGGATCTTTTTGTCTCCAAATATTCAGTACTCCCCCATTTTATGGAAACAAGCAGGCACCTTAGAAGGGGGCTTAGAGACTATAGACTCTACTTTTTGCAGAAAGAATCTTGAAGAATCAAATTAGACCATTTCAACGACATATTTGAAAGCACATCTGAAAGGAATTCAGATTAATCCCTCCACTCCCATATCCCCTCAAAGGAAGCTATTTTGTATTTTAACTCTGCCCAATTCACGAAATGTTTACAAGGGTTATTGACATTTTTAAAGACTTATCGTATATTCCTGATCACCACCCTATCTTTTTCGTAAAGTTGCAGTTCTTGGAATGTGGGCCCCACCAGTTCCATCTATTCTTGGGTACGTAATTTTATTGCTGGGCTCAGGTATGCTTAATGGTCAATGATTTCTGGGTATGCTCTCTCGTTCTCAAGAGAGTCTGTTCCGAAATAATGGCATTTATTTTGCTCCCTTGTTCAAGTCTTACTCAATGTTTGATGGTTTTCAGGATTTTTAAGTACTGAGACAGAATGTAAGCTTCCCAGGTTATGAAACTGGTATGAAAACATTAAATAAGAAGCAAGATACACCATTATTGGAAAAAGGAAATGTAAGATTCGTTGGACTAGAATTGAATTTTAAAGGTGAAATTTGCGATGAATGCTGCAGCATAATTATTCGTTTCTTAGGGTGGTCACCGACGGATCAAGATTTTGTCATATGACCATTGTTGGCTACAACTAGTTCAAGGATGCGCGTCCTTCTCGATAGTTCAGCTGCATTATGTAACATTAGCTAGCTATGAGAAATTAACTCTCCAAGGTTCTCGTGTTTTTGACGATTTGAAAATCAAAACTACCTAGTGCTTCGAATATATCTATTCTAATCAGATTTATCTGACCAAGGACCAACTTCTCGGTATTGTTCACATACTTTTGAATCTATAGTGTTTATCTTTGTAACTTTTTATTGTAATATACTTTTTTATACTTTTTGCATCATATACGAATGAGAATGGGTTCATAGTTAAATGAAATCGAATGAAAAATTATGAAGACGGAAATACATCGTTTTGTTATTAGTACTCTTCAATTTGAGGCTAGAGGGCAGTGATTGGTCAAGTGAAAGCCAATCAGTTGCATTGCTCACCTGTCCTGTCACATTTTGATGATCGATGATCGACGTATGCATCTTTTGAGTAACAAGTCAAATGTTTGCAGTTATTCACGATTAGCAGCTGAATATAACATGCAAATTTCGACATGAAGGTGCATTAAAAAATGAGATATCAAAATTGAATCTAAGAATTAGAAATAGAATCCTGTTCCGAGGTTGGGTTCCCCTCAGCGGAATCTTTCTTAATCAAAAATGATTACAAATACATTCCTATTTAATGAAATCTACCACATCACTACTTCGACATTAGTAGACTTCATTTGATGTCATTTATGAAGCAGTTGTTTGGTGCTCCACTCACTTTAATTTTTCGTTACTCACTTTTCTTAATACTAGTTTAATTCATCGCCTGTTGTTTTTATGCAAAATGAATAATAACACATTTGAGACCTTAAGCATGATTCCAATGTTTTTTTAGTTTATGCATTAATGGAAACAAACTGTTAGGAGGGCCATGGCCATGCGGTCAGGGCACCATTTACTGCATCGATGAAACATTTACCACGTGGTCACTAATTTTGTCAAAAAGGGGACTGTTGGTTTTAATGATCATGGTGTTGATGAACGTAGAAACAACAATTGGCTTTCCAAGCCCATTTCCAAGTTTACTCTTCAGGGAGCTGAGTGCGAGGCTGAATGATTGCAAATGCAAATCCATACACCTCTCTGTGACACAAACAAAGAAGTCCCCCCCCCTTTCACTCCCGTTCCCGTTCTTCACAAGTCCACGGGTCCCCTTCTTCACAAGACCCTGTAGACTTTTCAGGGCGCATTTGCAAAACTCTGCTAAATTTTGTACTTAAAGTCTGTTGCGAAAAATAAGGGTACAAAAAGAAAATATTTTTTAGGCTGCTCAAAGTATCTTCTTGTCGCTGCAGCAAATGACTTTTTTAAATTGATCAAAGGTTTTAACGTTTACTTTTTAAATTAATGTAAGAGCTTCGAATGAAATGGAATCAAATGTTGACAAATGTAGCCTAAAGGTGCATGCGACGAAAGGAGAGATGTATTCAAGCAGATTGGATCTGGTTACATAGGGCCGTTTTGTATGTCGAGCCGTAGACTTTATTTTTTCAAAATAGCCTGTTGAATTGGGAAATAGACCAAAAGAGTTCAATCAGAAGAATGAAAGTAAGACTCCGCGGTCATATGTTGGCCTTGGGAGTGCTCCTGCACCAACCCGACAATTTGATGGGACACTATCATAAAATTGGATCGAAACTAATTAGAAATGTCGAAGTCAAAAACGACTGAAATCTTAACATAGTCGGCTGTTACCGGCCCTGGGTACCAGGCTCACTCTATATCAGATAAGAGAGTGTAGAGAGACTGGTTCAGTGGTATATGCCACACCTTGTGACGTGTGCCTTACATTTGCCCTAGGCTTTCCCAAAACTCCTGCTCATTCCACTGAGTATCCTTGGTATTTATCCGACAGTCTGGTTCCACAGGCCTAGTTCCGTGCTAAATTGACTAAAGCGCTTTAAACGAGTTCAAGGCACTGGTTTATAAAAAAGTCAAATGCATCATTTCAGACACAGCTCCCCCGGCCTGCTGTGACATAGTCAAGTAGCATGATGAAATATAAACGCTGCTCAGGGTCGTACAACAGAGAAACTGTATGCCCGCAGCGCTTATTAGGAAAAGATTTAACACGCAAGCGCAGTGGGTTAAAATTCGAAAAATACAACGCATCATCACAGATGTTTTTTAACAGTTGTTTGATTTCTTTGGCCAGGGCATAACACATCGTCTAACAATGTTGGTACAAAAAGTTTGACAATGGTTTACGGATGTTTTATTCGTTTGGCCGGGCCTTTACAAATTACAGTTACTGCGTTGTATATCTTTGTCAGTTCACTGGAATAAATGCTCATTTCCTTAAATTTTAAAAATTTTGCGCCGTTCTCTTCTATACTGTATGGGGCTCCGTATATGGCGTTTATTAGAGGGAGGCGTCTATTAGAGGTAAACACGACGGGCAGCGAGGCTACCCATGAGCACTTCATAGTTACCCATAAGCCATTGTACACGCTTCCACCATTGCTTCCACACTCTAACCATTAGGTTCAGAAGGATAGTATCAGTGCCAAAACACAAAACAATCTGGAGAAAAAGATGTACAGTCAAAGGAGATATGGTGGTTCTGGTGCGAGAATGTCACAAAATCCAGATTCACGCTATAGTGGCAGAAGGGACAGCAAAGGAACCAGTAACAACAGTGGGCCTAAAGTCGGTGTCTCATCACCTTCACAGAAGCCAGAACTTCAACGTACCTCGGAATCCCGTGTGCAGACTGAAAAGCAACCAAAATACCCAGTCAATAAAAGTGATTCCCTGATAAATGAGGCAGCTGGCCCTGAAGGTGACTAATTGTCATGTTAGAGTGATTCGTATAGTTGGTCTTTTTAATTTCTTTTGCAACGAGGCTATTACTGTTTCATATACTCTATCAAGTTAAAAGGTATTTTTACGGGGAATGTATGATATTCCTCATCAAAAATTATTCTTCATACTTTTTAGGCTTTAAAAAACAGATCGTTTGTTGCAAAACAACTACAGCTTCATTATGCTTTGAAACAAAAATTTTCAGAATTTTAGTGTCAATAGGTGTCGATAGTTTTTCTCATTCTCACGCAGAGTTGCCAACTTTTTTAAATATGTCAGTGTGAGATTTTGGGTTTTTGGTATCAGCTCGACAGCAAAATTCTCAAGGTGGTCAAGCTTGAAAATCAACAACTTTGGGACTAGATTTTCAACCTTATGTTACCAAATTGCTCACAACTTTACACCACATTTTTTACTTCTAGCAGACTTAAGTAAAAAATTCAGTACATTGCATTTATCTAAGCTATCTAAAGCTTGTAAACCTTTTCTATGAGTTAATTAGCAGGTCCACATAAGCGAAAGCTGCCATTTTGATGACCTGCATTATTAAATAAATAATGTATGCATGATGTATGTATGTATGTAAATGATTATGCTTGGCTAGTAAATTGGCTGAAGGTTGCTAGATCCATGAGATTTCTAACAGCATCTATGAGAACATGAAACAATTTTGAAGTCTGTGAGACTAACAGCATATCCACAAAACTTGCAATATGTATTCATTGCTCTTTTCCTTAACGTAGGGGTCAGTTTGATACTTTAAAGTCAAGTACACTTAAAAGTTTCCCCTTGATCCAGATTGAAATTTTTGCCTTAGGCGGGGGATAAATCCCCTGCACACATCAAGTGTCAGCCGCGATTGCAGCCACGCAATTTCTATTGAAATGATTTATCCAGTTGCACAGGGTTCTTCTTTGAATGTATAACTTATCTTGTATGTACTTAATAATTGAAGCTTTTGATGAAATTTGAAGACCCTCAGAGTTGCAGATCATCTAAATTGTCATTACCTTTTGCTTGTGAACACCTGAGGCTGGCTTTTGTACACACATATGCCAGACAACAGCAAACATGTGAAGGATATTTTTATCATTTCTGGTAGTAAAATACACATGGAACAAGATGATCTAATTTATCACCATGCCCAAAGTTTTCAAAATTTGAGCAGATTTTAGTTAACTGAAGCAATTCGCATCTGGTTGGGTCCCTCTTGCTCTTATTTTCAGGAATTATAAAAAATGTTTATCTTTGCTATATTGTTTTTATCACCACTAATTATGTTACCAATGTTTTCTCTGAAATGTATGCCCAAAAGTTACATACTGGGTTTTTTTGGTAATTAGTCTCAGTGGCACAAAATTTTTATCTGTGTTATTTGCAAATGCGCAATGTTAATGGACATGCAACAAATCCCCCACGCATCTTTCAAAGATTCCAATCTGGCCCTTGATAGTTATTTGACTGCCAATTATGGCAGGTGATATGGCATGTCCTCATGCTCAAGGCAAAAGAAGAATTGATTTAATATTAAAATAATTTTGCATTGGTTTTATAACAAATCAACTATCAGTGATATACATTTTCCTATCTTTGTTCATTTATGCTTCTTAATTGATATGATTGGGCTCTAGCATATTGTTGTGTACAGTAATATGCATAGTCAAAGTGCACCCTTATACCATATTGCACACTTCCATACTTGAAATTTTGCTCTTGCACACACCCGAGGTCTCTCTGGAAACTGTCACCCTTTGCAGTCTAGGATGGATAAAACAACTTCTTGTCTACCTTTTAGGTTATCAATTTGAAGAGTGTTATGTTGAAGCAGATGTTGTTGGTTATGATGAAACTGGAGGAGATGACAATTGCAACCAGCAAGAAGCACTTGCAAGGGAAACAAATCAACAGAAGGAAGGGACTTTCCAAAAAATAGAGCAGAGAGATGAGTATGGCTACTCAGGTAGGGAGCAAAAACAAAGCTTCAATAGCAGCAAGCCTCAAGGTCAACAAACACCAAGCATGGATACAAGAAAGTCATATGAAGAACTGATAGTGGGGAGTGATGAACAGCGTGGTCTTGGAAATGAACAGTTGATGTCAAAAGAAACAGGAAATGATGAGTCATTTGGCTTTATATCTGTTGGTGGAGTAAAATATGTCAAAGTAGAATCATTGATAGGATCAAATGAAAAAATCCATAGTGGCAGATCGCGTCTTTTTATTGCAAATCTTGCAAAGGAGGTAACAGAAAGAGATCTCAAGGAATTGTTTTCGAAATTCGGAGAAACAAATGAAATTTATGTTAACAAGGAAAAATTATTTGGATTTGTTAGACTGGTATGTATTTTTTCTGTCTTGCTTGATATTTTCCAATTACCTGTTATGTTGCAAAATTGATCCCATTGGTCATTTTATCATTTCTTTTAAGCTTAATAAACAGAAATTTCTGTTAATGGATTGCTTCTTCACCTTCAGTGTATAATCTTCTTTGAAACAAAAAAGATTTTTATCTTGTTCTAATTTTTTCAATTTCATCATTTTTCATCAAAGGAAATTGGTTATCTTAAAATCGCAATATTCTGGGTTTGCTCTAAGCAAAATTATGGTGCTCCATAAAATGAGCTTGTAAGAAACTCAAGTCCCCCTATTTCACCCTTTTATGTAGAATTGCCATTTTCAAAAATTTGTGTTTTTTTAATGAAAATGTGACGTTTTGCATCCAAATGGAAACAATGCATTTTCAAGTATAATTGGGTTGCTAAATGACTTAACTCTAAAATTGTTGTTATACATTTTGTATTTTCTATGCATGGAAAATGATGTTTTCATTCAATAAGGTATTTTTGTAGATGTTGCCTTAAAAGGAACCGGATACAACATCTAGTGATCAAAAGATTAGTGGTATAAACTCTTGTATAAATCTTATAAACCAAAATATTTCGGTCAATCAAGATTGTTCAAGTTTTATCAACATTAATTTCAAAGAATATTCTGCTGCAGGGCAATATTGTTTTGCATTTTCAGATGCTCCTTAACTCACTCTCCATGGCTATTTTTAGGGGGGGGGGGGGGGGGGATCACGCTTGATGGCTTTCCAGGCAAAGCCTCCATTTTTATGTAAAAGTACATAAAATATATCTTTTTTGGCCTTTTCTTTTACATAATGATAATTGTTTCATTTCAAAAGATGCATTTAACATGGTGCAAATTGAAAACTAGTCAAGTTAAAGGTAAGTAGACAGTGCAAATGTTAAAAACAGAAAACTGGACACAGAATAGTGTTTTCATCTGAGTTTTCATCTGAACACAAAACAGTGTGTACTGCCTGCATTAAAACATACAAAATATCAAACATACAGCATATCAAAGTAAATGTTGCTACAGAACAGAACAGTACCCTAGTACCCTTTTGAACCCTTAGGTAAAGTAGTTGGGGGTACATGATTACCCTCAAATAAATCATTTAAGCTAAGAGTGGAAATAAAATCTGCTGGAATGAAAGGTAAAAAGGGCCTTAATGTCTCAAGCTATAATTCACTAGAATATCAATCAACCACCTTGGCCTTTCAGAGGCAACAACCTAATTTGTATGGTTTTTCTCAGGGGAATAGCTATTATCATTCTCAGGCAAATTGGTACTCGAACTCTCCCTCCTCATAGTGGAAAATATCTTTTGTTTGAAAGGAAAAATTTGTTGAGACCTATTATTTCTATTGTTTCTATCCTTTCTACACAACTGTTTGCTTGTCAAATAAGACAATAAATTTCTTGATTGGAAGCATTGGTGCTGGTTTTTGTCTTTAAAGATATATATGCTAGAAGTGTTTTTAATCCATGTTCTCATATTTTGTACTCTGAAGTGTGTAAGATGAAAAGCTTCTGTATGTTTCAAAATTTTTGGTTTTTCACAAGCCATTTTTGGAAAATGTATGTAAAAGTATGTATTTTGCAGGATTACAAGGTGAATGCAGAAATGGCACGCAATGCTCTTGATGGTTATTTTTACAAAGGAAGGCACTTGAAAGTTAAGTATGCAGCTCACCAGTCAGCAATTGAAATTCATGGAATAGACAGGTTCACATCAAACGAGTCACTTGAGGCGGCATTTGTGCAATTTGGTGCAGTTGAGAGGGCGAGAGTTGTCTGTGATGAAAGGGGAAAATCAAAGGGGTATGCTGTTGTGGAATTTGCATACAAGAAAGCAGCACAGAATGCATTGCGCAGAATAAATGATGGGCTGTTTGTACTTGGAAGGTATTAACATTGTTTGGCTACCTTTTTGAAAAATACTTTTGCTTTATCATTCATCCTTTTTTTTAAATTTCAGTGCTAGAAATATTTTAACTTGTAGACCATACAAACATCCATTCAGTTGATAAAACATCCATTAAGTTTGCTAATCAGTTGGCCAGTCAGTTGGTTTGCCCGTTTGTTTATTGGCTAGTTAGCCTGAGTTGGTAATAAACCATGTTAAAGCAATTTGAAATTCTAGTGCATGTTATTGCATGTTTAAAGTAAAATTTTAGCCAGAAGGATTTATATACACGAATCAGGCAATAGTTGCTGTAGTTACCCTTTACAACAATTTGTAAGTAGTAATGTATTCATGGTTGCTTGCTATTGTTTCTACCTAGAATTCCAAAGCCTGTTTACGCAAAACCATTGTCGCAAACAGATGATGAAGGGGTGCATGAAGCAGATCTGGAGAGAGTTCCTGGAATTGCAAAGTGAGTTTCTCTTATTTTGCTTATTTTTTCTGTTAATCATGGTAGGGCCACTTTTTATGTTAGCTTGTTGCTTTACAGTGAAAATCTTCTTATTTACATCCTGAAATCTCAGTCTTATGTTTAAGCATTTAATGAGTATTCTCAAAACCTATTTTGAACAATTTTTTGCGGTATAGAATTTGACAAGGGCTTTGAAAAAAGCAAACATTTTACGACATACTAAAAGCTTTTTCGTCTGACACTCCTCAGAGTAAGGGTCCGAAGTAACACTATGAAAAATATATACCCAGTTGTGGATCGAAATAGGCCAACCTGGCCAAACAGAAAAACGCAAGCACAAGACCAGTATAGTTGACCAATCAGTGCCGCGTGCCTAAAGAACAATTACCACTGGAGTCCAAGAGAGAAAACGAACTCCTTCTGTCTACACAATGGCGGCTTCCTCGTTTTTATGTAGATAGATTCCAAAACTGCAAGATGGAAGGACGACCGGGCTCTGCCAATTATCCGAAACATGTCGTCATTATAGAGTTTTGCACAATCTGGGTTGTCTAAAAGATGTTGAACGATGGCAGAATCACTTGTTTTAACAGTGTTTCTAGACCTACAAGATCGAGGAGGCTGTTCTCTTTGAGGGGCAGTTTCTAGACCTACAAGATCGAGGAGGCTGTTCCCTTAAAGAGGTTTCAAATTGTTCATAGCATTTTCTTCCTTACCAAAGGAAGATATGATTTTAAGCAAAAGATTTAAGTAGGGTAAATTCATCACAGTCAGCTGTATACTTGGAAATTCTTGTTTAGGGATCGGGAGTACCAGGCACGATTTATACCATCAAATACACCTGAATACCCAATGGCCCTAAAATGGAGGGAGCTTCAAGATCGGGAACAAGCACAGAAAGAAAGTTTGGAACAACAAATGGAAGACGATAGGCAGAAATTGGAAATTGATATTGAGGCTGCTATGCATGAACATGAGGCTGAATTTATAAGGCAAGGTAGGTTGTCATGATACCAGAAATATTCTTATTAAAAGTTTGGTCTGTATAAGATGAGCTTTATTTCGAGTAGGTTATGTTACAGTTATGTTACAAACTCATTTTAAACAAAATTGATATTTATAGGTCTATAAAGAAGACTAAGGCAACATAACGTTGGCTAATTATAGGCTGTGAATCTAATAACAGTCGCAAGAGTGTTGATTTTGTTTCATTATGATGTTTTGTTTGTGTAGAGCTGTTGCAGAGGCAAGCAGCCCTTGAGGAGGAGATCCGAAGATATGATGAAATGCGAAACCGAGAGTCGATGCTTATCAGACAGGGACACCAAAACATGTTAGTATTTCTTCTATACTTGTATCACATTTATGTTAACCTTTTAGTATCCTTATTAGTTAGTTTTGAATTACAGTATTCTCTCGTTAAGTGGGACCCTAGATAAGTAGGACGCCCACTATATAGTATAGATTTTCCCGGTCCTTTAAACTTGCTTACTCTTTTTAAGCATTAGGATAAGTAGGACACCCGCTAAGTGGTACACTTTTGCTCGGTCCCTTGAGTGTCCCACTTAACGAGAGCATACTCCATTTATATTAAGGATAATTTCCACAATGATATCTAAGAGTCAATTTTTTACCTTTTTCAGTTTCAGGAAGATTTTGTGTTCGGGTTCACAATAGTTTGCCCCATTTGGAACTAAACTCATCTATCTGAAGATTTTTTCAAGTATACATAGGTGTTCCTCTTTGCTTTCAGACTGAAAATAGAAAATGCAAAAGACAATGAATCACTTCGTAAGAACCAAAATCTTGGATTTATCCCTTCACACATATAAGATAAGATATAGTATCAAAAGAGTTATATTTTTTCTCTTAGTTTAACAAATGCACGCAGGTCCCTCATCACCTTATATTATGTAAACTGCAGGACGCAATCCTTCAGCCACACGATATTCTGAAAAGTTTGAGCTGAATTAATTTGTATAGAGTGATGAGTGAATGGCTTGTGTTTCTCTTAATACTTACTGAATCGGTTGTGTCTTGTCTCTCTTCAGCTATAAAGATTCCCGTATGAATGACAGTAGGCAAGATGACTTTATACGTAAACAACAACAAGAAATGCACAGAAGACAAGGGAATGATGACGTTGTCAGAGTGAGTCAAGTCTTTGTTCTAAAAGACTATTAAACTTTCTGCTTGACGCTGTCTCTGAAAATTTTTATAGCAAAATCATTTGATCTCTTTTGAATTGAAAACGAGGTACAGTTTCCAGACAGAGACATTCACCAAAGACAGGCGTTCCTCTAAGTTCCTTTCCAATGAGAGAAAAAAAGACTTCATTACTTGTTCTTTATTTACAATTCTATCAGCAATTTCGCTCACGGAAATCACTATATTGAATAAAGATAACATTTAAAGATAGCATGAAGAAGCTGAAACAGCAGACTAGAGAACCAAGAATATACTTGGTTTACGATAACAATAGAAGCAACAGTCTAGGGTATGAAGTTAATAGCAGAAGTACGATATCAGTAACCAGTGAAACATTTGATTAAGAAGTCCTCTCTGTCGGTGGTCCACATTTGAATTCCTCATTTTATCGGTTATGGACATTTTGAATTGATGTATCCTTGTTTGTTATAAATACATATTTCTGATTTTATTGCCTCTTTGTTGCAAATCAGCCCTCTGTCACTAGTTCTTCCGATCTAAACCGGTCGTTATGATGGGATACAACTGCAAAATTCGCCAAATTATTTCAATCTTAGGGAATGCAGAACGCTGCCTCCAACATGGGCATTAACCCTGCAACAGCCCTTGCCATGGCGGCAAGTGGGAACCCTGCGGCAACGGCAGCTGCAGCAAATATTCTGCAGGTATGCTTCTATTTTGAGGATTCACATTTCGTTGCCTCCTTGTTTCTTTTACCAAGGACCCCCTCTGCGAGAGGCAGAGAGGAGCTGCGAAAAATGGCATTTGGTATTAGGAATATTTCTTGGGAGGGTATTGAAATGGTGAGGCACTGATGTAAAGAAGTGTATTCTGTCATTGCGAGGGTGCTTGTATCAGGCTATTTAAAGAAAGCGAAAGAAGGCTTTCTGTACTTCTGTACTGAAGTGCTTTAATACATATTTCACTAACATAACAGACAGTCTGGATATAGCTCCTACATTAAGAGAGGTTCATGAGGTGGCAGAGGACACTACGATCGAACAATTGACATCTATGGCCATGCAAAAATATAATACGCACCCCAGTATTATAGCAATCAAACGGAAATATGGAACCAGTGGCGATAACTTTGAATTTCTCACGAAAACCCATGGGAGGTCGAATAACAACTTTATTCTTTAAATGTAAAGAAATCGCACAGTAGAATTATTCCAACATTCTTTCTCAAAGCAACAAAAAATTCATCCGCCCTTTCCTGACAGACTGTATAAACTGTGCCATCCACGAGTCAGCCTTTCCGCATAAACTGAAAGAAGCTGATATATCCTTAATATTCAAAAAGTAAGAGGCAACTCTTACTTATATTATAGGCTCCTAAGTGTTCTTCCTTCAACATATAAGATATATGAGAGACTCTTAAAAGATCAAATGATCAATTTTTTTGACAACGAATTCTCAAATCTTCTCTCTGCATTTCGCGAAAGATACAGCACCCAACACTCTTTATTTAGAGTAATTAAAATATGGAGGAAATGTTTAGATTCTTCTGGAATAGTAGGGACTATATTGATGGATTTATCAAAAGCGTTTGACTGCGTGCCTCATGATCTTCTTATTGCTAAGCTGGAGGACTTTGGATTCAGTGTAAATAGCCTGTGTTTGATCTATAGCTATTTAAAAAAAGGATGCAAAGAGTTAAAATTAGATCGATAAAGAGCTCACATCAAATCGTTAGAGTGGGAATCCAACAGGGTTCTGTTTTAGAACCAGTATTATTTAATATATTCATCAATGACATCTTTCTTTCAAAATAAGACTCAGACTTTTGCAGTTTTGCAGATGATACCACACTCTATGCGTGGGGCTGTAGTCTGGACGAAATTGTCCCAAGGCTGGAAAATGACCTTAGCGCACTTAGAATGGTTTTTGAAAACGGAATGGTAGCAAACCCTGGCAAATTTCAAGTGATGTTTTTTAGATTGAAAGAAAAAATACCTTGCGTCTCAACATCAATGATAACAAAATACTAACTAGGAATAAGGTTAAAGACTCATTGCTAACAGTGAGCCATTGCGCTACGCAAACATCCCATAATGCATTTTTAGACAGTCTGAAATAAATGTTGGTTAATTCGTAGAAGTTTACTGCCATTGTTTGGATCATCGCCACGCTCGCAAAGGCCCATTGTTAGCAATGAGTCTTTAAATTGTTGGGCATAGAGATTGACAACACGTCGACTTTCACTGACCATAGACAAAGTTTGTGCTCCAAGGAAAATAGAAAGATAAATGCCTTCTCAAGGCTAAATGCTTATATCTCAAGACCACAGGCAATGTTGATATGTAATGCCGTAATACTGCCCAATTTCAACTATTGCCCGTTTATCTGGCTTTTTTCTACGAAAGCTGCTAATATTGAAATAAACCGCACACACAAACGTGTACTAAGGATCCTTTTGCAGGACTATGACTCTTCCTTTGATGACTTACTGGAGAAAAGTAAAAGCGTGAAAATACATGTTCAAAATCTCCAGAAACTCCAGAAACTAAAAGCACTTCCAAAAGTTGCAGCTTTCAACAGAGCGATCAAGCACTGGCTTGGCGATAAGTGTAATTGCCGGATTTGTGAAAAACCTGAATTGCAAATTCGTTTTATCTTTTGTTAAAGTTATTTTTGTAAAAAGTTGGTATAAATGAGTAATTATATTACTATTGTAAATGAATCAGCTTTGATTAAGATTATTATATATTATATATTAAGGCTAGATGGAGCTGAGCCCTCAGACTTCAATTATTGTAAGAGTTTGGATGATTTGGCTTTTCAAAGCAGCAGCGAATTAAAGAAAGTTATTTTTCAACAGGCAATCAAAGTTGGTGACAACATTGGAGGCAACGGCCCGGGAATGCAGCGAATGGGTGGACCAATGGGTGGACCAATGGGTGTACCTCCTCTAGGGATGAGACCAGGTGGAATGGTAAGTCGTTTTTAGTTTGAAGTTTCCTTCTGCAGGCGGTAGTGCAAGCTCGCCTTTAGGAAGCAGATGGTGGCTGTGGTGGAAATCTCGGAGACACACGGAGCTGCAAAATGAACGGAACAAATGTTCATTGCCATCGCCATACTGTCAGCATCATCATAATCATCAGCACGAATCGTCATCACAATCACCCATCATGATCCTCGTGTTATCATCCTGCAGTCGTCATATCGACGTCATGTCGTCGTCATAGCGACGCCCTAACGTCCTCAATGAAATGTTGGTTGGGATAAGGAATTAAGTTATGGGACGGAAAGGAATGATAAGAACGAGAACAAAATCGGGAATAACGATTTGTTTGAGGCAGTAACAGAAAGGGTTTTTTATAATTACAGACAATGACATCAAGTAGTCTATGGTTGGGCAGTATAGAACCATAATATATAGAATAATTGCAAACTTTTATTTGCATGAGATATCTAAAAATGATTGATGATTAATGTTCCCAATGCGGCTTTGATTTTAAAGTTAGAAACACATTGTTTGCGATATGGGGTTCGGTTGTAGAAATGTACTATACATGACAGTATGGCTCCTCTCGGATCGGAGTCCATCCCTCGATGTAACAGCATGGGGGTACAGAATCTGAAAATGGAAGCTCTCCTCTAGTTTTGTGATGGCCAGCTTCTTTAGAAGTAGCAAGACCGAGTCTCGAAATGTATTTAATGGAGTCACGGAACCACGACACATAAAAGGGTTTTTGCGCTTGAAACGTTGTTATGAATTTTCATTTTGTCGTGTTGATGCTTTCAATACCTGATCAATTAAGAGACTAACTGTGTCTTCTTCCCTCTCACCTAATTACCACGTACCCAAATGCCCAATCACAGGCTATGACCGCCGGCGCAATAATTTTTCAGCTATTGTTTTGCGTACGTTCACAGATTAGATGGATTTAATGAAAATGGTTGAAGTATAGGAATTATTATTATAGTGATTGCCAAAGGATTTATAACCTTGAGGCTCTATGTTTCACAATGTGGCCATTGCCTAGGCCATTGCATTGGCGGGTTTCCCCTCCCCTCGTTTGTGCTTTTATGAATTCAAGCCATAACAACACAATAACTTCTACCAGTGGAATCTGCTTATAACAGTGGACTAATTATAATTATTGTGTGATCATGATATAAAATAGGATCATTTCGATAGTTTTGTGATGGAAATGACTAATGAGTTAAACATTCATTCTTTATGGAATAGCGTTTTTAAACACTGGCTTTCTGGTGAACAATCAATTTGACTTCAATTGTAATTTCATAAAGGTGAATTTCTAACTTCCAAATGATTAAAGTTTTGTGGACGTCGTAGTATGTTGATGGTTGGATATATAGAGCACTACTGCTAGTGAAGTTAGTTCCGGCCCAAGGATCGCTGCTCCTAAATTTCTGGTTGTGCTTTCACACAATAGTAAGGTGTAGCAGAATGGAAACCTTCCGAGGATACCCTGTGATCCACCAAGCCTCCTTCCAACCTTCAGGGAGTAATGCCGATTTTCCCTTCCGCTGTTTGCAGAAGACTTAGCTCGATGCAACCCAACACATTGATTATGCTGGCGGAGATTTCTTTAAGGAACAGGACGATGTTGCTGAAGGAAACCAATCAGACCACAATAACGATTGATCTACCAATCAGGCTCCTGGGAAGATCAACGATTCGAATCAGGGCAGACGCATTGTAGATTGGGAATTACTCTCTAAAAAGCAATGTATCAATACGACTTAACGTACAGATCTGCAATTGTTAGTTTGCAGTGATGTCGTCTAAACAGCCCATGAAAGAATCTGTGCGTTCTTTGGCAGGTCAAATTTAGGCCCGTGACTTCAAAGAAGAATAAACTGTAGATTCTTGAGGTAGTCCCCTTTCTTTAGAGAACAGGCGTCTTAAGATAAAAATAAATTTTTCGAAGAATTACATGAAAATATCCTGCCTTAAATCAACTCAGAAATTGCCCAAAAAAGGCCGTCGACTTGGGTGACGTCGGGATTACGTATGTTTCGGATTTTTCCCTTTGTAATGGACATATGCTGATACTGTGCCGTATGTTTTAACGCTCTTTTGTGACGCTTAAATGTATTAAAAGCGTCAAAATATTGTAATCAGCTGGTAATTTATGTTTCTAAGGAAATTGAAATGTTAACAAATTGACGTATGCGATTAATAATAACTGATAATAGCAACATAACTTGAAATATTTTGAGAGGCTAAAGCTCGACTACGCTTATCTAAAGCCTTTCCTCACAAGTTACAGTTGTAATGAAAGAATATAGGACGAAATGCGGGCCTCAACAACTCTCCTCGGTATGGGCGAAATTTCTGTCTGCGACCACCTTTGCTGTGATTATTCGTTGTTCATGGGTGAATCAGATTGTTGAACTTGGAGGCCCAACGTTTGATCTGGATCTGGAAGAGCAATTCTATCTTAGTTGCAGAAGCACACTTCACTGGTGAAAACCAATTGTGATAATACTACAGGATGTTATTTCCAAGGCAGCCAACATGTACATGTAGTAGAAGCTAGCAACATAGCAAGGCATATTATGGAAAATCCCAATCAGAAGACCAAAGCCAAATGTCATGTAATTGAAGGGTCTGATGCAACCTCCCTGCTTACTTCGACAAATCCTCGCCGATGCTCTTGCACTGCAATTGCAATTTCGCCATTAGGCAGATAGAATAAAACCTTATTTGTGCGAATTTTTTCCTTTTTTCTGTGCAATAATTTCCGTTAGATAATTTTCTTTCGGTCATTTCCTTGCAATCATTTTCGTGCAATCATTTCCGTGCAATCATTTTCGTGCAATCATTTCCGTGTGGTAGATATTGGTGGAGGCTAAGTGTCAACCCAATCAAAATGGTTTCGTGCTTATCGGAGTCAAGGTACTGTAGGCATGTGTTAATTGGTTCACTACCAAATTGCTTACTTGGTGCGCGTGTTGGCTGGACAATTTGCATATCCACCGCAGGGACAAGCAGCTTTCCAAACTGGGGAAATACTTTTACAAAATTACTTCTCAGGGGGGCAGTGCAAATGCTCCTTCGAAGTACATTTACATTAGACACATGTTATTGCTTTCAAATGATTTTCAGATTTGTGCATATCGTGGTTTTGAAGGCTCTAATGTCAACTGTACGGTAAAGGGATTTCTAAATGCTATAAAATCACACCGTTCAGTGCCAGTAATTTCCATTTCGCCCTCAGCAGTTTTTTAACATAGTGCATTATGTCAATTAATTGTATTCCCCGAATACGAGACTATTTGCCCTAAATAAAAGTTTCTTTAATTAGAATCCCATCTTTGTATAGCCTGTGAAAATGATTTGCAGCATGTCGATAACTGTAACACATCACTTTTCCTTGTCACTTTCAGTTTGATTAGCTAAGATTTCATATGTTTTTTGATAACATTTAACGTTGCTGCTGAAAAATAATATTCATAACTGATGAGATTCCCCGAACACGTGGTTGCTGCACTAACTGGATTACATCTGAAAGCGCTTTTCCAGGTTTCCATCCACACGAAATGTTAAAATCTTGAATGAAATTGATGTCAGCTGCGCGTCCTGATGAGCAGTTAAGTTTTTTGCCTTTAAATAATTCAATAGTTCGATAGAGAAAACCCAAATCCCAAACTCCAACAGGCAAGTAGATGAGCTTATCAATTTGATAGTGACTTAGAATGAACATCATAACATGTCATCATGGCAGAACCTGATATCGTCAGCTAGTCAATTAGCAAGGTATAAATTAAAACACAAGTATTATTTCAAATATTTCAAATTGGTTTTAAAATTTTTGTTCTTGGTATATCTGATATAGTTCTCAATGCTGCAAAGAGTTGGTAACTAGTGGTTTTTTGCCCTTTGAACTTGCAACCATCATTTTGTGCAAGCAGAGGGAAATCCTTATGACCGCAAAGCCACTTTTGTGCCCAATGTTGACAGGCTAGATTCTCAATACATTCATTTTCAATCGGCACAATTTATGTCCCTGATGCTCTTGGGGATTTCTCTCGTTGTTTCGCATACAGGTGACACCCGCTGCCTCGAAATTTGACAGGAAACGGAAATTTATTCAATATTGCGGGTACATTCGAGATAGCAACGGTTTTCCATTTACAAAGCTATGTCGAAACGAAGGGGAATCTGACTCAATAAACGATGTTTATTAATTATTCGAAAAACAATGTTTGAGGAAGCTGATATTCGAGTAAGCGGGAATTAATTTGATCTAAAAGTGCTCGGTTTTCCTTAAACAAATAATTCTGTCTGGTTTCATCTTCTTTGTTGCCTATATAATGTTATATCTTTTTATGTTACGATAATTAAAATGCTATAAAGTTCAATTTGAGTATGTTTTATTTTCAAAAGTGAGTATATTCCATATGATAATATAATGGTATACGTACATACTAATTCATGTATCATAAAGCAAAGTTGTCCAATCAACTTGTACCTATTTGTATTGTATAATGAATTGACTGCAATGCCTCTCTAGTTATCAGGCAGTTGCCGTACATTTGTATGATCAGTAATCAATAGCGTAGCAGGTAGCTGTAGCATTTCACTGGCAAAAAACAGCGGACAGAAAAGGGGGTTTTGGAGAGAAGGACGTTTATTATGAGCAAAAAATATCGGCATTAAGGCGCACGTTTTAATCTATTTTAAAGTTATCCAGTTGGATTGTAGCAGATACACACGTGGTTCATACATGGTTTGCACGTGGTGATTCGATGATCAGCACTCCCCTTATCCCCTTCCCCGCTGCACATCAGCTACGCTATTGACCATAGTGTTTCTGTTTGATATCCTAATCTATCTTGACTGGAAAATATGTGAATTACTTCCGTCATTCTGTTATTCCAGTTTACTGGCCTAAATCAGTGATGATCCTCTGAGATCCTTCGCTTGCAATTTGTCATCATTTTCATTTTTAATCTGGGCCGGTTGGGTCAAATGGGGCTTTAGACGGGGTTTAAGATCCGGTTTTTTATGGGTTTTTTTGAGATATCAATTTACACAGCTAAGACCAATTGATGTTAGCTCCAGTTTTTTCTAGTCGAGTTTTCTGTGTGTTTGGGGCCCTATGAGGCCCAGCATGGGCTGGAACATTTTCAAATATATGCGTTTCAATATGTATGTATGTATGGACGGGGCATAGAAATAAAGCGGAACGGGGTCTGAATTGAGTTGATACATTATTTTATTCTTGTTAGCTTAAGGTAATTGCGCCTTTCTAAGGGCTATCTTAATATTTTTCTTATTATTAATGCAGGACCTTTTTCACCTGCTTTAATTGACTAATTACAGCAAATAATTGCTAATGTTTCTATTTGTATCCGTATTCTAGTAACTACGAGTATCTTGTCTTTTCTATAACTTCCACTGTTTCTTTACTTAACGATATTTCCATTACATTCTGCTATCTCTGGTAAGTTCTTCAGCTGGCCCCCTTCTGTAAACTGGGAAGTTATTCCTTGTTTTAGACTGCCATCGCCAGATGGATTTTGGGTGATAAAGTTGAGCCCTTACAGGAATGAAAATAGTTGCCCCCTCTTGCCTCCTTTGTAACTTATAATTTAATTTGTTTGGTTCAAAAGTTGGTCAATCCCCGGTGTACTTTGTTCCTTAATTGATATCCACCTTAACCACAGCCACAGCCTCCAAGACCATTGCTTGACGGAATGCAAGGACCGTCTCGTGGAAATTTCGTGCCCGGATCAAGAAGGCCCGGAAGCCGCGACAACACACCAAACAACAACAAGCGTCTGCGAAGGTGAACAAGCAGCATAACATGGACTCACCATAGCAATTTTGATAAGCTCCCAACGAGCGAGAGACTATGGCAGACATTATTCTAGCTTTAAGTCAAAGACTGGGCGGCATTTTATAAAGTGCTGCTTCTAGTCTTATTATTTCAAGCTGCTGTTTTGCTGGAAAACAGATTCAAAAACTTTAGGCTAGGCATGACCATAATATTTCATATCAATGCTTGTTATTGGTCATATATAGTTGTATTTGGATCATGTGATTTTGTTGGTGACTGGAGAAGTTCGTTTGTAAACCATTATAAACTTTTAGTATGTTCTGAAATGGTTTTATCTTTCATGTGATTTCGATGTTTTAGGCCACCAGCCATAACGTTATTTTCTCATGCCATAATGCATCAATAATCGACAACTCTAAATTTTTTCCCGTTACATCGATCTACCTTCGTTTTTATGTGTAATGAATAAAAGAAACCTCCACAAAAGCGAGATTCGTTATAAACCTCAATAGAGGCCCGTCTTAGAGAGGTTTTCCTTGGTTGGGGATACTTTCTACAAGGCTGTGACTGCAGAAGAAAGATTTTGAGACAAAATTATTTATTAGTTTTAAGAGGTGTCCATTTTTCTGAATTGTCCAGCAGTGGAGGTTAAACTGAATAGTATGTTAATATATATATCCTTCGTTCTATTAGTTGAGGCCCTGGGTACTAGCGTCTCGAAAAGGGGTCCAGTGCAACAATCGAAGAGAGGAGTCGAACAAAGAAAGGCCTCCCACTCTTCGACCCCACTCTTTCACAGAGGCTCTTGTAGCCTGGATAAAGTTCTCCTTTCTTTTTTATTTTAACTTCTTTGGCCTGTTTCTTTCACATTATGAATTTTCGGTTTTAAAATTCACTCTTCATTTTCCCTAACCCCTTATTTCACCCCTACCCCAATTGACTGTTTTATCTGACGCTATCTAATGCTGGAAATTATACCCTTAATTCAATATGCTTCTTCGCTCTGACTTTTGTCAATAAAATCAGTAATATTCATTTTGGGATTAATTCAGTTCATGTTTCTAGCCAAAGGAAATTGTTCCAAAACAAAATTATTGTGCTCCTTCAAAATTAGAGGACAGCCGTGAGGCACCTTTCCAACAATTTAAAAGAGAATTTGTACGTTGACACAAGTGGCTTAGCATATTTCAAATCCTTGATAGTACAAGGCAACCAATAGCACTTGAGCAAATTCTGTAATTCACGGGCAGGGATTAAGAAAATAGAAGCGTTGTCCCCACCATAGTGCAACAGGAATGAACTTTTTCTATACCAAAATTAATGAAACAATTTTTCTTGCTTTGTTGGTTTCACGTTTAACTGGATGCGTTTCTCGTCATAGAAATACTTGTATGCATCTTCTGAAACTTCCTTCTTCCCACGTTTAGACTTACTGTTCTTTCTTTCTTTATTTCTTTTTTTCTTTCTTTATTTCTTTCTATCTTTCTTTCTTTCTTTCTTTCTTTATTTTATTCTTTATTTCTTTCTTTCTTTCATCTCAGTCTTTCTTTCATGTTAGTGCATCTTTTGTTATCTTACTCCCTTTAGTTTAACAGCAAGCAGTGCCAAAATTGATCGAAGAATTGATCGAAGCTTTCTTTTTTGCGTTTTTACTTTCCTATTTTAGTTGATTCTCTTTCTTTCGCTATCCTTCCCTTTCTTCTTCTTTTTTCTGGGCCCTTGCCTACTTTTAACTGTCTCTTGTTCTGCAAACTCCACTTTCAATTCTTCCTTTTCTTTTTAGTATGTTTAATTTTTGCTTTCTCATTTGCTTCTGATTATTTTCTACTTTCCATAGTTCGTCCTTGCCTGTCCTTTTTGCACTTACCATCCCTTCGCCCGCCTTCGCCTTCTTGTGCCTCCTTTGCTCTCCAGTGGCTCTGATTGTTTTTTCTTTCTCAAGCCGCAATCGTACTCCTGATAGTTTCCGCAAAGTTCAAATCCGCAAAGTTAATATTTTTTATAATTTATGTCGCCACATACTTAATTTGATCTTTGTTTGATTTTGCTTGATTTTGCTCTGTGAGTTCACAGAAGATGCTAAACTCGACACCTCATCATTCTTTGCCAAGCCAAACATATGATAAAGTTTTTTACAAAGTTTAGATATATTGAGACCTATTTTAGTTACAGATTAGTTTTTTTGATCGACTATCCCCTGTCACCATTCTATTTCTGATCTTTCTCACAAAGTTATAATCAAATTCGCGGGATTTTGCCCTGAAGGTGATGTTGATGAGTCCGCTATGTTGGTTTGCCGCAACTTTAATCTCACTAAGTCGGATTCTAATTAAAGGAAATATAAGGTCCACCAAAAGGTTTTTCAGCCTTTGCCAAGCTCATTTGCATAATACATGTTACCTGGATATCTCATTCTTTACATTCATTATTAAAAAGGAAAAATCTGCCGCAATTTTGTGCCAATTTCTGATAAAGAGATCTCTTCCAGGTTCTTTTCTTTTACTCCAAACTTCATATTTCTAACAAAAGGGCGATATTTCCATCTAATTTTCCCTGAGCTCTTGGACTTCGGACGCTCATTCTGTCGAATTTCGCGTTAGCTTGAACACTGTGTATTGCTGTAGAAAAAAAAATGCTCCCCGGGGTTGCTCCCCGCGCTTGTGCTTACGCCAGTCACCCCTCTCCAATCCCGTAAAGTAAAGTTGTACTCGTGGTTAACTTGAGACGAATTGGATTCAACCATTTAGTGTCATTTTTTCGAAGGGGATTGAAAATGAATGGGAGGTCTCCTGGTCAAGACCATATAAACAGGTGGGTTTTAATTAACGGGGGGAGGGCAGAAGTATTGTTCAAAGTCATTGCAGCAACATATCGAATTTTTAGAGTAACGTTTTTGTCTTGAACATTTTTAGAGATGCTTCAAAATACTTTTTTGTCAGAATCGTGATCAGGAATATTGCCCCGATTCCTCATGTTTATCTCACGAATTTGTCCTGACAGAGGTTGCCCATTAAACAAATTGAGATCCGACCAATTGTAGAAGCCTTACACACTCTAAGCAAAGGCCAATGGAATGGAGGTCATGAAACCACCAGCTTTACCCTGTAGTTGAAAACCCATCTCAGCATCACAAGTAAACTAACAAAACGGGGCCAGAATCGATAACAGACTTGCATCATTATTATTTGAATCTACGTCATAACGCTATCAACCCAAGTCAAACGCTCTTTTTGTTATTGGCTACCAAAATATCATATCTGGTTTTTTACTTATACTGCATTTCCTCTGAAAAGCGCCCTACCCTCTTGGTGGAAACAATGCGCGTGAAAAGAGACTAAGTCATTGGGAATGGCTCATTCGATTGGTTTTGTGATGACCACTGCCCCTTTACTTCTATTATGTTGGAGTACTATTGACAAATGACAAAAGATAACGATATTAAGTTACCTAGAAGAGTTTTGTAAAAGGCCACTTTTTTGGACGAACAATATCTACAATTTGACTTCACTCAACTTAATTATGAAGAAATGTTGTTTTCACTAATAAGGAAAAAACTACTCTTTTTGTTGGGTATTGGTTGTGTTGCAAGTCATTAAAACGATTGCAAAGAGAGACAGGATCAAGTTGGTATTTTAAAATTTGATGTATAAAAGTAATTTATAAAAGATGAGCGTTAGTTATATCGAAATTCGCCGACAGCACAGTTGCCATAGTTGGAGTTGCCCTGAAGGGACAAACTTGATAGACTGTGTGGGTGGACTGAATTTGATATCAGAATGTGAAGCCTTTAGGCCTTTAAATGGACGCCAGTTTTCACAAATTGATAGAAAAAATGTTTAATAGAGCCACTTATCAGATTTAATGAAAAAATACTTCCAGGAATCAATGACCAAATAACGTTTATTCAAATAGGCTTTTTTCAAATTGATGACGTCATGAAATATATCAATGCTACATGGCAGATCTTAAGTTCATAATAAATGATCTGTAAAAAGCATACGTAATAAATGTTATCGAAGAAATCTTCACAGCTAATTCAGTACATAAATAGTAGATAAGCTGAAAGATATGCTTCTCTTGTTTTCGCTTCAATATGTATGCCCAGTGCCTATGTATGTCTTTTATCATCTAAAGGAAGAAACAAAGCATTCTCTTTGACAGGGAATCTGAAGGCGAGTATTCAAAATATAACGATGAATGTTCAATTGGGTAGCGAGGTTATTGTCGTGTACTTGAACTTTCCTCATTATAGGCAGGTTTATGACTATCCGTAATTCTTGTCGGCCATCCTGCTTTTACCCACCTTTCACCAATTTATTGCTGCCCATAGCCAAAACGCCATTTTTGTAGATCCTTCAATTGCAAGACAATTCGTCGACTATTCGTCGATGCAACTTCTATCGCAAATCACAACACACTGATCATTTGGGAAGTGTATTTATCTGCTGACGTGGAGCATCATTACATTTGAAAGTAGCAGTGTAATTGCCTTTGTTGATAAACGAAGCGCTAGTAATACAGTACTCTTCTTTGATTAAAGGAATGTTTTTGTAACCCACATGTATGGTTGCAATTGCTCATCTCATTTGACTTGATACTTTTAGGCAAATTGGCTCGGAACATTTAGCTCGGAAAAAAATAGAAAAAATGTATTTTAATCATTCAGTGTCAAAGTTCAGTCTTTTAGAGTTATATTCTTATATTCAAAATTTTCAGCATTAGTTCTGTTGGAGGGGTACAGTTCTGTGACTAAGAAATGTTAAAATTAGAAATGTTAAAATTATGTCGTCATGATTTATAGTTTCTTAACTAAATTTGATACTTCTACAAAATTGCATAATTTTGGTCGAGGATGATGATCATGAAGAATCCATACTTTTGATGTGACAGTGGTGAATAATTATAACATATTCAGTAAATGAATCTGATTTGCATGCATAATCAAGGAATTTAGATGACATAGGCATCACTACTAATTTTGTATTAATAATGTTATAATGGAAGATTATGTAGTAATGTGCAATGTACTATTTATATGAAAATATCTTGCAGACAGTCGTCATATACAAAACAAAGTTATTTTTGTTGCGTAAGCATGGTGTATCACCAGGAAATAATTATGTCAAAGTATTTTGACACCTTCATTTTTATGACAAACTATTCTGTCAGTTGCATAATTAGGGCAACAGATAATTGGAAAATGTCTGCCCTTTTTTATCCATTGTGAAAACAGATGCGTAACAGATGTAACTCTGACTGGCGGTTGTGATGCCAGTTCGAATATTTGAAATTGATTGGTGAGATGCTATAATGTATCAATTACATATTTTTGCACAATTTTGATTTTTCGACTGATATTTATGCGTAATTGCAAATCTGCGTAATTGTGATCTGTTTTGAAATACCTCCAGTGCACAATTGAAACATTCGAACATGTCGACATTTTTTCGCGCCAAGATGCGTTATTATGAAATTTCAACAAATCTCTTCGATTCAGGTATGCATTTTTTATGTATTGCAAATAATGTCAAGAGCAGATGCATAATTATTGACACTAAGATTTTCCTGATAGCCTCTTATAACAGGCAATTATAACACACAGCTGATGGGTGATGTTGATACCAAAATTCATAATTGTAAATACCCGGTGAATCTTTACTTAAAAAGTGTTATGTTAGCTAATAAATTATGCATAATCGAGTAATTAAAATAATTAGTACGCAAATGCTTAAATACAGCCTGGCTGCATAAGAGAGGCATCTCATCTGATTACAGTGTATCAACAGATGCATAAACGCCCGGTTTTTGTGAATAATTATTCACTATGAATTAAGCAGGTACATAATTATCATGCTATAATGAGTTTCAGTAAGCAATATCCTTAATTTAATTGTAAGGAATTAGTTTCTAGTTCCTGAAATCTTCAAATTGTATTGTCTCATGAACAATTAAGCATTGCACGGTTTTATTTTCACTAGGTTTCAACCACCTCAGTGCAGTCTTTTCACATTTTTTAGTCGTATTTCAATTCTTGATACTTCATAACGAGCGTTTTCCAACACATTAGAGCCCCCCTTGACTACCCTGCGGGTGCCTGCGGGTGCTTGTGGCAATAGATACCCATAATGCACAGGTGCACAATAAGGTGCATTGTTGTGCATTAGTAAGGAGTACCACGATGCCGATTAATGTGATTTGACATATGCAACACATTTATTTGGGTATATGTGGGTCAAATCAGACGTGGAAGAAATCCAACATTAAGAATCATAGACTGGATAGACTTTGTGTTTACAATATCTCCAGTTTAAGATTATTCCATATAGATATTGATTAATACACTAAAGCAATTTTGTAATATAACCATCCTTTATGGTTCAGAAGTGTACTGTGCGTATGTTGTTGGTACCTTATTTCTTTGTTGTCTACAGTAAATAAACCTATCGAATAAAGAAGCAAGAAATATCTGTGTTATTGAGACATGATTCAATGCTTCATATTCCCTGAACACAAATACTTTGTAATCCTCTTTGCAAAGACTGTTTTATTCATTTTTTGATATTTGAAACACACATCAAGTTTTGCGAGGATTCATTTTCTAAGGAAAGTAAACGAATACCGAAGACCCGAAGACTTCCTACAAAGGGACTGATCTTTGAGCTACTTGCAGTTATTCCCCTGCTCTCTGTACGTTATAAAGTTTGGTGGCAGCATTTATTTTTGTTAAAGCTTTTTAGAAGACAGTCTCTATATTTTTGCATACGATTTGGTATGTACGAAAGCTGCTGGATATAAAGTTTCTCACTCTCTGCAATAGACAGATCTCTTCAATGTATCACTGCAGATGTTATGGTTCCAGTAAACCTTTCATCTGGCACAGATTTTGGAGAAGTATGGGATGTTATTATCAAACATTCTTGCATTTTTCAAGCAAAAGCTTGTATTGACATCATTGCATAAGTGTATCAACGTTGTATATGTAGTATACTATCAATTGTGATGCGAGTTCTACATTTTTTGTCAAATTAAGCTAATCAGTTAGAAGTTGGCTGTGTTATGGCACAGACGTTACCCTATTAGATACAATGTCCAAATTTAGATTGGAGTTGAAGACACGGTCGTTAAAGCTGTTTAGACCCGGCTACATCTAACTACTTGTACTGATCCAGTTTAAACCATTGTAACTCAAGCTAAGGCAAAGACATAAGTAGCCAGTTCGTAACTTAACGCAAATTTAACTGATATGCTTGCATAGTGATATTTCATAATATTTTTTCAGATTATTGGGTCCATACTCTACAATTTTAAAAATATGTTCTATGACGTCACCACTAAGCCACTCTCTTATAGTCTAAGAAATCGTTTCCTTCCTTTTTTGCTTTAAAATGCTTTTTGGAGTTATTTCTAAATAGTTATCAAAGAATATTAACAAAACCAGCACGATAGCCTCTTTTCAGTAACTGTGCTAAAACCTGATAAACCCTTGGCAAGTTCAGAGCAAATAAGACCAATAATACTTAATAAGATTGAAATGGTTTTTTGCGTTTTTTGTTTGTTTACGTGACTTCCAAAATACTAATGACCTTGGTGTCCAATTCTTGATAAGCATATTTCTCTTGCTAAGTTGGGAATTAAGTCTTGAATTATCGAGATAAAATTCGTAAGAACTTCCTTCCTTCTTTCAATCTCCTCTAATTCTCATAATAACTCGACACAATGCACGATTCAACACTTTCCTTGCCTTTTGATATGAGGTTTTCCCTCCCAGTTGGAATAAACCGTTAGTTTTGAATTATTTTCATGAACGTTATGATGACATGGCTTGATTTGCTCCATTTAAAGCGTGTTTTACGTTTAAGCTAATTTCACAATTGCCAGTCACCTTTGCAAGATGTTTACAAAATCTGGGTGGCAGTGACACTACATAAGACAATATGGTTTTGTTGCTGTATTTTGAGATTAAAGGGGACTATGGAAATGTTCTAATAGAACATATAAGTTCTTATGGAATTTTTTTTACGTTTCTTCAAATTCTTATTTCAAAAACTTTTAAGAAATTTATTCCACAAACTTGTTAAATGTGCCGTCATAAATATGGCTTAATTTGTCACAATATTAACTTTACGTTCCAAGATTGGGAGTTTTGGTCAGTGCGAATGATCAGTTGACTAGGATACTGATAGCGCACCCGTGCGTAAGGTAGATCTGATCTTCATCTCAATCTTAAATCTCAATCTTTTCATGAACGTGTTGCTATGAACAAACCTTAGGCTTACGGTATGAAGTTAGGGGAATTAAAGACACCCCAAGAATGAGCCAAACGGTTGTGTGCAAAGGAACTGCGCTTAAGGCCACCATTTCTGCAAGTCGGCTGGTTAATTCGAAAGGTAGATGTCCATTCAAAACGTTTTCATATTATTAAAAATCATAACGATTGATATTTAGGAGCAAAATATGACCAATGCCGGTATAGTATATACTGCTTCTATTCTTCGATATATATACAATATTTTGAAACTTGCAATGGCAGGGATCATTACCATCTCCCCAACCCCGATTCAAAGTAAGACACACTGTTATAAATTGACTGCAGCTAGAATTTAATGTAGGGTTTTTAAACTGTAATTACTGTTTATGCCATGACTACGACCGCTTTGATGTTGCCAATTTCTTGAGTTTGCTATTGAGAGTTGATTTTATTCTGTGCCAACTTGACCCACCTCGTTTCTAAGCCGGTCTCGTTAATGAGCCAGTCTCGTTAATGAACGGATCTCCTTTCAAATTCGACCTCGACTTCAAGCAACAGAAATGAAGCTCTCTTTTTAAAAAGAATCAATATTGCGCTTTTTGGTGAAAAGCATGTAATGTTTGCTACATTTTTATTCTCTCAGTCAGCATTATAAAACGTAGTTTCAAATAGCGGGTGAAGACCACATAAGGATTTTCATAATTCCTTAAAAATTTACTTGATAATTGTTTAAAAAATTTCCATCCTAGTAGGAAATGGTCTCGATGCCCCAAAAATAGACGCTAATTACGATGTTCTCGAATAATGTAAACAAATAGTAACGATATTTACTACACACACCCCTAAACTGAAATGGCAAGGATAGCATTGAAGCATAGGTTTAGAGGCAAATAAAATAATTTTTTGTAATAATCGTTGCCAATTTGGTTAGTGGTGGCAACGTTAAATATGTATTTCTAAAATCACAATTGTAAATCTGCATCTTTTTCTCTCCTTTGCTTTTTGCCAGGATATTCATTTGTAAACTTTTTTAATAGACTCAATCGACATTAGTTATTTTTCAACTAGAAAGAAATGCTCCTTTTAATGGTTTTTAGAATATTATAAGCCACGCCTATTACGTTGGTTGTTTAAAACTGATAAAGAATATAATTCTTTCGTCACCTTTGACCAACCATACCTCTGTAACCTTCAAAGCGTACTTTTGGCAGAAGTTAGGGTGGACAGTTCCTTTTAAACTGTCGTTGTCTTCCTAGCATTGTTTACTTCCCACAGTGACAAGAATAGAGCCTTCAAATAATTTATCCAGCCTTGATTCGGACCCATCGCCTCTTACACTCCAGTACTTCATATCTCCAATTTTGAATTATAAATACCCTCTAAAAACTCTTATAGACAGTGAAATTAATTTTATTCTATTTTTCGTATCTGGACAAAGCTGGCGTGGTCAAGCTGGCATTTTGGATGCAACACGTGGATTTTGTTACAGCCAAAATAACTAGATCTCGTACGGCAAGAACAATTATAACTTTTAATGAAACAAACTTAATTAACGCATTTGAGAGAGTGCCTCCAACTTTTAAGACTGGCAAAGTTACTGGAAGGATCCTCAAATCCTTCAGAAAGTTATCATTTCTTTATTATGGTGTTATCATTTTAAGCCTTATTATTTTACCATCAACGAACTCAATGTAAGGACAAATAACAGAAATATTATTTGACAAATTCCTATAAAGTTTGCTAAGAATGGATTTTTCTGGGTGCTAGGTTGAACAAAGAGATTCATTAAGTACATTTTATTGGTTTTGATTAAATTGGAAGAATATCTCTACTTATTTTCATAATTGTTTATTCATTGATGTTTCGCTTTATTAGGACTATAAGAACACATGTTGATAGAACTTTTCATCAAGCTGAAATGTACATATCGTTTCAAAATATATTCATGATGCATACATGACCTGGTCAAACAATCCAACATTTCACCCAATATCTCACCTAACATGTTTAACGCATACTAAGAAGGGGCTGGGTAGGAGGTTGTTTTGATGCTCGTATAGTTATGGCTGCACTGAACGTTTAATAACATTTTTCGCAGAGGACTTTCAGCAACATTTTTTATTTTCATCCTTTGTTTTAACGCATCGTTGTTTTAAGTAGAAGTCTCTGTAATAGCACTTCGATCGATGCCGTCTATCTCTTTTTCACTTGCTTTCTTACCCCTGTTTTCTCCACTCATTTTGATATTTTTTTCTAAACCGCACCCCATTCATTGGCTCTTGAGATCCTCATGCCCGACGAAGGATCCCTCTCCTATCACCAGCCGTAAAGCCAGTCAGGCTCGAGCGGTACAGAAAACGACAGTATTGACTTTAAACTTTTTCATAAAATCAACAATAAACATGACTCCAGTGAGACATGGAACATAAGTTAGATCCTAATTACAGTGTTCTGTTTAAATGAAAGTCTACGCGGAATCGCGCGAAGAAGTTAGCCAATAGTGGCTGAGAAAAACAGGAAAAGTGAGTAACATGATCTAAGCAATGAAACCTTTTGGTTGTAAGTGAAACAACCAAGTCATGTACTGAACGTAGATACCGAACTAAGGGAGATCCCCTTGCTCTATCAATTCAAACGAAAATTAAAAGCTCATTTGAAGAGCTCAGAATACCCGAATTAAAACACGACTCCCAGGAAGATCAGACGTCAAATTCAATTCACACATATTATTAAATAATTTTTTAAAATTTTGTCTTCCATTATAATTTTTTTTAGCTATCACAACTTGTATATAGGTTTCTGATGGGATATCGTGTTGGAATAAGAATTTAATGAAAAAAAATAAAAAAACCGAAAAAGAATGAAAACGAGGGTAAGATGTAGGTAGAGCTGAAGCGATATTATAAAAGTAAGTCATTAAAATGATTTGGGAAGAGCGGCTGAACTAAAAGAAGCAGACTATGTGATGACGATAGAATAGAAATAGCCTGAGATATAAATGAGAAAAGCAAAGGAATTTTGGCGGAAATAACGATGTTAGGCGGCCCATCACGGTGGTCAAACATGTTTGGGAAATGTTGGGTTAAATGTTTGATCGTTTGACTGGGGTTTGAAAAAGCAGACATCAGCTTAGCATGTCACAATATCGACACTTAACGCGGGATCCTAATGAACTTATTAGCTTCAACTCCTTCCTATTCGATAAGTGATCAAGAGATGCGTATGCAATGACATACAATACAGCCAAGCTGCACCAGTACTCAAACTTTCTTTAAGGCTGCCAAACTGACACAACATTTCTTTTAACATTTTTAAAGCAATTGTTAGGCCGGTCACCTTGTTTTGTCACAAAACATTTGTTGATTGATTTTAGGCAATCTTTTAGGAAAGTCAAAAACAAATATTTTTGGGATTTTGGGTCGGTTGGTCCACCGTCACGAACTTTTCACCAAACTTTTAGTCTCATTTTGGTCATGCGCACGCTCGTGCAATGAATATTGGTTCCTGCTTTGTTTAGTAGGTGTTAGTTCTATCAATCTTCCGACTCCTAACAAATGGTTAAATTCGAGAAGTAGTGAAATGTTTTTGCAGTTTGCCAGGGCCTTTTGTAAGCCGATTTTTAACATCCTTAAATGCTTTGTGTTTGGCTTAAAATTTTCCATACCCAGTAAAACCTCGAGGCTGGCAAGATGACTGCATAGCCATTTAGGACGCATAGCATCCTATAATTTCTTTTTTACGAATTATTTTTAATCTTGTTTCATTTTCATGTGTCACTTAAGAAAGTGGATAGAAATAAACCTTTCTTATGTAGCATTTCATTGACGCAATTAGTGGTGGTGAAGTCTCATTTTAGGGACAGAATCAGATTGGATTTAAACCTTTAAGCATTTCATTCAGCCTATACTGTTAACGTTGTAAATGATTACTCCGTCACCGCCCTACTTGTTTTAAAGAGAAAAGTCTTGTTTACTACGGAGCAAAACGTAATCTTTCTAAAGGCTGGTTTTAGAAGATTTGCCCTTGTGTATCTTAAGCTTCTAATATTTCTTTAAGACGATTCTGTAAGACAATTGGTATTTTGATGAAGGATAGCTGCTTTGCTCGTCATTTCTACCTTGCTAAAAAGATTTTGAGCTTAGCCAGTATCATCAGAATTGATGTGCGGATAATGACAATCTTGATGCTGACTTGGCTCGCAGAGACCATGTGCGTTAATTTTAAATCCAATAATATTCAAATGCATGGGATGATTTATGTGTTAGGTGGGATTTAGGTGCCTATCATTCTTCGTATTCATATGAATGCTTTTCTTAAATTGTAGATTGTCTCCTCTTTAGGATTATTCAAGATCTTCTTTAGGATTATTCAAGATTCTTAGTCTGAGGTCCGTTCGCTGGGCGTGATATTCCAGGATAAGCTGTCTGCTCCTCCACATCATCCCAAGTCGTTATGTGTCAGAACCCCAGCTAGTTTGGCTAATAAGTCTATGAAAATTTCTCCAAGTTTGTCCAAGTTTCTATATAAAATTTGGCAGGCTTATAGCACAGTGTCTGCTGGAACCAATATTTATCTTTGAAGGAAAAGCTTCCTTGGCTTAACACTGCTGCTTCTAAATATACGTAAAAGCGGTGTTCAAGCCCTAACCCCTGGCTTCAATGACCATGACCGTTGTTTGACGAACTGCAAACGGGAGCTTAGTAAAGCATATGTTTTCAGAACCCAAGCTGCATGTTTAAATTGCTTAAGATACCGGGTTTCCAAGCAAGACTAACATTGGTTTTGTGTTTGGGTCTCCATTTGATTTCTTTGACTAGGGTTCCTTTTTTCAGTCTTTTGTGTTTCAAAAACTGTTGGGTTTCCCTGAAAACTGCTCTCAATATTCTAGGTCTGCAATAAACTCAACTATTTTTCACTGTGTCTACGTGAATATTGTTGGTTTTGCGAGTTTTGGGACTCCGTGTTTAGACTAATTATGACGTCATCCCATTCAAAACATAATTCTTAGATAAAGTTGAACTCTATCTAGATGGGAATCGTTAACTGTAGCGGACCCCTTGGCACAAGCGAAATTCGTTGGTTATATGGCTAAGAATACGGTGCTATGAAAGAGAACTTATCTTATTATGATCGCCATTTTATCGCGTCCATTAAAGCCATTTGATCTCGATGTGATAAGATTGTCTCCCCTTTGAAATGATTTGTATCTCGATCGATTAAATACAATGTTTTTTAAAAGGGTTTGAGTAAAGAACATTATCGTTAGGCTGATTCGCCAAAATAACCATCTTTGCCTGGATATCGTCCTTTTGGACAACATAATCCTGGTGTACGGAGCGTCAACCGAGGGGGACAGGTGTAGCTGAGCCAGATGACAAGTTGAGTGACATCGAAACAAAGGCACGTCAAAGCTGATACATATGCAGGGTTATTCATCTAGAAGAAAAAGAGTTGAGAAAAAGGCATGCGAAGAGAAACAGTATAGTTAATCTGGTTACAGTTTTAATTTAGGCAGAAATTGCAGAAAGAACGAGATGAGTATTATAGAATGTTGGTATCAACACCGCATGCGTTCACATTCAATGGTATCACTCAACGGAGCTCATCGAAAGCTGCAAGCCCATAGTATAGGGGCGAGAAACTGAGCTTAAAATATTTGATACTCAAAGCTTAAAAATATTATTTAAAAAGTAAGTTTCTTACCCTAAGAGCGTGTGTTCAAAATTCCATTCCTATGACCAGACAAATAACTTTTATCATTTTTAACAATCGATTGTAGCTCCAGATTGTACCCAGCTCGAAAGAGGAACAGGAGCACACGGTTTAAATAAACCCTTTTAACGTGTCTTCTTTTGGCGCTTCTCGAAAGTTTAATGCTTTTTAGGAATGCATAATGCCTTTGAAGGGGTATGCAAGATTCGAGTCAAAAGGTTTTAACTACTACTGTAGCAAATATTTTAATATTTTAGCAAATATTTTAACTGTAGCAGTGTTCTTCACCTAATCCATTAGCCTAAACTTAAAACGAAGGCTCCTGTGAGCATGAAAACTCCGCAAGCTTTCCTCAAGTTTTAAATAGAGTCTGACGTCACGTAATGTACGTAATTTGACTAGGGTGTTGATGAGAAACGGTTGAACTGATGACAAAATTTGCACTTATTAGAGGTGAGTCAAAGTTCAAATGTAGTTTTTGAACATTGCTGCAGGCAATCAAATGCTGCCAACTGAACATGGACATTGGGGCCAACTGCAAGGAATCCCAAGGATAAATCCTCTTTTCCCCATTTTGGGGGCGGCGAGGCCGAAGAAGGGCGCGTGTTTAAGCAGGGGTTGTGGATGTCAACGCTATTCGTGCAGAGACAAACAAGTAAAATAATTATTTCGAAAATAGAAAAGAAAATAATCGGAATAAATATACTTAATAATAATAATAGTAATAATAATAATAATGAAAAATTTATATATCGCCACAATACAAAATACTCGGTTGCGCTTTCCAATCCTACTTACTTGAGAGTATATTAAATGCTATGAAAAATTAAATAAAGAATTACACGAATGAAAACTAGAGCAGTTTTGTTTTTATTTCTACACTTTTTGGCTAACCGCCTTCACCGTTTCTGTAAGAATAATACATACGACTTCGAAACTCGTTTTGGTTAAAATTTCGAATAGGCGCCCGTTTCTTAAGGTGGGGATGGTGGGCGCTTATTCAAGTAGGGCGCTTATTCAAGTAGGGCGCTTATTCGAGAATTCACCGTATGTCATGATCCGATGCTGTTACCGGTTATTTTGCCTTATTTGAATTTTGAAAATTTATGTTGAACTCATTGACATGAATGCACTGCAATTTTGATGCTTGCTCTTCCAGTCAAGTGACGGCTCTTTTGTAAAAACACTAGTTTTGTTTCCTAAAAATTGAAAAATGTAGAACTCTCGATAGATTTGCCAGTATTTTTCGTTTTGGGGCCAATTGACAAGTAAAAGGTATGCCCTAATATGCTTCAATATCACTTTCATCCTGCAATACTATTGGTGGATCTGAACTGATCACATGACATTACATCGTATTGATTTTGGAAACAGGTTCTTTAAACGACCAATTGCCTACCATGGCTGTAGAGGTAATCTGAAGCCACACTGATCACGCCGGAACCTAAAGTAGTTCATACTTATGTTTTATCATATCGACGCAATTTTTCTTTGCCTCCACCACCTTGTTTGCCGACGTGATTGATTCGAAATGGATACAGCAAGTGTGGATGGAGTAATTTTTCGGGGGTGTATCTTCTGAAGCACCCTTTAAACAAACGTAATAGAGTCTTATTTGAAACGACATTGGTGTGTAATGCAAAAAAAACTATGAACAATTTTGAGACGTTAAGAATTCAAAAAAGGCGTTGAAAAAAGCAAACTTGTCAAGGATTACTTTAGAGTATATGCTAAGTACTGGATCGAAAAAGGCCCACCAAAAACCCAAACATGTAGCGGGTACTGCTAAGGTTGTGCCACGTGCATATAAAAATATTAGCAAAAAACCACCTTACTATGATTGGGTTTGTAT